GAGCTTGGCTCGTTCGTTCGCTGCCAGCTAGGTCGTCGAGTTTCAGATCGTTCGTTCACTGCCGGTACCACTTTGCGATTATTGCGTCGAGCTTGGCTCGTTCGTTCGCTGCCAGCTAGGTCGTCGAGTTTCGGATCGTTCGTTCACCGCCAGTACCACTTTGCGATTATTGCGTCGAGCTTGGCTCGTTCGTTCGCTGCCGGCTGGGGCGTCGAGTTTCAGATCGTTCGTTCACTGCCGGTACCACTTTGCGATTATTGCGTCGAGCTTGGCTCGTTCGTTCGCTGCCGGCTAGGTCGTCGAGTTTCGGATCGTTCGTTCACTGCCGGTACCACTTTGCGATTATTGCGTCGAGCTTGGCTCGTTCGTTCGCTGCCGGCTAGGTCGTCGAGTTTCGGATCGTTCGTTCACTGCCGGTACCACTTTGCGATTATTGGGTCGAGGTTGGCTCGTTCGTTCGCTGCCAGCTAGGTCGTCGAGTTTCGGATCGTTCGTTCACTGCCGGTACCACTTTGCGGTTATTGCGTCGAGCTTGGCTCGTTCGTTCGCTGCCGGCTAGGTCGTCGAGTTTCGGATCGTTCGTTCACTGCCGGTGCAGCTTTGCGATTATTGCGTCGAGCTTGGCTCGTTCGTTCGCTGCCGGCTAGGTCGTCGAGTTTCGGATCGTTCGTTCACCGCCAGTACCACTTTGCGATTATTGCGTCGAGCTTGGCTCGTTCGTTCGCTGCCGGCTGGGGCGTCGAGTTTCAGATCGTTCGTTCACTGCCGGTACCACTTTGCGGTTATTGCGTCGAGCTTGGCTCGTTCGTTCGCTGCCGGCTAGGTCGTCTAGTTTCGGATCGTTCGTTCACCGCCAGTACCACTTTGCGATTATTGCGTCGAGCTTGGCTCGTTCGTTCGCTGCCGGCTAGGTCGTCGAGTTTCGGATCGTTCGTTCACTGCCGGTGCAGCTTTGCGATTATTGCGTCGAGCTTGGCTCGTTCGTTCGCTGCCGGCTAGGTCGTCGAGTTTCGGATCGTTCGTTCACCACCAGTACCACTTTGCGATTATTGCGTCGAGCTTGGCTCGTTCGTTCGCTGCCAGCTAGGTCGTCGAGTTTCGGATCGTTCGTTCACTGCCGGTACCACTTTGCGGTTATTGCGTCGAGCTTGGCTCGTTCGTTCGCTGCCGGCTAGGTCGTCGAGTTTCGGATCGTTCGTTCACTGCCGGTGCAGCTTTGCGATTATTGCGTCGAGCTTGGCTCGTTCGTTCGGTGCCGGCTAGGTCGTCGAGTTTCGGATCGTTCGTTCACTGCCGGTACCACTTTGCGATTATTGCGTCGAGCTTGGCTCGTTCGTTCGCTGCCGGCTGGGTCGTCGAGTTTCAGATCGTTCGTTCACTGCCGGTACCACTTTGCGATTATTGCGTCGAGCTTGGCTCGTTCGTTCGCTGCCAGCTAGGTCCTCGAGTTTCGGATCGTTCGTTCACTGCCGGTGCAGCTTTGCGATTATTGCGTCGAGCTTGGCTCGTTCGTTCGCTGCCGGCTAGGTCGTCGAGTTTCAGATCGTTCCTTCGCTGCCGGTACCACTTTGTGATTATTGCGTCGAGCTTGGCTCGTTCGTTCGCTGCCGGCTAGGTCGTCGAGTTTCGGATCGTTCGTTCACTGCCGGTACCACTTTGCGATTATTGTGTCGAGCTTGGCTCGTTCGTTCGCTGCCGGCTGGGGCGTTGAGTTTCGGATCGTTCGTTCACCGCCGGTACCGCTTTGCGATTATTGCGTCGAGCTTGGCTCGTTCGTTCGCTGCCGGCTAGGTCGTCGAGTTTCGGATCGTTCGTTCACTGCCGGTACAGCTTTGCGATTATTGCGTCGTGCTTGGCTCGTTCGTTCGCTGCCGGCTGGGGCGTCGAGTTTCGGATCGTTCGTTCACCGCCGGTACCACTTTGTGATTATTGCGTCGAGCTTGGCTCGTTCGTTCGCTGCCAGCTAGGTCGTCGAGTTTCGGATCGTTCGTTCACTGCCGGTACCACTTTGCGATTATTGCGTCGAGCTTGGCTCGTTCGTTCGCTGCCAGCTAGGTCCTCGAGTTTCGGATCGTTCGTTCACTGCCGGTGCAGCTTTGCGATTATTGCGTCGAGCTTGGCTCGTTCGTTCGCTGCCGGCTAGGTCGTCGAGTTTCGGATCGTTCGTTCACTGCCGGTACAGCTTTGCGATTATTGCGTCGTGCTTGGCTCGTTCGTTCGCTGCCGGCTGGGGCGTCGAGTTTCGGATCGTTCGTTCACCGCCGGTACCACTTTGTGATTATTGCGTCGAGCTTGGCTCGTTCGTTCGCTGCCAGCTAGGTCGTCGAGTTTCGGATCGTTCGTTCACTGCAGGTACCACTTTGCGATTATTGCGTCGAGCTTGGCTCGTTCGTTCGCTGCCAGCTAGGTCCTCGAGTTTCGGATCGTTCGTTCACTGCCGGTGCAGCTTTGCGATTATTGCGTCGAGCTTGGCTCGTTCGTTCGCTGCCGGCTAGGTCGTCGAGTTTCAGATCGTTCCTTCGCTGCCGGTACCACTTTGTGATTATTGCGTCGAGCTTGGCTCGTTCGTTCGCTGCCGGCTAGGTCGTCGAGTTTCGGATCGTTCGTTCACTGCCGGTACCACTTTGCGATTATTGTGTCGAGCTTGGCTCGTTCGTTCGCTGCCGGCTGGGGCGTTGAGTTTCGGATCGTTCGTTCACCGCCGGTACCGCTTTGCGATTATTGCGTCGAGCTTGGCTCGTTCGTTCGCTGCCAGCTAGGTCGTCGAGTTTCGGATCGTTCGTTCACCGCCAGTACCACTTTGCGATTATTGCGTCGAGCTTGGCTCGTTCGTTCGCTGCCGGCTAGGTCGTCGAGTTTCGGATCGTTCGTTCCCTGCCGGTACCGCTTTGCGATTATTGCGTCGAGCTTGGCTCGTTCGTTCGCTGCCGGCTGGGGCGTTGAGTTTCGGATCGTTCGTTCCCTGCCGGTACCGCTTTGCGATTATTGCGTCGAGCTTGGCTCGTTCGTTCGCTGCCGGCTGGGGCGTTGAGTTTTGGATCGTTCGTTCACTGCCGGTGCAGCTTTGCGATTATTGCGTCGAGCTTGGCTTGTTCGTCTGCGGTTTGTGCAGTTGTGTGATTGCCACGTCGAGTGGCGCGCTTACTAACTTGGCCACGTTTTATTGCTTAACCCTCTTTATGGGGTTTTTCGCTCCCTCATCATGGCCAAGTGTGTGTGTGAAAATGCTGATTTCCTGAACACAAGCCCGGATATGGACGCGGACTGGCTGTGGAGTGCCCGCGAACCGATGTGGCTTTCTACTGTTGGATACCATGCCACCGAGTTTGTGGAGATGCGTCATCAGAGCAAATGAGGTACCACGTCAAAGCACAGATGGCCGAGCCCGTGTCGGCCGTGAACTTGAGACACTATAGAAACAACGACCGGTTTGGGGGTCTCATGATCAATCGTGTTAATGGGCCACTCATTGGGGGCTGCCATTCGGCACATTGCCCTCTAACCAAAGTGACTCATGACTTTGGCCCATTAACACAATGAAACACTTGATACCCCCAATACCTGGATGCATTGAGAAAAAAAGAAAAAGAAAGAAAAAGTGACCTAATGCATTCGCTTATGTCCGTCGCACGCACAGTATCCGTAAGATGTAATATACGAATGTATTATCGATAAGCTCTGCTACATCCTAAATATACAGCAGCATGCGGGCCAAACGCTCTCGGTGGGCACCCCAGGCTTTGCGCCGTGTACGTCGAAGCGTTTGCTAGAAGACCCTTCTTCAGTAGACTCCCCTACCTGGTAAGCGCCTGAACGACGCTTGCGCTGCTGTGGAGCGCTAGTTGAAGCCGTTGCTACCGCTGCGGATGCATTCATGGAGGTGGTTGGTCCAGGAGTGACGAACGCGCGTCTCGATACTTAGCGGTAGCCGGCATCACCGCCTCGCGCGCTTGAATACAATTCCAGCCTGACTTTAGACATTATATCGAACAGACTGTAAATAGACTTGCTTACCTTTAGCATCACTGCCACGAGTAGACTGTTATGGCGACCTCGAGCTCCCAGTAGCGCCTGGCCCTCGCTTACGCAGCAGCACTAGCACGTTCTTGCCGGGCTTGCAGAGCTCGAGGTACGTCTGGTCAGGGCGGTTTCTCGTTCCGAAGTAAAAGGCACCGCGAGTGGCTGCCAAACGGTCACTTCGGCCTTACACCCCAATTGTCCAACCTGTTGGGGATTTATACTCGTCCATCAATAGCCGCAGAAGAATCCGCGTCTTTCTACCCATCACAGATCCAACAGGAATGATGGGCTGATTACTCACTATACAAAAAAACTATATGCAAAGTTTTTTGCGGAAACCAAGTTTGCTGGATATTAAATCCTGTCGAAATGATTATTCTGTATCCTACAGAATATGGGGCTAGAGGGGTTAAGCCCGTCTATATACATCGAGGATTACTCCAAATTACTCCATTTCCGGACTTACTCATACTGACGCCGGTTTTACTCGAACTTACACTCTTGTGCTTCCGATGGAAGGATAAAGCCACGTTGAAGAAGTAAATTTATCATCACTTTATGGATTGCTGCTCCGTCGTAACGAAGACTAAGTGCTGCTTTCAAACGAGGTGCGTATGCATATCAACTTCCCCATGCAATGACACGCGTTTTTTTATTTAGCTTTATTGTACCGGGGGCACTCTCTTAGTCTACCGGTAGACAAACTCCAAGATTACAGCACATCCTCACAACTTATCAAGCTATCGTCCAGGCACCTACTACACTAGCGGTAGCTAGTACTGATATTAATACGAAAAAAAGGCTCTAGTAGATCACCAAAATCATCATACGGCAGATCCAGTAGAAGAGATTTTATTTGGTCTACTATGGTAGCCATTAAAATCCTAAAGAAGATTTCATCATCACCACCAACGGTGATTCTCTTGGTATCTGCATGCTGCTTACTGTCCTGGTTGCTCGAGGATTAATAGAAAACTGTCGATACAGTCCTCCATCAACCTGCCTTGTTCTACCGTTTGGGGACACGACTTATCCCTCCTTGCTATTGCCTTTAACTGTCGAACCCCTGTCACCCGGAACTCGACACAACTTTTCTCTGCCGATGTTGATTCTCCTTGAAAGATGAGCCTGTTGCGCTGCATCCATTGCGTTGTGCTGCAAACAGTTGCTAACACTCGCCAAATGCGTCGTAATGTGTCTTCATGCTTGGTCGTGCAAGTCCCCGACGTGAGAGCTACTCTCCTCTTCATTGAGTCCGGGATCGGGGGAGCTTGCCGTGCCGCACAGTACTCTCGGTACTCGATAAGGTCGCTGTCAGACACATCAGTGTCTAGCCTACCATTTCCAGCATCTCACCGCACACGGACATTCCCAGAAAATATGACTCTGGGTTTCTTTAACTCCTGTGTTTTCCTGCACGTGTTGTCGTGTTGTCTCCCTTCAAAGTACAGATCAAGCTGTCGGAGGGCTATTCCGTACCCCGTCCACACTTGATAGGGCGTGAGGGAGTTATCATGGCTCCATAACTGCTTGGGCCGTTGTTGCTGTAGCCCTCTTTGCCACTGATCTTGTTGCGCCTGCCTCTCCAATCGCTTCAGGATCACGCCGATACCACCTCGGAGCTCTGTTCCAAAACGCACAAACGCTTGTCGATTTAACCCCTTTACAACGTGTTTGTTCTTGATTGTTTCCTCTGCTGTCCAAGGATACTGATGAATGCGCGGATGTGCGTAAAAAGCAACTCCTTCCACTTGAGCCCACTTCTGCATAGTCTGCGCATCTTCCTCCGAACCATTCTCCACATCGACCTCCCAGTTGATGCCGTTGGGCAGTTGCCTGCATTTGATTTGCAGACTAGCCATCTGAGTGAATTGGCTGTACCTGTGAGAGTTCCTGATGGACCTAGCCGCCACGACGCACCTCTTAGCCATTGCGGCGGATGCCTTAACTTGAACGGTGGGTCGTGCCGTCCTTCTAGCCACTTTTGCGGAGATAGTAAGATGACAATGATCGCCCACTTACACATGGTCGTGTGACGGTGCCTACGTCTTTCATTTGATTCCTGATCGATTCGAAACGAATATCGCCCCTCTGCTTCTTGCCGATGTTCGAGTTGATCGAGTGTGCCATTCCGTATTCGTGAAAATCTTCTTGCGCTTAACATAACTCCTCTCGGTGCCGTCAACCATGGGTTGTCACTCCAACCAAAGGTTCCCCAAAATGTTTCAATGTGCTCCGGCCATGCGAGTCGAGGAGGCTCGACCTCGATATTGAGCTGGATCACGAATCTGTCATCTGGGTCCCACCAACTTGTACTCAACTCTAAAATGTTTTCGTAATAATTCTCCACTAGAGCTGTTCGTTGTTTTGCTTCTTCGTCCGCAGGCTAAGGCCACTCGTGTAATGGGCCCCAGTTACATAAGTGGGTAAATTGACAGTACATAAAGTAATTAAGTCAGTACACGGCTAGCGTGTACTGACGGTCATCATGATTGGCTGAATTGGGGGAGCCAGACCCCATTTCAGCCAATCAGGCGTTGACCTGCATTTGAGTGGCTCACATGAGATCAGGGGTAGCCGCCCTGGTCCTAACATAAAACAGAGTTGATTTTACCCAAGACTGACTGCTTGGTCTCACTAAATCCGAGTCTTAACTAAGCTTCCTCACCGCTACGTGTAAGCTAGTAACGGACACACACCTGGCCCGTTACAACTCGCTGATGAGCTGCATTCCTGGCTCTAATTTCTGGGGTTTTGTGTTAGATTTTCTCGGTGAGGCTGATCATACGGCAGGTCCACAAGTCTCAGCTTGCAGATACATCATCAACGAACGGTTGGTGGGGTTGAGCGCCTACTGCATTTCATTCTACAATCCGACAAGACGCGAACAACCCGACCGATACTACGAAGCATGCGTGTCCCATACTTCCTTCATCTTGTGTTCGCAATTTCCGCGATCCTGCACATACCCACCCACGCCGAGGAACCAAGTACGCTGGACAGCCGCGGGGGTCACTATTGTTGGCACAACAAATGGAGGGGGTCCGACACTTGAGCACTTGGGGGAGAACCTGGAAGTGATTTATTATTAACCTCGCTACATGAGGATGCTTTGATGGGTGGATCTGACTTGACATCCTGACAGATAGCTACAGGGCAACCTGGATGTTCCAACACTTCCCCTCCAGCGCTGGACGTAGCTTGCGCTTACATTGCGTGCACTCACGTTTTGTTGTCGAACAGGAGCAAGCGGTGGCCTCCGCGCTCGCTTTCCACCGCATCGTCGTGAGCAGCCTGCGCGTTTTCCTCCGTGTCGGAGATGAAGCTACTGCCCGCAATGTTCATGTACGTCTCCGTGGACACACCGGTGGCCTTGGAATCGACTTGGGCACGATGTTGCAAACCGCCTCCGAGTTGAACGCCGTCATCTGCATGTTCTTGGCCGCTTCGAGTGGTCGAGTAAAACGCCTTCGCCTACATAGCTCGTGTCCTCCTCGATTTGCGCGTTCGCCTTGTCCGCTTGTCGAATCTCGGCTGCTGACAATATCCGTTGAGCCGAAGCTTGTCACTCGTCCACGCCGTCTTTCTTGCCGCCTTCACCCTTGCTGTTAAAGCTGCCCATGACCAATGTGGTACTCGCTGTCTTACATCGCTGGGAACCGCATACTGGAAGAAAGCCTTTTCCTTCGCGATCGTGCATTGAACGATCACCCGCTTCCCCTGCAAGAACATTCAGTGCTCGCGGTCGATATTGCTCTACAAATGAACACACTCTAACAAAACAAATCCGTCAGTTCATCGACCAACGCTAGTGGGTAGTGGGTATCAGCCAAAGCGCAACACGATTGTCGTGTGCAATTTTCTTCCGAGCCCTCATCTTTATGGGACTACCCTCCTCGCATCCGCACGACTACGGAACGATTGTTATCTTTCCGCCTCGCCTCAGAGGACACTTTGATCCGCGGTTTTCGTCATCGCGAGCACTCAATAGTGTTGGAGAGACTTGGATCGAGTTCAAGCGGGCCACGGGAGCGCAGGAATTTAGTCCCAGCACGCCCAAGTCCGTGCATTCAGAAAATCGATTTTTCTAGTCCATTTTCGAGTCGTCACCTTGGTGCTCGACTGCCCTCCTCACATCCTTACGACTGCCTCCCACTTTTGTTCTGGGGAATTATTCAGCCTTGCCTACGCAAATCACATAGCGTTTGCTCACGTACATGCGCTTTCCCACTTTGGTAGCTCCAGAAATCATCGTTCCTCGGCTAATATCCAAACGGGAGGACAACGAGACTGGGATGGAGTTCAAACGGGCCACGGGAGCGCGGAATTATCTCCTTTTGCGCAAATCCGCGCGTCAGGTAATTGTTTGGTTTTATCACTGCATTGTGAGAGGTGCTCATAGAATCCAACTCCGTTTTTCTTCCACTAAACCTGGATCGAGGCGTCTACTCCACGTGCAGAATTCTTTTCGGGTAGCATTGCGATAGTAATCAATCCGTAGAGAGTATCGGAGATAAACAGATTCGATCAGCATCGTGTAGCAATGACTGAATCTGAAATTCGCGATCGTGCTTGATAATCACTTGATCAATCGAGGAGTCCTCATGATGGCGTCGGCAATTCTTGACCGCTGAACATCAATCGATAGTTCGCGCTTCAACCAAACATCTTCCCCACCTTCCGCCGGTAAAAGAGAGTGAGACTACAGCTTCACCACGTTCCGCTGGTAAAGAGTGTGAGGCTACTGCTTCCTGCCTTCCGCCGGTAGGAGCGATGAGACTATCGTGGCAACATTCAATCTCCATAGTCTAGAAGGAATGCAAATGCCGCAAATACGTGATGCCAATATCGTTCGCCAGGAACGAACAGCGGGATGCGTTACCTTTATCAACTTGGGTGTCATGTGGCCAATGCCAGCTCAATAACCACAGTCTCCGCCAAGCTCATCGCCAAGAATATCACTTCCAGCCTCGGTGCGTTCTAATGCCGCCAATGGGACCGTCAGGAAGCACCACTCGGACCAGCTAAATCGTCAAACCGGTGCCACCGTTACGAAGTCGATATACATGCTCAACATCGCCCACTGGAGGTCCGAGCTGCTCATCCCCCCACTTCACAGACTTGAGCACCAAGTCAGATATGAACGCCAATTATTTAGTAATAGCTGGCGCCTTCATGTGAATCCATCACCTCCGCCATACACTTCGTGCGTATGCGTGAGGAGCCACGGAGCGGGGCGCCAACAGAGTCGTGTGCCTCTTCGCATCTCTGAAGGACAGCGTCTCCATCTCTTTGTGGTTCGCACGGAGTCTACACCATCTACCACGAGTGAACGGTAGCATCTTCCCACCGCCATGCAGCGTCGCTCAGGGCTCGCATCTGCGGCTGTTAACCTGTTGGCACAACAAATGGAGGGGGTCCGACACTTGAGCACTTGGGGGAGAACCTGGAAGTGATTTATTATTAACCTCGCTACATGAGGATGCTTGATGGGTGGATCTGACTTGACATCCTGACAGATAGCTACAGGGCAAGCTGGATGTTCCAACAACTATTTGCGCGTTGTTGTAAACGAAGATGCACAAGAACGCTTGGACGAAGGAGGAAAGTCAGTCGTGGGTACGAAAGCTACCAAGGTTGTTCAACATCCTAGCAAGTGGTACGAAGCGAGAGGATTGGGTTCAATACCAAGCGCGCTCAGGGCTCGTTTGCAGAGCAGCCCAATCAGCGTCACGAGAGACAAGCTTCGCAGCAGTAAGGAAGTCCAGAGGTGTGCTGGCAGTGACGGCAATTTTCCTCTCTGGTGCGCTCATCATAACAACCATGGCAAATCGACATGACTGAGGGGCTTCTGCTGATGCAAACCTGGAAACAGTCGGACTTCTCACTCAGCCCACGGAGTTTGGAAAATAATACGAAGAGGCTGTTCGTTTCTGTCTGTTCGGCAGCCGAATGCTGTGTTGATGGGTGTCGTTGCCAGGACGCCCAGCGCCACATAGCCGATATATCGCTGTGGTGTAGCGGGATCGGCCAAAATCTGGTTAAGGCCTGATCGAGCTTCCCACCTGCGCCCAGACACCGACTAACGGAGGGGGTCCCCCAACGATCCATGATCGGCTGAACTTGTTCTCACCTTGTGTACCCGTCGGCGGGCTCGATCTGCTCTCTCGGGGCTCCGAAGATGCAGCACTTGCTGAAGATCGAATGTCTTGGCGTGACGCGGGGATAGGGCGCGGGAATCTTCGCTCTGCGTCCGAGTATACGCTCCGATCGAGGGTTGTTCGCTCCGATCGGTCGGCCTGGAGTTGATCCAAGGCCTGTAGTTGCCTTTCCGGGTGTGTTCCTTCCTTTCCTGAGTTGCTTGCCGCTTCCTATAGCTGGATCGAGGTTGATCGAGAGGAGAAACGATCGCCGGCCAAGCACTAATATCCGGTCGATCGAGGACTTGCACACAAGAGATAGATCACTAGAGTAGGTCAAGCTGGCCAATGTATTAATCCAGTCTTAACCGTACCGCTAGTTCACTACCCAAAGTGTCGACCCTGCCGAGGCCAGTGTAGTTCCTGGGACTTGGTGACTTGAGGGGACTTGTGCTCTTCGGTGCAAATTCTGCTCGAGAGCGACTTGCCGGGGCTTGGTGGTCTTGGATCACGCGTGGGGTCAAATCTGTTCTCCACAACGCAAGTCAATCGAGGCCAATATGCTCTTCCTCCTCGAGATTCCAGACCACTTGCGCTCCACGGTGCAAATTCGACTCTGCTTTATGTTTAGCTGGTCTCTCCCTAATGCTACCATCTTGCTTACCCTCCTACAACCACACGATTACTGGATTCTTGCCCCGACTTCGTCCTCCATGTGCGTCCCATCCTGGTCGATCCACGATCGTCCCCGATCGGCGATCGACTCCGATCGACCCCGATCGGCGACCCACGATCGGCTCCCGATCCACGATCGACCCCGATCGGCGATCCGCGATCGATCTCGATCGGCGATCCACGATCGACCTCGATCGGCGATCGGCGATCCACTCCCGATCGATGACTTGTGCCGGTTGCCATGCGCCGCCGATCTATCACCTTCTGTCCTCGGCCATCTCAGATCCGCGGGTTCTGTCGTCGATCTGGACTTGGGTCGGCCACGAATCACGCCGCGGTTCGGGCACGATCACCCACAATCCGGCTTGCCACATGTCCTGCCTTACGCGCCGGCGTCATCGGGCCACCTGAGATCTCCCGAAGAACTCCTTCTGATCCGGAGATCCTTGCTGCCTGTCTCTCGATTGCCGATCTCCCACGCCTCCAGTCGATCGGCCCTGCCGCCTTTCTCGGAGAACAATTCTTATTCAGCACTTCTCCACATCGCCTTTTAGTGTCCACCTCTACTCCACAACAACAGTCAGTTGAGTGTCGGTCCGAGTAGTAAGGCTTGTACACAGAGGGCGTAGGAACATAATTCAGGACTGTGTAACGGTACTACTACTATGCAACCTGTTGGGGCTGGCTCGATCACTTTTGGTCGCTTGTGCCGCACACCGGCAAGCCTGGGTTACCACGCTCTGAATGACTTTTTGGACAACCGCCGGCATTGGCCTTCGGCCATGGTGTTCTTCAGCTCCATGTTTGCTGCTGTTCGGCCGATCTACCCGCGGGTGCGCCACGGGGACATCTTTCAACTGTACGACCAGCTTTCTGAGGTCCTTTTCCGGACACATCCCTCGTCGTTGTCAGGTTTCGTGCCTGCAGCGACAGCTACCGACCCAATGCTCTATGGCGTTGTTCGGCAGCGATCGGTGCGGTTTTCCCCCAACCTACAAGATGGTGATTGGAAATGGCTCGTTGGCACCCCTGCCGTACCGAAACCTCACCACTGACAGCATTGGGCTGTACCGAGGGTGAGGTCGCGGGGTGGATTAAAACATGGAGGTGGATGCGTCGGGTTCTACTTCCTGTAGTGCACGATGTCACCATGAGACTCTACCTTGGAAATGTGACGATGGGGGCGCGACTTTTCTTTCTGAGTGCGACGTCGCCCCTAGCGCAGCACTGTGTACGCCATGGTTGCCGCGCTATCGAAACCGCCACTCATTGCTTCTTCGAGTGTGAGCCCGTCCAGATACTGTGGCAGACGCTGTGGGAGCCTTGGGCTCCTGCTTTTCGATGCTCACTGGGGTGGCGGCTGCTGATTTTCCCGTCCGACCGCGATGTCCACGAAGATTGGCGCCACCAACGTGGCTTTCTTCTCATTTTATGGCGCATCCACACGCTATTGTGTTCCACGCTCTGTGGCGTCTACGGAATGACATACATTTCAATGGTGTTCGCGTGGTCAGCACCAGCATTTCTCGCTTGGGCTTCTCATTTCGGCAACATTACCAGCATCTCTATCGCCGATCGGCCGAGTTTCATCTCGTCAGCGACGATATAAAGACATTTTTACGCCGTCTGGGTTTCCCCGAACCCATCGACGACGATGATCTCCCTGTAGCTACGCCTGTATGGATCCCTCGGCAGCAGAATTAGGTTTCTTTAGCCAGCTCTACGACAAGTCTATAGCCTGTTAATCAATTTCATTCTTCCCTACTACTGTGCAATTCGCACTCCACCACTAGTATCATGAGCCTGTATCCGGGTGGAATTCATGAAATACCACCACCCGAGTACTGCTGTTTGAGACGTATTTCTTCTGCGTAAAAAATGTTTTTTTATCTGTTTAATGCACTTCCGCACTGTGGCAACGAATCACAAGTGCTAGCTTGTGTAGTTTTCCAATAGGCAACCAGGAGCGTTGCTCCGGGAGGGTACATAGGTCGACGAATAGTTTCATGGACGATGATAACGGATAATAATTGAGTAAATCCCAAAGTTGTTTTGTTTTTAATCCTTAAAAACACTACCAGCCCAACTCTCTAGTTGATTCTAACGTGGGCATCTACTGCGTCTGCTTCGCAACCCAGCATCTGCCCGAGAATGCGTAATTGAACAAATAGTTGCGCACATCGAAGTGTATCGATAAGAAATGATGTTTCAGCCAAACCTTTGTGAGGCTGGTAACCAGCAAGCCTCGCTCTTCTTTATCGTGGTGGGTTATCAGGAACCGAAAGTCACCAATTGAGGTTGCCTGGTCTGATGAGGCTATCGGTGACATAACACCCTGGTCAGCGTCCAATGGCTGCGTTTGCGCCAGCAACGAGAGAGCTATTTCATTCATTTTGCAGGTAAGGTATACTGTGCTCATTTTTGTACTATGTTGTGCTAATAACGATCAGACGAGAGAGCTACAGTAGCGGAACGAAGGAGAGACGCATGGTGCGCTGATCTTGACCATTTAACTTGAGGATGTTAGCTAAGTGGCAATAATGATCCTCAAATCAAAAACAAAACAAACAAACAATTTTTTAACTTGAGGGCTTGGGGGGTAAATTGCAGAATGAGGAATACGCTAATGGGCCAATTCCGTGGAAGTGGGTGCTTCAACGCAGGGGAAAAAGTCTTATTCAAACGAACGATGCTCGTGTCACTGTCGAGTTGAGCTGATTGGTTTGACGACAGACACAAGGTTGGGCATCTTCGGCTAAGAGTGATTGGGTATTGAGCAAATTGGCATGTAAAAATGCAGCCTGCACCTAGACAAGTCATGATCGTCCTCTTCAGCTAAGCTTGGTCAATTATGGCGCAAATTGATATGCCTTCAGCGAAGCCATGACGCTCTCATAGTGTGCTGGAGCGTCCGTAAGTGTTTGAGTACATGTTTTGGTAAATAAAAAACGATTAGTATCAACCTTTCGTAAATAATGTGCATAAATCTTAGCATTTATCGACGGGTACCCGATTCCGGCAGATATTAGCTTAAACATTACAAGTAAGAAAGAGAGACCCGGTTTGGTACCCGATTTTGGAAAGTTACAAGTTTTTTGCCGAGGCCAAGCACAGGTCTTCGACCTGTGCGTTTACATGTAAGTCGTGTGCTACCGGATCCCGATGCAGGCGGAAAGGGGCTTCATCTCGTGGAGCCTTCCCTCCTATATTTGAAGTGCTAGCTGACAAGGGCACCAATTTTTTTCCGAATCTTCGATTGTTGGACTGGAATATATTACTACGAAGCATTCAACTAGTTGGTAGCCACCCTATGCAAGAACTTGGATGCCCCCAATTACGGATTCATTCTACACTAGCTCTGTACATCTCGCTGCGACGCTGTTTGATTCCGGTGGTGCATGATGTCATGTTAAGACTATTGTTTGGAGATCTCATTGTCGGTTCAAGGTTGTATTTCCTCAAGGCACTCAATTTTACGGTTCAACAGTGCGTTCGAGAATCGTGTGTGGCGATTGAAACACTTGAGCACTGTTTCTTATCATGCCACGGCTTGAACGATATGTGGCAATCACTGTGGGCGCGATGGAGCAAGGCGTTCCACGCCGTGTTAAGCTGGAGGCTGCTGCTTTTTCCACAGCCACGGGACATCAAAGCAGATTGGAAGCAACAACATAAAACCATTTTGCTGCTATGGAGAGTTGCAACAGAGCAACCAAGCACTCAAGGTTTGATGAGCTCATTTCGCCGACATTGTCAATACATGTTCCAGCATTCTGAAGAGCTGAAACTGGACGGTGATGCAATAAATTCGGTGCTTCAACGACTTGGGTTTGATGCACCCAAACCAATTCGAATTTGGATTCCGCGGCCATAATTGAGTTGTCCAAGTAGATATCACCGTAGCTAGCGAAACGACATGTCCACTATCTAGTTAATCAGTATTCCCATTCAACGCCAACCAACGTCAAGCCATTGCCAGCAAAATTGGTGCGTACAATTACTCTTTGACTCCGTCTGCCTCCATCACACAGGCGCCACCGCGTGTGCGCGGTGGCCAATCAGAGTCCACTATATAATGGCTGAGACGGTCTCGAGTGCCGAGACCGTCTCGGCACTTAATGCCAGAGTTCAATTTGTCTACTACTTCCTCTGCTTGTGTAAGCACGTAACGGGCTGCAGTTAGCCCGTTACAGATGTGGTCACGGCAGGCCCCGAAGGGCGGCCTCCCCACTGGATGGGATGTGGTCACGGCAGGCTCAAGTGAGCGGCCTCCCCACTCTTAGCAGTCATCTTGCATCGCTGGTGAGGTTCACGCGAGTCCACTTTGTATGTCTTGGGCAACTTGCGCTGTTTCTGAGTTGAGTCGTCGGGTTTTTGTTGGTCGGCGGTTGTCTTCACTGTCGTCGCCGTTGCGTGTCTCGTTGCTGCTGTTTTCGGTGCCGTTTTCGTCGTCCGAGTCCGTGTCATACGTTTCGTCGATCGTGTTGGTTGAGCTCGAGTCGCTGCCTTCCGTCACGTCCGGCAACCTTCGTGAGGTACTCGACAGCCTTATCCATCTCACGTCAGGGGTCTTCGGACTGGATTCTGACGTGTCCAAGTAAGGACGGTCGAAGTTGTGGCCAAGCGTTCTTGATGAATACGGACAGGGCGTCCTCCACAGTCGCCTTGCTCTCCTCTCCGTTGTTGACTGTTGCTGCTATCACGTTCAAACGGTGGGCAAACTCGGTGTAAGTTTCGTTCGTACCTTTCTTAGTGTCAGTGAGTGCTGTGGTGATCCACGCGGTCAAGCGGACAGCGGAACTTCTCGCGCAGTGCAGTGCTTAGTTCCTCAAACGTCATCCGTTGCAGTGCGTCGAATCGTCTCGTGAACCAGGTTAGTGCCGTGCCCTCGAGGTGCGAGGCTGCGACCATCGTCTTGATGTTGTCAGGTCGTACCGTCGACCATTTCTCCCAGTCGGATCTGTATGCTCAGGCGCCTCAACCAGTCCCCGGCGCCAGCGTCGAGGAAGACCTCCTTCACGTCGCCCGAGAACATCTCGATCTTGGTCTGCTTCGTGCTGTACTTGCTTGTGCCACGTGCTTGGGTGCCTCTGAGGCCGGAGCGGGGGTACTGACTCATGCTTTCGGGGCCGGCTTGAGCAAGACTCTTAATCAGTTGGGGGAAAATAACGTTGTGATGTATTGAATCAATACTATTGATTGGGGTATTTGAGTGTAAGGCACGTTGAACTAGGGACGTATACGACAACAAATGGCCCGCGAGGTCGTCTGTCTGGATGTGAGACCGCGAGTAAATGAGGCATTCCCCCAGGACGAAGTGGACGAGTTAAAGACTCACGACGGCGAGTTCCTGCCTGTCGTGAAAGAGAAACTCCCTGCGCAATCGAAGGCTGCGTTGATAAGTGTCGTCACCTGGGCGTCCAGTGTCACAAAGCCGCTAAACCGCCTGGACGCATACGTTTTAAGCCTCATTTCTGTGTTCGCATCGACCCCGCAGCAACGGTCAGACGACTGTCGGTCCGAGTGGTAAGACTCACTTGAAACACCAGAGTACGCGGCGAACCTCGCGTAGGAACGGCATCCAGGACTATATAACTATAAGTACTATGTAATTGACACATACTCCAACGCTAGCAGTCGTGAGCGTCTGTCCCGTTCGAGGCGCATTTTATGAATGTAAATTACTCGCTTTATGCCCCCCATCACACCCGGAAACGAGTTCAGCGAGAGAAAAAAAAAACAATAGAGTGAGATCATCAAGTGCGGATAATTCCGCCAGGAATACGAAGCGAGGCAACACACAACGAACATTGTTGTGTAGGAATCGACGAAAGTTGTTCAATTATATGCATATTTCGGGCCCCGTTTGCTGTTTGGAACTCGGGCAAATATTATTTTGATATATTCGAGGGTGCCCCCACCTGCGAATGAACGTAGCGATGTACGTGTTGCTGTCCATTTGAACTAGACGCCATATTCCTCTGGTACTGAAAGGGTAAGGAAAGTCTAGGTTAAACCAACTGTATCAATACATCAAGCCTATAAAAGTAATATTTTTGATTAGCACCAAAATATACCATTCTTTTGTATTGGCAGACTGAAACAAAACAAACACCGAGGATGGAGGAGGCTAACGAGGCGACGTGGGAGTTCCTGCAGCCTTGGGTCGATGCTTTTCGAAGCAGGGTCACTCTCAATGGACCAAAAGCCGCCACCGCCTACGTACTGGGCAGTCTGGATTACTGGACCTTTTCTCAAGACGGTTTCCCCGTTGCCATAGACACTTTCGCGCTCTACCTGAGTTTCCCCGCCGACGAAGCAACCCGCACACGAGACCGACAGTTGCTGCAAACGGTGCGCGAGGCTCTGGAGCTTTTCACTATTATCGCTGCCGCCGATAACCCGGCGATTGTCCAAGTTTTGGCCGAATTTGTGAGCAAAGTCAAGATCGTAGTTGATGACGAGCGTGGAAATAAGCCCCACCTGGTCCTCCCAGACTGGAAGTGCTGGCTAGATGGCCGCCTGTCAGAATCGGATCCACTTGCAAGACAACCGTCGATAACGTGGGGGGATCTCTATGGTTGCCCGGAGGACCCAGAGACGAATTCGTTGGAGTTTCGTGCTGCCAAGGAGAATAGTCGCGACTGGAGGAGAGATAAGGCGCGAACTGGGCTTTATACAGCCGACTGTGCAGTGGAGAGTCATTCACGAGGCTCTGGGGAGGCAGAAAAGGAAAAGAAAAGCTTCTACCGCGATAACAGAGGGTTATGTTACGAGAGCTTTTTGGTGTCGACGTACCCACGGTTGTTCTCATGAACGTGTTTGGCGGCAAAAAATATCCGCCCGTGAGTGAGCAGACAGCTGCACCGTTACTCCAAGGAGCAACGGCCTCGTTGTTCGAAACGCAAGGCACCATACACAGATTAAAGCTCGCGGACCCAAGCATTGGAATGATTACGGATTCAGTGGCTCGGACGAGCATGCCAAAGTTCGAGCTTGTACTGGACGATCGCGCAACCAGCCGGCGCACACCGAGGCTCGCTATCGAAAACAAAGGATTTCTGTACATCACCGTTCTTTGTGGGTCCTCCTTGTGCAGATTATCCGGCGCTAACATGGACTTTCCTGCACTGGAGCACCCATCTCGAGTTGGGAATGTGGGTCTATGTGCCTACGGACTCTGGAATTCGCTCGATTTACTCTGCAATTGCGGACGCTGGGACGGTAAAAAGACTAAAGATCCGCCCCGAGTGTGATTTCCTCGTTGAAGATGTGAGCGACGTGTTTGAAGAGCCAATGACTCCGGCGCATTGGTGCTGGCTGGCGTATGCGCTGTGGAGTAGAGCGGCAAAGCCGAATATTCGAAAGCTGGATTTACAGGCTATAACGTTGACGGATAAAGATGTATCTGCCATCGAAAATGTGCTACAAAGTAGCTACCCCGATCCTGCAACCCGAGGTAGTCATGAAAACGAATCCCAGCTTCCACAATATGGGTACGTAACTGTTCAAGCGGGAACTGAAGTAGTATCGGTGGACTGTGAGGATGCCGTTCTCGTTATGGCTAGCAATTGTCGCTGCAGAGCGCTTTATGATCCTTCTACGATAGTGATCCCAGGCTATGGGATATGCAAAGCGAAGCTAATGGATGGTCATAAGTCGTTCGTGGCGGATCCTCCAGTGCCCCCGGGAGTTTTCTGAACGAGAACAGGCACTTTTCGTGATCTGGATTTTGATTGCGTTGACCTCGAGAGCGGCGAAGTGATGATAAGACTGTTCTCATTCATTGGCGGAAACCTGCGATCGATGCTACTTCGCAACGGTGAACAGAATGTGAATGAGGTGGAGTTAGGCGCACTGGCAGTGCTTGTCCGGTGCTGGAGGAGCTCTACATCCATGAGTTTGACGTGCTTGTTGCCTTTCAGAAGAAAGTACTTCTCACGTGGCCGATCAAGCGTTTGGTGATTACTGGATCCAACACGGAACCCGAGCCGGCGTTGTTTCTGAGAAGCCCCGCGAGCCTAATGTCACGACAACTCGCCGAGTTAAAAGTATGTTGTGGTCGAGCTTACCCCCGAGCCGAAAGAGACAACTATGATTTCTCGCCAGGTTGCGCGGAAACGCTCAAGGAATACGATGGAAAGTACCTGCCGGTGGTAAAGGGAAAATTCCCCATCGAGTCGAACATTGCAGTGATCAGTGTTGTGACGACGTGGGATGAGAGAGCGCAAACTTTGCGTCGAAGATCCGCGGCCCGCTAAATGGATTCTTTCTATTGAGCGCCGGAGTGTGCTAGTGAACAGCACAAAATCTCAGATGGAGAAAGACGGAATCAAAGACTGCCTGCACAAATTTTGCTGACAGCTTGGTGTTGAGCTGTCGTACTATGTCTGAATACAGCACTTGGGTTTCGTTACTATAGCGCAGAAATTCATAAACTGATTTTTGTTTGAGTAAAAAATAGCAGTGGGTTATATAGTCCTGGATGCCGTTCCTACCCGCGATTCCCCGCATACTTTGGATACGTGCTTCAAGTGAGTCTTACCACTCAGACCGACAGTCGACGGACCGTTGTTGCGGAGTAGAGGCAAACACAAAAATGAGGACTAAAATGAATGCGTCCAGGCGGTATATCGGCTTCATGGCACTGGATGCCCTCGTGGCGACACTTACAAACGCAGCCTTCGACCGCGCAGGGAGTTTCTCTTTCGTGGCAGGCAGGAACTCGCCGTCGTGGGTCTTTAACTCGTCTACTTCTTCTTGGGGGAATACCTCATTTTGTCGTGGACTCACATCAAGACAGACGAGCTCACGGGCCATTCGTAGCTGCGGGTTTCTCAAACACCGGGCCAAGTCCGACAACAAGACCGGGCTTTCTAGGTAGAGCGCCTTGATGGGCCAGCGACACAGGGACTCGCTATGGGCAGATATCACGACATTAAATATGGCGATAGACAGTTCTTGGAGCTCTGGGCATGCAACCGACAGCGCACAAAGGTCGATATCAATTGCGAAAGTGGCGGCAAAGTCTTCATGAGCTCTCAGTGTTAACGAATGGAGGCCACACGTGACTAGCGACAACAGATCCATCAATACAGCAGCACTCTCAAAAGTAACGTACTCCATGCTCAATTCACCGCAGAAACGTTTTCGTCGGAAGTCAGCCTTGCCGGAAGCTGGGGTAAATCGGACGCCGTTGCCCGGTTTCACCTCACAAACGCCATACCCAGGGACGACAACGTCCACCCACCTACCGTTCGTATGGACGTAGAGTGCTCGGTAACGACACGTACGGAAAATTAGAAAGGTACTGTCCTCGTCGTCATCATTAACTTCACCAAGGTGCAGCTCGGTGCCTTGTTCGATGTCTACAAAGCCGTACTCGTAGTGCCCTGTTTGAGCCGATTCAAGTATTGGCAGAGGATACTTGGTCTGAAGTACCGCAGGAATGGCCGTAAGCTCGGACTTTGTCAGTGTCTCCCATATAATTGAGACCGACGGTACTTGAACGTCTGAAACTCCACCGCACAGCGCGTAAGCTAACCATTGCCACCTCATCACGCCTTTTAAACCCAGTCTGCACACGGCTAGATTCGCCTCGGCGGTCACTTCAGCGACTGCCGAGCAGACCGAAACGAGCATCCGGTCACAAACAAACCCACTGGACAAGTTAAGCTGCCATATTCCAGTTGAATCGTATCGGGAGATATCTGGCTGCTGTTTGTTCTGTCGCATTACAGTCAGATCGACCACAAATGAGCGTGCTCAGCAATACCCCAGCATTTACAACCTTTTGTCGCGAGTTCACCGTGTCAATACCAAGATTCAGGCTAAAGTGTGATGTTGATGTTCGGGCCAGTGCCGCTGGCAGGTCACGGATGGCTGGTTGACTCCACCTCAACCTTTGTGCGATCACGACATTACACGAGCTAGCAGTTTCATTGCTTAGTGCATTCCACGTATCAGCCAACCCACGACTTACCCAGAGCTGCCCAATCGGCGGGACGTCGATGTCGAATAGTCCACGAAATTGTCCCCGAAGCGATAACAACGTTGGAGAGAGCAACGTGTCGGATATCTGCCGGCCAATTACTTCTGCTGCCTTCAGGGCAAACGCCCATCGAATCAAAAACGTATTCTGGCTGTAGCTTTTGATGGAGTCTTCCAGACCCATAGCTTCTAGCTTCGCGATGGCTTCCTGGAATTCACGAGAATACTCATCCGAGAACCCTAGCAAAGTACCCCAAGTTGCTCGAGTCTGGTCTCCACCGGCATAACTCGTGGAATCGTAAAGCTGGAGCTCCCACTTCGGAAACCAAAAGCAGTCTGCTCTGATCTTTGTTGTCTGGGTTGCCGTCGATCGAGTCGCCAACTCTATGAATGCTTTATTGTCCATAAACGATAGCACCGTAAACAGCTCCATAGCTTCTCGAAGCTGTTGTTGCTTCGTTGCATCTGGAGGAACCTTCAAGTAAATAGTTTGGTCGATTGCGTTGTTTTCCTCGAAAAAGATCGCCACTCGTAGAACTGACCGGGCAGTGTCGTTACTTCGTTGTATGGCATTGCCACGCAGTACAGCACGCCAAGGTTCCAGGAAGCTCCACTGGACCATATTCTCCACTTGTGGTATTCTTGCAACTTGGCAATTCATCAACAGACAAATCGAACTGCTGTGAATGAAAACTAACGAATGGTTACATCGAATCGTTCGAGTGATGCGGTGCGACGTGAGAGCGATTGACCACACAGCCGGTCCAAGAATCACGACAGAGAACAAGAAAATCTCCATATTATGAATTTGGGGTTTGATTGTGATCGAAAATGCCAAGACACGCTTTAAAAGGCGTAAGATGGTAATCACATCTCCTCGATCTCTTCTTTGGGGACGTTGCTGACTTCCCCGTCTTCTAAGCAGGGGTCGCAAGTGCACGAGTTGCATGTCATCAAAACTGCTCAATTAGTGCTGCTTGCGGTTGGTGGGCTTGAAGTCTGGTTTAAAATAGAGCTCCAACCTGCGCAGGGCGAACGGATGCATGCCGGCCCGAATCTCTGGTGCAGTACTCATAAGTACATTACCGTTACCTTCTCGGTTCATGTTTGTGCAACCCGCACTGATGACCGTCGCCGTGCCTGTGAATTGTTCCGTAAACAGGGATCCGGGTGCAGTGCGTGCACGGCGAAATGAGAGTTGCCAATATGATAGATGCATCGAAGAGAGAAAAGGAGCTAGCAAGTCGTGAAATGAATATCCCTTGTGAAGAATTGGAGGGCTAGTCTGGCGTCTCCTTTGCATACTATGCCGCTCACCGAGGCCAATTAACAATGGCGAAAAACCTTTTGTTGGAACGTTTGGAAAAATGTTTGCACTTTCGTTTCAAAGAAGGTTTTACAAAAAGTTTAGCGAAGTGCAGACCGTAATATCGATTTGTAATAGCACGTCCACTGGCGTATCTGCAGCGCCGTCAGTCGATGTGTACAATCGAAAACCGACCAGAGTTCCGAATGATTTGGACTGACCGTTTCTCTGGTGTTGCAGCAAACGTGAAGATTAGCTTCAGCATGTTGACATCCATGCGGCTTACTGCCTTCGAGCCACTTTCGCTTGACCACACGCTGATTAAGGCAGCCTTTGACAGCCGAGGGAACTTTTCCTTAGTTACAGCAAGGAAATCTCCGTCGTGCGTCGACAGTTCCCCTCCACTTTCTTCGCTGAAATTCCAATGCGCTGGGACATCGATGGTGACCTTAACGAGCTCCCGAGCCATACGGAAGGAAGGATCGCTCAAACACAGTCCCAAACCACTAACGACACCATCGATAAGCAATGTCTTGAGCGGCCACTTGCGTAAAGCCTCGCTGTAGTCAGACACCACGACGCGGACATCCGACAAAGTCAGTTCCTGTAACTCAGGGCACGCAGCTGCTAGAGCGCTTAAATCGACGATATGTAGATCCGTCCCAGTGTTTCCAAACCAGAGAGTGTCCAGTCTCCCTCCGACCAGGGCGAAGAGCCTAATCAACACCTCCACACTCTCAATTTTGGCGACAAAGAGCTTGAAATAGTCCACATCCCGCAAGCATGTGGCTTCCGGTTCTGTCGGTGCGTCTGCAACAAAACGCGCTTCGTCATTCAGATTCACTTTGCAAATTCCAAGGCCGGGAATGACAACGTCCGCATGGTCACTCATAGTTGCGGAGTCGTAGCGCGCTCGGCAGCGACAGTCGCGAGAAAGAGCAAAAGTGGTGTCGTCGCCATCATCCAAGCCGTAAGGCTGGAACTCGGTTCCGTTTCGGAGCTCGACGAAGCCATATCCTGAAGAATCAGGGCTAGTGCCGCTCTCTGCTAGTACAGGCTCGGGAAAACCTGTCTTTAGAACTGCCTCCACTTCAGACAAGTCGTCCGCTGTCAGCTGAAAGGTGGTCAGATCAATATGCTGGATAAAGGGGCTGGCTGTGGTGCTCCACAACGCATAAGCTAGCCACTTCCACTGGTCATGATTTGATCGATGGGTCCACGAATCATCCCCATTGACATCTTCTGCATCTTCGTCGTCAAATTCCACGTACATATGGGACGATATGTTCCTGATAGTTGATGCCGCAAGGGCGGAGTAGAACCCACCCAGAATTCGGTCAGAAGCCCACAGGTAGGACACTCGGATGTCCGGAAGGCTTCCTCGTCGCACCATGGGCTCTTCATTCCCACCAGGATACTGCGCAATGGAGCGATCGCAGAGTAGTGTCGTGAACAAGCGGCTGGCGTTCATTGCTGCCTGGCCCCAAAGATGCCTTCCAGTAAGCCTGTCGTCAAGTCTGATCGTGAGCGACGCCATGTCAGCGCGAGCGAGCGCTTCTGTGAGTTGCACGACGGTAAGATCCGAAAAATCCGACTTCAGTGTCGAAAGCCGATTTTCCAGCGCATGTAATGGCACAGCAGGCTCCCGGTCCTTCCAGGCGTCTAACAGCGGGGCAATACTGCACGCAATGCTCGCATGCACTGCAGGTGGCACGAAGAAGTCCATTCGTTTGCCTAATTCTCGAGCGAACATCTCGGGGGTGGAAGTTGGCTCGCTATCACCCCACGGATTTCTCTGGATGCCCCTTATGGGCATAGCATTGGGCCCCGTCCGCCACTCCACAACAGTGTACGAGTTCCACCAGTCGCCACTTTTGCCACTCATAGCCGCCAAGTTGCCCATCATTTCCCGAAACTCGGCCGAATACTCCCACGGGTCATCAGGAAAGCCCAGCAACTCGGCCCACGAGACCGACGACTGGGTGGCAAGGGGGCTCTCAACTGGAATACCCCCGACGAGTCGACACTTCCACATAGGGCACACCAGCCGAGGTGCGCCATTATTATCGTCGTTCTCCTCCTCCACAGTCATGAACCTCGACGCGATCTGGATGAATGCCCTATTGTTCACCATCGCCAGCATGTTGAGGATCTCGATCGCCTCCCGCACGCGTTGCAGCCGCTCTCGATTATTTTCCCGATTGGTGGGGTCCGCGGAGAAGACCAGGAAAATCGACCCGATGGCCGCGGGTTCCTCGTTTTCGTCCCACTCGCCGATCCATTGGAAGGGCCAGCACTTGAAGTCGGCGTGTAGGCACGGGATCTGGAGCTCCCGGAAGCTCAGGCTGCCGCACAGCGCCTCGATCCACGGTACCAGCGCTACCCAATCCATCAAAAATCTTTGAATGAAAAAGAGAGAATCCCCTTTTTGTATCCATTGTACAAAATGCTCATAATAGTATGTCCCAAAACAGTAAATAGGAATGACACTTTTTGTGAAGAAAATAAAATTGGAGGAACAAGTTTCTGTGCCGCTTTTTTAGTGTTAGAAATTCGAGGTCATGCATGGACCATGACCTCGAATTTCTTAACTTTGCTTGTGCTTTTTACACGGGTGGCCGAAGTGGTGGATGTACCATAGCAACTTCAATATTCCCGAGCCTACTCGCTGAATGATAGATGCTGGGACTTTTACACAAGTCCGAATGTGTTCGGATCAACTTCAGCATACCCAAATTCTGGCATCGAGCAGCATCCAACTCACACCCAGCATAGAGCGGGAGTCCAACGTGAAAGTAGAGCCACTTCACGACATCGCACTGTCCCGCTTTCATGGCGGCCTTCATGACCTTGATGGTGCAGCTCACACGAGTGCTCGCTCGAAGATATCGCAGCACACGCAGCCGTCCAGTCCATGCTTAGCTGCCCCGATTAACGCCACTTCTTGGCATTGAACAGAACGCTCTTCAACCAGCCACTTCACGGTATCAAGGTGGCCGTTCACAGCTGCCGCCTTCACAGATACGCTTGAGCATTTAGCCCCAACCGTCGAGCACAGGTACTTCAGAATTTCCAAGTGGTTACCCGCGGCCGCTTCGTTCGTAGCGTCCTTTGAGCAACCCTCCTTGCGGTGTTCATGCAGAAATTTGACAACATTGAGGTGTCCATTTGCTGCAGCGCGATCCATCGCGCGCTAAGAGCAAACACCGTTGCCAGTGAAGTGAAGCCAGGAAACCATTTCGAGATTGCCATCAGCCGCTGGGATGTCAATATTTCCCCTTGGATAATTTTCACCACTATGCGCGTGCAGCCACTTCAAAATGTCCAATTGATTTTTCCTCACGGCTGAGTTAACCGCGCATGGTGTAAACCCCTCAGAGCGGTTGGCATAGAGCCATTCCAGCACATGAAAATGACCGGAAGACGCTGCTGAATCCATTGCGGACGCTTTGCACCCCTCTGTCCTGTTGATATGCAGCCACTGAACAACCTCCAGGTGCCCGTTTGCAGCGGCTCGGTCCATAGCGTCAGATGTGCAGCCTTCTTGTCGATTCGAATGTAGCCACTTGACAAGTTCCAAATGGCCATATTCGGCTGCGCCATCCACCACGTACTCTGTAAACCGCTCGGGTTTATTTGTATGAAACCACTGCACCATTTCAAGATCGCCATGAAAAGCTGCTTTGAGTAAAATCCACCTCCAGTCTTCACCACACTCGTGTTCATGCATCCATTTCACGGCTTCGAAGCAGCCCACGACCGGTTGGTAAAAATTGCTGATCTTGTACGGTGTCGTGCTTATTGCAACCAAGAATTTAACAGTCTCGAGGTAGCAGCTGCGCTAGCGGCCCACCCAATTGAAGATTGATTCCATTTGGCGTTCTCCACTAGCCATTTAAGCTGATCGACGTACCCCTCTCTGGCGGCACACGAAAGATCGCACACAACTTCCGGGAATGTCCGCACAAACCATTGAACCACATCCATACGTCCAAGGGTCGAGGCGTTATCAAAGAGTATCATTTCCGTCCGATGGCCGTTGGTGAACACTTTCGAACCTTTACAACGATGCAGCCACTGCAACATTGGAAGGTCACAAGCCTCGAGAATGGCAGACACTGATTCATTGTCCAGAGACTCGGGGTGGCGTTGATACAATTGCTCCATCGCAGCTAAAGCGTCTTGCTTTGGCATCATTTTAGTCGGGACGACATGCATTGCGAGCCGGTAATGCTGGAGTTTCTCAAAGTGGCTTAGACTGGAGCTGTAATCTACAAAGCGCAGTGTCCCAGTGAACAGCCGGAAAGAGCCTTGCTCAGCTGCTCTGACCAACGCGTAACCCGGGAACACAAATTCATGCAGCATTTGTACGACGTGACATAGCGCCTCAACTTCGGCGTGTTCGCCGGTTACCACTCGAACACTTGCCAGGGTCGGCTCCAGCTGCATTTTCTTTCTTTCTCGTCCAAACTGAAAATGAATCAAGCTTACGAGTCGAGTACTTGAGTGACATGTTTTGACAAGACCACGTAACCAGATAGAATTAAGAAAATCAACTTTGAGTGGCAGCAAATTCAAAAATTAGCCCCATCAGAATGATCTCATGTAGCAATACAACTGTGGGGCGCGGAACTTTCACGCATCATCCCCTTGTTTGAGCTGATCGCCACATGCTCAGCAATCTCACTCAAGAACGGTACGTGTACATGTAGTGTCATGCTTGTAGCCTCCCAACTTTGACAATATCCCACTCTCCGGTTCATCCATCGCGCGAAGAAACTCCGATGAGTATTCGCCAGGATTTTTTCAAGAGAACTCCCCTGAGTTGCAACTGCTAAGCTTACGAAGCTTCTGTCCCCGCCAAATTGCGCTCCCACATTGGGAAGACGAGGATATGTCGCGGAAGTTGTCTGCAATGGGGTCAACGTTCCAGAAACGCTGGCCGGCTCACCACCGCCACACCTCCTTATCCTCACCAATTTGTTGCAGCTTCCGTTCATCGCGTCGACTAGCTGCAGCAGCGGTGAATGACACGGATTTTGAGCACCTCTCGAGTAGGAACAGAGGTACGAAGGACTCGAACCTTTTCAGCGATGACAGTATTATGGACGTTCGGGTAGACGAGTTTACTGCTTGAAACTCTCGGGTATCGAGACTCGCGGAGAACTTTCCCCTTTAACGAGGCGTGATAACGGGCGTCCTTACCTTTGCAAAATTGAAGTTGCTACAGTATGTGGCACGTAAGAAATGAAAAGCAGGACGTAAGAAAAAAATCGAACAAATGAGAAGAATCGGGGTAAGAAAACAAACAAGAACAGATAAAACCACGCTATGGTATAAAGCCTCCACGAGACCACACTGCTGCTTTCGTTCACAGCTAGACTTTTGCGACTTAGTTTGTGCTGTTGTTGCGGATGTAGTAGGGGGCGTCCATGAACTCATCCTCGCAGTACGGGAAGAGCGTGTCGTCGTCCGAGGGCGCGAACAGGTGCTCGCCGGCGTGGATCATGACGTAGAAGCCCGTGAAGGCGCAGACCACGATCGTGATCATGGACGCCGCCTTGTCGAAGATGGACATGGTCCGCCACGACACGCGCATGTAGATGATCAGCGGCATGAGCAGGCAGCTCGTCGTGTGGGCCGTGGCGCCCGTGAAGTCCTGCAGGTCGAGGAAGCGCTTGCGGGCGAGCACGGCGATCACCACGAGGATGGCGATGATGGCGATGCGCAGCGCGATGTAGTGCAGCGGGTTCTTCTTGTACGGCACGTTGAGCTCCTCCTCCGTGATCTCCTCGCCGAACTCGAGCGCCACGCGCAGGTGCGACATCCGGCCCTCGGACTTCTCGACGAGGCTGGCAGCAGACACCTGACGGCCGTCCACGGGCGTCGAGCTCAGCAGGTACGACTGCTTCTCCTGGATCTCCATGTCGTGGTCGACGTTGGCCTGGTCGCGGTCCGGGTCGAAGCGCTCGATCTCCGGGCCCTTGTGCATGCCGAGGATGAGGCGCTCGGCCATGTAGAACGGAGGCATCATGAGCGTCGAGAAGGCGATGGAAATGTGCATCTGCATGAACAGGTACGCCATCACCACGGCGCCGCGGTCAGCCGTGAAGCCCAGCGGGGCCAGGCCCAGCGGGTCCGACGTGCTCACGATCGAGTACAGGATGTTGCCCGACAGCTGGCAGCCGCCGGCGGTGTAACCCGCGAGGGCGATGGCCAGGAAGAAGCCCGAGATGAAGAGGATGGTGATCACAACGACGCGGGGCATGCGCTGCGGCTGCGAGTGCTCGCGCTGCAGGTCGGGCACCACGATGGCGGCACCGTAGGCGAGCGCCAGGTTACCGAAACACGTGAGCACCTGGTGCACCGTCACGTCGGGCTCCGGGATCGAGCCGTGGCCGCGCATGTTCCACTGCAGAACGACGACGGCGATGATGTCGGCCACCACCGTGCCCATGCAGCCGGCGAACGCCATGCCGGCGCTCTCCTTGAGCGTCGGGATCAGGCACACGGGCACGACCATGATGGCCATGAAGATGATCCAGAAGATCTGGCTGAACGAGTCCGGGAACAGCACGTCCAGCAGCGTGCTGCCCAGCACCAGGAAGGCGCACGGCACCAGCAGACACACGCCCATCTGCGAGACGACCGTGAAGAAGCGACCGTACTTGCCCAGCGCCCACTCGCCCAGGTCACCGTACGTCCTGACGGACGACGGCGCCACCAGCATCACCTTGGACAGCTTGAGCGTCGCGTACGTGTTGGCGAAGATCATGAAGGCCAGCGCGATGGACGCGAAGTACGGACCGGCGCGCGCGTAGTTGGACGGCATGGCCAGCGAACCGATGCCGCACACGCAGCAGAAGAGGTTGAACGACGCCTTGGCGTCCTCCATCGTGAAGAAGGCGGTCTTGCCGCTACCGCCGGACGTCATCTTGAAATGGATCGGCGGGGGAAGTGCGGCTTGCGAGGCGGTGACGAGGTACTGCGGGGCTGGCTGGACTTCTCCGGGAGAAGGTGAATTCAAAAGTGAGCGAGTTACAGCTCCGCGCGGCTCGGCTCGCGAAAGACTGCGTTTGTTGTCCGATCCACTGCCAGCTTGTCTCCTGTCGGTGCCCGAGCGACGAACTCCAACTTGGTGTTCAAGCGCGGGGGGCACTTCAGCGGCTCTGGCGCATGTGGACGTGCAGAGCAGCTACCTCGGTCGCACAAGCGCTCGAAGTTCGAGCCGACTTGGCTCAAGTGCCAGAGATTAGATGAAAGCGGGGTTTTGTTAGCTCATGTCCCTGCCATGTGTGCGTTGTTATAGCAGCGACTCGCCAAGATACGGACAACCACATGAAGTCAAAGAGCGGGCACAACACGGAAGCCTCCGCAGCTGAAAATGTCCTCATTACAGTCGGGGATGGCAAGTCCGCATTACGGGAGCATGAACCTGCTGGCCTTGTCCGTATTCACAGTGGGCGATGGGCGCTGCCGCTATTCCGGATGGGCTTGCCGCCTCGCATGTTAATACTGAAGGAGGAAGGATGCGCGGCAGTAGCATGAGCGCTGGGCCACTCGTCAACCGAGACGGAGCGGAGCTCCTCCTGCTGCTCCTCTCCTCCCCATCCCCCTCCCTGCAGCAATTCGCCTCAGTTGCGGATCATGCATTGCACCGGAACTTCCGGTGCACTGTCGGTCTTCAGTGAAGACTCTTCAAGCATCCCCCTATCCGGTTTGCTGCGTTCTAGATGCATCAGAAAGGGTAGGAAAGCTACCCCACGAGCTCATGACGAGCAGCGCGTAGCTGCCGTTCGCAGCGGCTTCGCGCGGAGATACAGTACCGGCTGCTGCACAGCTTTACGTGATATTTTAATAAAGTTAATCAAATGCGAGAAAACGGGCTGTGGTCGTCTAGAGCCGGGCAGCGGTGCAGCGGATCCTTCCTCCCTACGGCCCGCGAGGTTCAAGCTCGTCACGCGGCAGGAAACGAGATCCACACGCATATCCCACACGGAGGCTGCAGTCTCTCTGCGGTTTCTTGCAAATTTGGAGCGCGTTGGTGAAGATAGTATGAAGTGGAGGGTGAGACGGGTGCCTCAGGCTGTCCGCAGCCTGCAGTCACTCGACAATATGGCTGCGTTCGACTGGATCAATTCCAGCACCGGTATGGTAGATGACGAGCGAAGAAGACATCCCGGCGAGATTTAATCGCCGAATTACACACGTTTACACACAAATGCACGGTTCGGATGTGTCCTATCTCGGCCACCACCCTTTTTACGCAGGAATATCCTTTGATTGTTGCTTGACGTTCTCAATGCCTTGGTGCCGTGACTCAGTGGCCGTGAGATTCGAGACGCTCAGTTTTCGTCCACTGAGGATAAGCACACTGGTGGCAACTCACTGGAATGCTCATTGCGGCTAAGAACTAAAAATATATATTTTATTTTCGTTTGTTCATCAAAGAATCCAAGCACCAAGTTTCTCTCGGTGGTTTGCACTCGTGCTTCAATGCCCGATCTTGTTTGTTTGTGGCACTTGGTTGAAGTTGGTTCACGTGGCTACGACTGTAGTTTGGAGTTCCACAATCCCTGCGTTCAACTTAGAGCTGGGATTGCCGAGTGTATTCGCTGATACCCCTGCGATAGATACACACCGGTCCACAGCACCTTTATCAGCTGCCGTTGAGTGCTGCACAGCATTGCACAGGAGGATCGTACAGGTACGGTATCCTGGACAAGATACCTGTTAATGTACGGTAATGCCAACACTCTCGTTGCTGTGGCGGCAAGCCGGCTCCATACCAATGCACCGCTGCGTTCCCTCCCTATCCTGGCCTGCAATCTGCAGTGCAGACGCTACTTGTGGATCATATCCAGACCTAGTCCATCCGCCCGCAAATACATGTAGTGCTCTTGTTTTGTTTCTTCTCAGAGCGTGTTGGTAGTGTACATCTACCGTTAGATGTGAGCTTACCCTGCGTCGTTTCACCGCGAAGAAACCAACGACTGTGTCGGCTTGGCCTGTATCATCACGCGTCACATTGAAGTATGTCCACAACTCAATGTCCTCTGGCTCAAGACAGGTCTCGCTCAACGTGCAATCGTCTTAGTGTTACAAACACAATTGTGCGTGTTGAGTGACGTAGAGACGATAGCGCTATTCACGCTATCCATACGCCCAGGCGGTGTGTGGGGCCTCGCATTGAGCAGGAACAAGCTAAAAAAACATATTTTGTGCTTCAACGCAATGATAAAAATTGCCAAGGCTTTGGTTTTCTACAGTTTGATCAGAGAAACTATATAAATACATGTCAGTCGACTGAGCATCCACATGCACTGCAAAAGTAGCGATCTGCTTTCATTCAGTGTGAATATCTTCGGTTTTCCCTTTTGTAAGTACCAGTAGAGATCCTCGAAAACATTCACAACGCGGAATTTCAATTGTTCGTGTTCTCAAAAACAGTAGATATAATGCTGCAAAGGTACCCTGGAGCGATTCGTCAACTCCCTGTTAGTCCCGCTTGATTTGTTTTGCGGGTGGATAAACATTGTTCACCTGGCTGCGACTCAGTGAGGGCTTGACCGCACTGTAGGCTGAGTATCCATACCAGCCCCCACGCTGTGGATTCTGCTTTGATGTTTGTTGAAGCACGCTCTTCTGCGGTTGCTAACAGAACACACTACTTGTACAATACACGTATTACTTACTCATCAGTCAGATAAAATACAACCACCAGACCGGTGGCACCAGTACGCAGTCAGGTATTATACGCGCACCACAAGCTCATACACGCTAAGATGGAGATACATGCCGAGCATGTAATCGGTATTCATAGTGTGTTAATTCAGAACGCTCCTGGAGCGGATATCATAGTTTCTGCAAGTGACACTCAGGGGTTTGGCCTTTTTTGTGAGTAAGATGCAGCTTCGAATTCATCATTCCAACGTCTGCATCGCTCCTCCAACCTCCAAACCAACAACTTCTATTCTACTCCGCGTAGCCATAACTGCTACAGAAAACAAGGTAGGAATTTACAGCATGGGGAAGTCTAAGCACCGCCAAGAATCAAGGCCCAGAAATTCGGCATCAAACCATCAGAAATTCGGGAAACAACGCACACCGTGGCCGTTGAGGCAGTGCCTAAGACATGCATGTCCAGACTTCTATAGCCAGCAATTAACGTAAGTAGAGGTTTTCTTCGTTGCCTGACCAAAAGTCCAAAAGGAGTTTGTGTAATGGTGTAGTGTCATTGGTTTGGTGGTATTGCCGATGACATCAGCGAAACTAAGGTGGGGGATTCTAGATCACGACTAAAGGATGTTTGTATATATCACCATGGAAAATAATTCTGAATCTCTCCTCTTTGCTCGCCTTCCTGTTTTCATTTCGCTGCTATCATCGCCTGAGCTTAGTCCGATAGAACACCATCCTCATTACATCTACCGGTGGTCCAATATTACTCCCAGTTGTAAAGAACTAGAATCCTGCAGAGCGGGTTGCCTCGCTTCCCTTTTTTATGAAGTGATGTAGACCGGGGGATGGCAAACAAATTGTGACGCTACCGCGAACCGAAGTACTGGGGTCGAGTTGGTTAAACCGACTTGTAGCATGCGCTATTCATGAAATAATGACAAAGCAAACGGTAAATCGCCGCACTCACGGAGCGATACAAGACTTCCAATACAGGACAAAACACAGACAACCATTTTAGCTGACACCGACGTGCATATCTCCTGTGTAGCTTGCCGATAGTTCGGCAAGTCTGGTATCAACGAAGTCCAAGATTTTTTTACCCTGCTGGGCCCCAACGGTTCCACGATTCGTTACTCGGCCCTGCTTCATTATCAACTGGTACGGGCGCGTTGGTACTACCTCAACGTTGACGTCTGGCCAGAACCGGCTTGTAGACTAGTTTGCTCCGAAGTAGAGTACAAATGCAACTGCTTATTAACTTATCGAGATGATTGTTGTAGGGATCTTCCACTTGGACATCGTAAAGGGCTACGGACGTGGAGACTGAAAGGAACGATTCGTGGCTCTGTTGGCCTGACAGAATGTCCGGGGCAGTAAGTATTCCGACCACGAGAGTTTTATGATATTGGAGCTGGAGACGTAACCCCTCCCCAGCCAGTTGGACGTATCCGTTGATAACAAGGATCAGCCGCCCAAGACTGCTTTCGTTAGCATCATCGATGGCAATAACCCCATAACACGCTTGAATAATAATAATAATCACAATAATATCATCGTTGAGGAGGTTCTTACTTACATGGAGAATATTTTCGAGTTTGCTGCCCGAGAGCGCGCTCGTTGTGCGATCTTGCCGGTGGTACATTTAGCTCACGTGTCAAGTTGATTCTACGGTATCGATGTATGCGTACGGTAGGTTCATAGTCCCGTAATTAGGACGCTGTAATGGGGACGTTTTTCAGCTGCGGAGGCTTCCGTGTTGTGCCCGCTCTTTGACTTCATGTGGTTGTCCGTATCTTGGCGAGTCGCTGCTATAACAACGCACACATGGCAGGGACATGAGCTAACAAAACCCCGCTTTCATCTAATCTCTGGCACTTGAGCCAAGTCGGCTCGAACTTCGAGCGCTTGTGCGACCGAGGTAGCTGCTCTGCACGTCCACATGCGCCAGAGCCGCTGAAGTGCCCCCCGCGCTTGAACACCAAGTTGGAGTTCGTCGCTCGGGCACCGACAGGAGACAAGCTGGCAGTGGATCGGACAACAAACGCAGTCTTTCGCGAGCCGAGCCGCGCGGAGCTGTAACTCGCTCACTTTTGAATTCACCTTCTCCCGGAGAAGTCCAGCCAGCCCCGCAGTACCTCGTCACCGCCTCGCAAGCCGCACTTCCCCCGCCGATCCATTTCAAGATGACGTCCGGCGGTAGCGGCAAGACCGCCTTCTTCACGATGGAGGACGCCAAGGCGTCGTTCAACCTCTTCTGCTGCGTGTGCGGCATCGGTTCGCTGGCCATGCCGTCCAACTACGCGCGCGCCGGTCCGTACTTCGCGTCCATCGCGCTGGCCTTCATGATCTTCGCCAACACGTACGCGACGCTCAAGCTGTCCAAGGTGATGCTGGTGGCGCCGTCGTCCGTCAGGACGTACGGTGACCTGGGCGAGTGGGCGCTGGGCAAGTACGGTCGCTTCTTCACGGTCGTCTCGCAGATGGGCGTGTGTCTGCTGGTGCCGTGCGCCTTCCTGGTGCTGGGCAGCACGCTGCTGGACGTGCTGTTCCCGGACTCGTTCAGCCAGATCTTCTGGATCATCTTCATGGCCATCATGGTCGTGCCCGTGTGCCTGATCCCGACGCTCAAGGAGAGCGCCGGCATGGCGTTCGCCGGCTGCATGGGCACGGTGGTGGCCGACATCATCGCCGTCGTCGTTCTGCAGTGGAACATGCGCGGCCACGGCTCGATCCCGGAGCCCGACGTGACGGTGCACCAGGTGCTCACGTGTTTCGGTAACCTGGCGCTCGCCTACGGTGCCGCCATCGTGGTGCCCGACCTGCAGCGCGAGCACTCGCAGCCGCAGCGCATGCCCCGCGTCGTTGTGATCACCATCCTCTTCATCTCGGGCTTCTTCCTGGCCATCGCCCTCGCGGGTTACACCGCCGGCGGCTGCCAGCTGTCGGGCAACATCCTGTACTCGATCGTGAGCACGTCGGACCCGCTGGGCCTGGCCCCGCTGGGCTTCACGGCTGACCGCGGCGCCGTGGTGATGGCGTACCTGTTCATGCAGATGCACATTTCCATCGCCTTCTCGACGCTCATGATGCCTCCGTTCTACATGGCCGAGCGCCTCATCCTCGGCATGCACAAGGGCCCGGAGATCGAGCGCTTCGACCCGGACCGCGACCAGGCCAACGTCGACCACGACATGGAGATCCAGGAGAAGCAGTCGTACCTGCTGAGCTCGACGCCCGTGGACGGCCGTCAGGTGTCTGCTGCCAGCCTCGTCGAGAAGTCCGAGGGCCGGATGTCGCACCTGCGCGTGGCGCTCGAGTTCGGCGAGGAGATCACGGAGGAGGAGCTCAACGTGCCGTACAAGAAGAACCCGCTGCACTACATCGCGCTGCGCATCGCCATCATCGCCATCCTCGTGGTGATCGCCGTGCTCGCCCGCAAGCGCTTCCTCGACCTGCAGGACTTCACGGGCGCCACGGCCCACACGACGAGCTGCCTGCTCATGCCGCTGATCATCTACATGCGCGTGTCGTGGCGGACCATGTCCATCTTCGACAAGGCGGCGTCCATGATCACGATCGTGGTCTGCGCCTTCACGGGCTTCTACGTCATGATCCACGCCGGCGAGCACCTGTTCGCGCCCTCGGACGACGACACGCTCTTCCCGTACTGCGAGGATGAGTTCATGGACGCCCCCTACTACATCCGCAACAACAGCACAAACTAAGTCGCAACTTTAGCGGCGCGAGGGTTTATGTATCATAGAGTGGGTATTCATTCATACTTTTTTCTGTTCACCAGAATTTGCTTATTTTCTGTCATTTTTTTCTGACTGAAAAATACTGATACTACGTAGTATTTTTTGTTTCTTACGGGAAACATTGCAACTTCAGCTTGGTGCAGCAACATGAACTTTTTGGTTTACTGTATATCCACATCGATCCACCGGCTCACCTATTTTGGCATCATGGAGTTGATAGCGTACAGCAGCGCGATTTGGTCGATTGTCCGTAGCGAGCATCCCGTCGAGCTCGCCTTCCAGCAGCAGCTACCCTGTTATTTGCAATAAATCCGCGTTATTTGTTGCAGTGTAGCTTGTCAATCCGGAAGTTTAGGAAATCGTTTGAAGTTGACTAAGTTGCCTATCACCTTATGTTGCACCAAAGGTGCTAAGTTGCCCAAATCGTTTCATCCTATGCCACGGTACCACCCTTTTCCAAGAGCGATGGATGGGTAGACAAAAATATGGGGTGGGTGGGTATGGGTTTTTACAAACCCTATTCCCTTTTATCAATTCATTTGCAACTCAAATTCAATTCAAAGCTCAGTTCATTTAACTCCAGGCACCGACCAGGCACCGATTTTCACAGATTTTCACCGATTTTAGAGGGGTGGGTGGGTTCTTAATAACCCACCCAATACCCACTGATCGAACTGTCGGGGTGGGTGGGTGGGTAACCCCGGGATATCCCAACCCACAAAAACCCAACTAGGAACCCTGGTACCACCTGCAATTGTCATTGCAGTTCACTCACTCCCCCACCTCCGTAGCGATGTCGTGGCTGGACGTCGCCAAGGACCTGAACACCGGCACCATCGGCGGCGTGGCGGGCATCATCGCCGGGCACCCCCTGGACACCATCAAGGTGCAGTTGCAGACCAGTCGCGAGACTGGTAGTGGCGTTCTACGCACTCTACGGCGGGTCGTGCGCTCCGAGGGCGCTGCGGGACTCTACCGAGGGCTGCTGTCCCCCATTCTGTCCAATGCCCCGATCAACGCCGTCATCTTCGGCGTGCAGGGCCAAATGGTGCGCGCCCTCCAGTCGAGGGAGAACCACAGTGAGCCCTTGACCAATTCTCAGCACTTCGTGGCCAGGTCCGCTGCCGGATTGGTCCAGGTCGTCTTCGCGGCGCCGTCCGAGCACGTCAAGATCCAGCTACAGACGGGGGCAATGGGGGCGGAGCACAGCTCCATTGCAGCGGCCAGGACGATCCTGAAGAGATACGGGATGGCTACACTTTTCAAGGGCTGGGAGGTGTGTCTGCTGAGGGACGTGCCGTCATTCGGCGCCTACTTCTGCTGCTACGAAGCGGCTAAGAGAGCGCTGACCAATGGGAACAGTGAGAACGAGACGGACTGGAAGCTCATGACGGCTGGGGGTATCGCTGGGATGCTCTCGTGGGCCATGTGCATGCCTGCGGACGTCGTCAAGAGTTGCGTGCAGGGCCAGAGTCTTGAGGGCAAGCAGATGACCATGACCGAGATCGCGAGCTCCAGGATGAAGCGGGAAGGACCGGGATTCTTCTTCAAGGGATTCGGCGCGACCATGGTCAGAGCATTCCCAGTCAGCGCAGTGACATTCCTCGTCTATGAGAAGATCATGCAGCTCACGTCTTGAAGCTCAAGCTGTGGACTTGGTGCTTCTTCGTCTTGAGGAATGCAATTTTGACGAAATATAATCCAAAAAGTAAGTGTTCATGTGACCAAGTTTCAACCAGAGATGCACGCTTAACTTTTTATTATCGGTTTTTACTGTTTCGTCTAGTATGCCGACCGAAAATCGCCCGAGCGGATGTTCATGAACTTCACAGTCGCGTCGGGGCTCTCTGCGAAGACGCTCTCGGGGTCACCACCAGGGTTCGGACAGTCACCGCGCAACGCACCGGGAACGGACGGGTCCTGTCCGGTCTTGTAGCTGTCGAGCCACGCCATATTGGAGCCGTAGTCGACCCAGATGCTCATCGCCAGCGTCATGCCGCCAATCATTTGCTTGCCCATTTGAGCAAGGCCGCCCACAGCGTACGGGTGGTCTCCGAAGAACGCCTTCGACGACTTGCACATCGTCTCGGTGATCGAATCGGTCCCGTTCAGTGCCGGCCAGGTACTGCCCGGGTTGGCTACCACACGGGCGCCTTGCTTGTAGAGACGACGAATCTCCACCAACTCTCCAGTCTCCGTATTGTCCTCCGTGATGAACTGCGTCACCACCGTGAATGCGCGAGTGGTGTCGATATCGAACTCCTTTCCGCGACCGTAGAGCTTCTTGTTGCCCATCCGGAACGGATTGAGGCCACAACCAGGCTTATCGCACCATCCCGAGTATCGATTTGCCTCAGTAGCGCCGCAGTCCTCGTCCGCTGAGCATCGCTGCTGGCCGTCGATCGAGCACGGGTGGGTCGTGTACGACGTGGCCATGCTGTTGGCCTCCCAAATGTCCATTTCAGTGCAGCAGGCTCCGTACGCCTTTTCCATATTGGCCTCACCATTGATAAACTTGACGTCCTTCATGCACTGAGCATCACAGTAACCCGTGCCGTAAGCAGCGCCCGCAGTGTTGATCGGGAAGCGGGAGGTTCCTCCGTCTGCGTCCATCTTGGAGAAGTACAGAGCGTCGTTGGAGCCACAGGGCAGCGAGGACATATCGACGTCAAAGGTGAACTCCTGGTTCAGCAGCTGGAACTGCTTGTACTTCTTCCCCGATGGTTCCAGCATGTAGACGTGGGTGCCCACACCGCCGGGAGTTTCCAGCTTCATGTTGAGAGTTTGACCGGAAGTGGTGATGCTGTGCTTGCCGGCGTAGTCCGCGCCTTCGAGTCCGCAGATCTTGGCGCATTCCTTCGGCGTCGAGCACGTCGTCGAGTTCCACTCGCCGTTCGCCTCGCAGGTTGTTGGTCCCGACCGCGACCATCTTGCGCCAGTTGGCGTCGATCACTACCGACGACTCCTCGGTCACGCACTCGACAACGTCCGAGTCCATGTGGTCGACCTGGGCGAGCACGTTGGTCACTTTGGTACAAACTTGCGAGGCTAGGGCTGGGTGCTTCTCCGGGATGTTAGTTCCAACTGTCGCGCACTAAATTATATAATAGCACACTTTCCCCACCAACAACACCCACCACTCAATGGGCTTGTTAGGGTTAGAACCTGAAGGCCCAGGAACTTTCCCTTGCACCGGGTTGATGTTTCCTCTGTGCACCGTGTTTCCGCTTAGTCAACTGACGGAAACCCAGCGTCACCAGCCACGAGCAAAGGCTGGCACGCTCTCACACGCAATATAAACCTCGCAGGCCCTCAGGAAGGAAGGGTCCCAGCCAGTCACGGCTTGATACGAGGGTACCGGAGCTATACTCCGGCGGGAAGGATAAATGGAGTGCGCTCTCGCTCTTCCACTACTCGGCGATGACTCGCCCTTCGTATACACGGCCACTTCTTCACTACTCTTGGCCTGACCACGGGTAAACGCACGCTACGATACTAGTAGGCGCGTCCACCGACAGTCATAATCCTACCAACAGGTTTATCCAATTGCTACGGGAACTCACCGATAGCCCGGACGTCTTCCTTGAGTGGTTGGGAGGAAAAGCTATTCTATTCTTGTTGCCCAAAGGGCTTATCTGTTCTATCTTCTCTTTCCTATGGTTCAATACAAATATCTAGTATAAACGCGCCCGTTTTGGATCTTCCCAAGTAACCACCAACCCTTCAGAGCCTCCTCGACGCCCCAAGAGGCCTCTCGATGACTCTATTGGACGATGAAGACTTGGAGCAGTCGCCGGGGCTCGAACGGCTGTCTTAAGTGCGGATCTCGGGTCAAAGTTCGCTGTAAGGTCGGATCGTACTTGAAGTCCTGGGTGTCGAACTTGGGTGTCGACGAGCCTTCGGCACCGGTCCAAAATGGCCAATCAGCATCCGCCGAACATTGCTGAACATGTCCCGACGACTCGGGTCGCCACTGAAGCTTGGTCGTCAGCTCGATTCTCGTTTACCGCCAAATCACTACACCACAGCTGCCCCCACCGCTATGTGAACCACATGATGGCGAGTAACCCTCGTATGTGCTAAAGCACGTAGGATCCGAGAGTCGGCGTCCATACGCCCAACTTCTAGCACGTCCGCCAAGACATGACATGGCGAACGCAACCTTCGACAACGGGTCGACGATACGTCGAGCCGCAATGGCAGTGTCGAGTTCGACAAGCCAACGGAGGATAGGTTCACCCTCTCTTCCGACATAGTTACTCACACTGAGCTTGAGCGATTGTCGTCCCGGACGACACCGTGGTAGACGAAGCAGCATCTCGCTGCTCCCTCATGATGAATCCCAGAGCAACACCATCTTGCTCTGTCGGCGTTAGCGTACGCAGCATCGTAGCTACAGCCGCATCACCAATGACTGTTGACAGTCGTTGGAGAGCTTCCCACTCTGGGTCCGACAGGTGGGGACTGTCAGCGCGTGCAACGTGAGTTGCAGGCGTAGTGGAGCTTTCCATGGACACCTCCGTACCCATGGGAAGGTTCTCAGCTCCGCGTTCGTGCGGTGACGTACGTCGTTGGTAGCGCCGACAGGTGACTGCCAGAAATCGCCGATGTGTAATGGGCCTACCTTGGCTCACTACTACGGCTTACACGTATGCGCACCTGTATGAGGAAGCGTAGGTTTCTTTTACTTGAGTTAAGTATACTCGAGATCCACGAGTATATTTTAAACAAGATAAAGACTCCAAGTAGCGTGTTTTGGTAAAAGATGAGAACTGCTATTTGTGTTTTATGTTTCTGACTTCCTCTAAATGTAATATTCTAAACTAGGAATCTGCCAACGGCTGGAACAGCTTTGTACATATCGTCGAGTAGGTGTTCCCTGTGTGCTTGCGATTCATGCCGTACTTCCACAGATACACCGCAAAGGCCCCAAGCTGCTCCGCATTTTTGACGATGTCAGTAGCCGATAGCCAGGGCTTGTAGTTCATCACTCTGCACCAAGCCGACCATTGTTCCCACGCGCGTGTATAATGTTGCCTTGACGATTGCGCTAAAGCCCCTGCTCGCAGTAGCGCGCCCAGAGACGCGAGAGATCGCGCAAGTCTGGTGGGATCCGCACCTGTGTCCAACCAGACGCTAAGTTAGAAAATTATGCTGCTAGTTCTGGCGACTGCCACACCCTGCTTCCTGCGTCCGCCATTTGATTATCCACACCGGCAACGTGAGAGGACGTGATGTAGAAACCGTGCTTCACTTCACAGACCCCCAAGATCCGCAGAAGCATTTGAGCAAAAGGGTTGCGGCTGGTCTTTTTGTTGCTCCAAGCGACCGCTGACATGTTGTCAATCCAACAGCGGACGTGTGTTTCCTGCACCCCGGTGGCGTCTTTCCATGCAGACCCCCACACCAAAGCTGCGAATACTGCGCTCATGAGCTCACGCACGTTGATACAAAATCTGTTGTCGCCGTCCTCGTTGCACTGACGTATTAAGGCGATCTCTGAGTCGTCAAATTGAACTTGTATGTACTGCTTGTAGGGCGGGAACAGCGCGCACAGGCCGTGGTCGCTGGCACCCATTTGGATATGGAAGTCGGACTCTTGGCGACGCGTGAATCTGGAAAGTGGGATCGCGTTTAATCTCCCGATGCTAATGGTCATCTCAAACCACCGTAAGTCCTCCTTAGCCTCGTCGGGTACCTCCACATACCCAAACCGAGGGGCGACTCGGGCTAGAGCTGTAACCCGCTGAAAGAATGGAGTAGCTTGTCGGACGCACGTGACTACATGGCGAAGACTCCCCAAAAGCTTAAGCAGTGTGGTTCGTGTTGTTTTGTTACGACCGGCCACGTCTCGCAGGCGGCTGAGCGCTTTTGCTACCTTCTCGGGAGGTATAGACACCGTTTTAGAGATCAGGTTCCAATCGAAACCGAGAGCGCGACCTTCTTTAAACCAGCCAGTGAACTTCTTCTCGTTACAGGCGTCTGGGCCCAGCACAATAATCATTGCCGATCGCAGGGCGAGCTCCGCTTCCGCTAGTCGCGACCCAATGTCGGGCTCGATTGCCGTGTGGTCGTCACACCACGTTTTGGCATCAAAATTATGCTTTCCTGTTGTGGGCTGTAAAGGCCATTGGGGGAAAACACGAGTAGAGATGTGTGATAGCGGCGCCGGCAATCCAATATGATACTGGTGAGTTTGACCAGCCGAATGGGCAGCAGAGATCTATGACCAAGACCCCGAGCTCCGGTATTGTGCCCGTAAACCGCCCAACGTGCTCTGCTGCCACTGGAATATTCCTAAAGGCTCCATTCACATCGCCCGTCATCATTTGCTGTAGTTTTGGAAAAAGCGTGTCCACATCCAGAATGCGATTGGCCAACGCGTCTGGGCCATCGTACTGCACATCAACCCCATGCTCAGGCACGGTATTGTCGTTGACTGAGTCGCCCGGAGGAAACGACAGATCGTGAATGATACGAGCGTCAAGTGTGATATCAACATCACTCTTTTGCACGGCGCCAAAGGGACTGCAAGTAATCCCAACTAGCGCCGGTAGCAGCTCCAAGTCCAGAATCAGATACCGATTCTCGTCTTGCCCTTTGCGAAGATGCTTTACGATGACATTTAGAGCGCGAACAGCCGAACCATGATTTGCTGGTGGCGCGGCTTGCACTGGAAATTCAGACTTCCATTGAGGACGTACACCATGCTGGACGATACTGTACCGCTGAGATTTGTAGCGATAACTATGCCACGAAGGTACGGCCGTAGGTTCGTCCAGCGCTTTATTAGGACGAGTGTCCCGCTCCGTTTCGCCGCGCAATAGCCGTACAAATTCGGGTAGCTGCATGCCAGATCGTCTCGGATATTCGCTGTACACTGCTTGTTTGTTTCGATCAAGTAGATACGACACGCGCCCTTGGTGAGAAGTTTGTGATGGCATTGGCTTTGGGGGAGATAAACCACGCTGCCGCAAGGCGAGATTGAACGTAACCCGAGCCTCTTCGTCGTGTAAGGCTAGCAGTCTCCGACGAATCGTGCTGGTTGTATCAAACTGAAGTTGGCGCTGTCGAACAAACTCGGCTGCCGAGGGTGCTGTGGCTGATATCTCACCATCATGAAGCTGTAGTACAGTCTTGGCCAATACTTTGGTTCCGGCCGGCGACTTAGCAGAGGCCGAGATCATTGACATGACTTGGCTGAGCGGCGAGGGGTTGGACGGGCTCGTCGACTTGAGTCGACCGAGCGGCCCGACGGTGGACGAGCTTGGCGACATGAGTGCCCGATGGTGGACGAGCTTGGCGACATGAGTCGACCGAGCGGCCCGACGATGGACAGGCTCGTCGACAAAGATCGATCGAGCGGTCCGGTGGTTTTTAGACACGGAAGCATGGACCTTGCAGGTGGTGTGGTAACGTGGGCGCGTATATACTTATCTCGATTCATTAACACCAGGGCACTTGGGGTGCGAGTAGGTTCTACATTCCGTGCCCGACACCGTCACTGCATATCTGCAGAAAGGCCTCCATAATTCTGAGTAAGGGAGTCACGCACAATTTCGGGCAAACTGGCAGGCTTGAAGTGGCAAAGATGTTTGATAACACAGCTGCCGTTCTTCCCCCGGCAACCTTGAGCAGACAGAAGCCTCAGGCAAATCTGCTGGTTGCCTTGTTTGGGCAGAGCCTGCCGGACCTCCAACGGAATGGGAACCCGCTTGTCAGAGCCGTTGGCTCGTCCGCCCCGCGAATGATTACCGGAACCGCCGCGAGTCGACTTTACGGCGGCGATAACAGCCTGGCGCAGAATCATTTGATGAACCCTGATAAAGGAGTCATGCGATGCACGGAAATGGGTCTTGATATCGGCGACTGCTTGCCAATTATCTTCCGCGATAGCCAGCCGAAACAATTCCAGCTGATCGTCGACCCATGCTGCGATCTCGTCCAATGCTTGTTGGGAAGACACTAGTTCGCTCACTCTCAGCTCGCTAAGGAAATCGGAAGCTGCGTTGAGTGTCTCGTGAACCACGGGCTTGTAGAGGAGCTGAGTTATCGCACATAGGACGTCAACAGACCCGACCAGTGTAGTAAAATCGGCAGGAGATTGCGCAGGAGGCAGGCTGTTCTTCTTCGAAAAGTTGCTCATGTAGTACGTTCGAACACGTTTCCTCTTCTCCTGCTCCGTCACGCGACCAAAGTGCAGAATCGAAAGTCCTCTCGTACCGAAATCCCAACCAAATAGCGCACGCAGGACAGCAGGATGAGGGAAAAATTCAAACTTTCGCCAGTGAATTTGAACAAACTCCACGAATCGCTGCGCAGTCATTGACGCGTACTTACCGTTGACTAGCCCCAGGTGAATAGCCGTCTGCATACCTGTTGCATGAAATTGATTCTTATCAGCACTACCATCTTCGCGTCGCGCTACCAGAGGCCTCAGCGCTTCCATTGAGGAAGTGTTGCGTTGCAGAGCCATCAGCTGATCAACATCCCGAGTAACATGAGAACTGTCACCTACTCCTTGTGATGCTGCCTCCAACTGAATGGAACTTGGTGGAACTGCGCGCTCTCGCACATTTAGACGCCGGCGCTTCGCTTCGCGTTGCTGGTTAGAGCTCCGACCACTCAGAGCGATAGGAGGCTCGGTATTTTCATCGTCGTCGGAGTCGCTCAAGCCATCGCTCAACATGACGTCGGTATTGGGCTGACCTCTTGGATCCTGCTGCGCGTTAGCTTTGTCAAAGATGGTTTCTCCAAACACCGCCCCCGACCGGTGTGGCCGCCCACCGTCCTTATAGTAAACGTAGTCGAGGATGTGCTGGATTGAGACCTCTGCAATAGCGAAATCGCCGATATCGAACAGAGGGAGGATCTTGGTCTCGTCAAGTTCATCGCTCCTAATTCCATCCAAAAGCTGCGTGGCATCTCTGGCCGCTGGTTGGTCGATCCCGTTGAACTTGTTGTATACTTTGTCATGTATCTGCTTCATTTCCCCGGCCATAACGAAGCTCGTGCTCTGCCCGGCACACGGTTGGAGAGCATATATCTCAACTGCAACATCCTGAGTGGTGCTGGACACGTATTTCACCGAGGTCTCGGTCCTGCTGAGAAGTTCACATTAAGCAGATCATGCTGCGACTCCGACTCCCAGCTATATCCGATCACTAACCCGTAGTCCCAGCCAGACCCTAGCTGCCCCCGGGCGTACTCGTGACGTGCATATCACGCCCCCCACAAAGGTGCCAACTCCATTCAGAGCTTCTCTAGCTGACACAGCTCTTGGGGTCAGTTCTTCCTGGAGCAGCTCGACTGCCTGAGCAGACTCCTCCGCCCAGCGCCCGCTCTGCACCAGCTTGACCTTCATCGTTGCACCGCGTGTGAGAGCGCCTTCCACCTTGCCATACGCGAAACCCACGAGGTTGAACGCGCCTGGGCGTAGGTAAAAATAGCTTGGTGTCCTCGGAGCGGGAACGGAGGTCCGAGAAGTCGTGCGCTTGGAGGTGTTAGCTGCGGTGAGGAAGTTCGCGAATGAGCAGACCTGCAGCCTGCTCACTTCGGAGCTCCTACCGAACCTATCTATTGTATCACTGCGACAGCGGGAAACTACGCCTTCGTCAGCAACTGATCTAACCTAAAGTTACTCCTGTCGCTTCTGCAACCTACAAGAGCTAAAATACCAGACGCCCGATTTTGCTCAAAAAAACGAATCGGCAGGACGCCCAGATGCATTTATCAAAATTACTGAAATGAGCACTCTACCTCAAGTCTCTCAAGGCCGAATCTCACCAATGCGGCTGCCGACACAGCCCAACTTACTAGCTTGTTCGCCGCCACCACCCCAACTTGAGATCGAAGCTCAGTAGAGCAAGCTTTGCGTTTGTTCCTGCCGCCGACAGAAGCACCCCCAGCAGCTATAGAGTTAAACGAAGAGCCCATCTTTACACCACTACTCTTCTTCCTTTATAATTTTCTGTAGGTAGACCCGAAAGAACGTATCTACAGTGAAACAAATATTGCAGTGTAGTCTCAGGTGCTCGACAATAGCCTTCTTCGTTGCAGCAGTGTAAAATGGTAGGGCCCGCGTCGTTTTCCATCTGCCTTGACCTCCAGACAGGCGAGGGTGACTTGGTGGCGCCCGCGCCGTTGCAGAAATGATCGCGCGCTGAGCGGCCGAGAGTGCAAAAATTACTGGCTTGAAACTGGTGTATCCCTCAACAAGTCAAGCCCTGCCAATCGGAAGACACAATTGTGATTGGCTAATACTATCCTGTATCCCATAGGTGGGTGTATCCCTCTACAAAACAAATTCGGTAACTCGACATAGAATGAATATCTAAATCTGTCTCTAAATATCAAATGTGCAGAGGTCGAAATATGTGTGATTTGTTCGTTTTTGGTAGGCGTCCATTGGAATCACTGGTCTGGTTAACCCCTTCGCCCATACGAGTCAACTCCGTATACGAAGTTTTTTTACAAATAGCAAGTCAAACTACAGTAAAGACGCATACCCCGATTAAGATGATATGTTACGTGAATGCGAAGCGGCAGGTTGTGTGGAGTACCCCAAATAGCAGCATTCGAGCGACCTGAGCCAAAACTTTGCGTTTGGTGATCAGAATGTAGCGATACAAAATTTGTTAGTAGTACTGGGATAGGCGCATGGCCTTAGCGCTCAACATCAATCGCGTTGCGTCAATAGATAGGCACAGTATGACTTCATTGCTTCGCCTGTATTGCTTCGTTGTTCATCTGCCCACCCACCTACAAAAGTACTTTCCAGGACCGGTGCCGCAGCACTACCACTACCGCTCATCTCATCTAGCCTATTTCAGCACAAACCGAACTTACTACCGTTCTAAGCCTTTGGCGACGATGTCGAACTGAAACAGCAGCTAGCTACGGCTGACCGACGGTGACGCTGACAAAAGCCGTCTGCTGACGGTATCCCCCGAGGCAACAGTTCTGAACTCACCAGATCTTGCAAGCTGATGAATGAACTGTCATCATGCACACCAGTCACAGACACCAGGCTTTACGTCCGCGTGTTGGACAGTCAAGACGTGGTAGGAAGAACGCAATAGCGCAGCGGTGTCTATACCAGCGCAATTAGCGCTCCTCTAGGGCTGTCTATAACAGTCAATAATGCTACGTTCTGGTTTCATTTCGCATCGAGGTACGTTGTTGCCTATTAACATCTTTGGCATTGTACAGTTGCTGCTACGTTCTGACAGGTAAATACGGCTATCAATTCAAGATTGAGGAAAAAAATGTGACGCTGCATGCTACTACTGTAGTTTTCTGGAAGTTGTCTCGAATATTTCAAATTTCAGAGCTTCTTCGGGCCGCACGATTTTGTTTTTTCCTCCCCTCTTTTTGATACCTCGAAGTAGCTATACTTATAAGTATTCCGGGTTGGTCGGCCTTCGAGATCATATTGCGGATAATGCGTGGAGAGAGGCCCATAATCGAACAAGTGGACTCTAATGTGAACTCGAGCTTGGATTGGGCTGATCCAGCATGTTACCATACCGACCAAGTCCTTAAAAATACTGGATGGCAAATTATTCTCAACCAAGTTTGGGATGGGAAAGAAAAAGCCTCCGTCAACATGGTGACGGCAGCAACCAAGGGGCTACTAGAAGCGGGAACTGCGCAGAAGTTCTCGCCTTTCCGTATTCGTCCTTGAGAATGGCAACGAGGTTTCCCCCCCAGGGAAAAAAACTTATAACTACGTCACTGATTCCATCAGCTGCAAAGAAATAAGTGCATTACTTTTTAACCTGCACCGTTTCAAGGATAGGTTACTCTTCGTCTTGGAATAAATTTCTGCTGGGCAAAGTGAAATTAGAGTACAAACGCGTAATGCTGCTCAGGTGTCGCGGCGAAAGCAAAAACCATACTTGGATACTTGCGTTCATGTGGCGTCTAGTCAGCGTCGTTCGTTGCAAGTGTCTGGCGCAAGTCGCGTGCCTTACGATGCTGATCATGGCGAGTTTGCTTCTGAGAGGAAATTAGTTGGCAGAAAATCCCGGTCGTGCGATTTCAACTTCTTCATCGTCGCCGTGGTAGTCTTGTCCAGACGTTTATCTGTTGGCAAAAACACCTCCAAGGAAGCACAGTCGCGAGCCATTCGGAAAGTCTTGTCGCTGAAACAGACGTCCAGGCCCCATACGCGCTTAGCAGGGGTGAATTTTAGATCCTTGATCGGCTATTGACGGAGCGCATCGTTGAGACGAGGTACCTCCACGTTACAGCACTCAATACTTAGCTCCTTCAATTTAGGGCAGCAGACAGCCAATGCGCTCAGGTCGATAGTGCTCCCTTTTTTCAATTCGACTCATCTGGATCGAAAGTTTTCGAATGTTGCCCCCAATGCGCGATAGAAAACGAGGTATAAAGCTCTCGTTTTCGACGTCGATCAGTTGAAGTCTCAACGCCTTCAGCCTCGTCGAGCCCGCCGTACCCAATTCACTTCCGTGACCCACCTACGTATCAGCCACGAATGTGTTCACTCCAACCGAAAGATCTATCTTGCGCACTCCATATCCAGGAATGACCACGTCAGCATAGCTACCCGTCGCCAGGGGGTCAAAGAGTGCTCGACACCGCCACTCACGAGAGAAATCGAGAGTAGCATCACCACGAGCTGTTGGAATCAAAGCCGTTCCTGGTTGGACATCAATATATCCGTACACCGACGCTGCAGGAGAATGTCCATCAACTTGGTAGGGATAACCGTTGCGCATGACCGCATCGACAGCAGACTAATCCCGCTCCGTTAAGTCAAACCACAATACATCAAACTCCTCAACGGATGTTTCCGAACATGAACTCCACAGCGAGTATGCCAGCCACTCCCACACCGATAGCTCAGCCGCTTCGCCAAGACCACCCTCGATGCTGATTGCGAGCTTTCTAGTGGACGTGGCTTGAGCTACAGCAGACATCGCGCGCGCGAAGAGCTCATTTGAGTCCCAGTAGGGGGTGAGTTTGAGCGCTCGAATCTTTCCACGTCGCTCCACCGGTGTAAGCACCAGGTCTCCAATTGCCAACTCACACAGCGAGAATCCACACACCAACGCGGTAAGGAAGCGGTCCATGCAACAAATATCGTCCCATTCCTTCGCATCTTCGCAAGAATTATTTTGCAACTCCACATCAGGAGACGTCAATTCTGCCTGAGCCAGCGCCGAGGTGATATCCGTGAACGCAGGCTTCGCAAATGCTGGTCCCTCGAGTAATGCCATGCTAACGAAAGCTGGGTTCTCCACCAACCAGGGACATATGTCGAAACCTACACCAGCAGGTGGCAATACCCCAGGAACAACTTGATCAAAACTTGCCGTAATAGTCGATTGTCGCCACGTATCAACCACAACGGACCAGTCCTGTAAAGCGCTCATCTGGATAACGGGAGGGGCCTGGAAGTTGAAAAGACGTCCGACCTGACAGGATAAGGGGTCCGCCACCGGTGGACTTTTCATCTTCTTCTGCTTGTGGACTCCTTGTGTTCCGTAGATGGGTGTGACCTCATTGTTCGCCCCCCAATCCACAGCAACGCACATGTTGTGCCAGCTCCCAGTATCTCCCAGCCCCATGGACTTGAGCTTGAGCATCGCCGCTCGGAATTCTTGAGAGTAACCGTGGGGGTCCTTTGGACAGCCAAACAACGTCCCCCACGAGCCAGCAGGCATTTTGGCGACGGGGTCGACGGGGTCAACGGTTCTGACAGGTAGCACGTCCAGAGCGGGCAGACGACATTTGAGCTTGTCTGCTGCTTCTCATATCGAATCAGAAGGCTGTGGAAGGCGTCGTTGTCCACAGCCGAGAGCATGTCGAACAGCTCCGGAAAATAATTAATTCCTGTTGTTCTACCACTACTAGGCTGTTGCTAGCTCACAGCCCCTACTTACCTGTTGGCGACCCTGTTCAACTGTTAGTTTTCAACAGGTTTTCAAGTTTGAGAACCTGTTGATCTGAAAACCTGTTGCGAGTGCTCTTTGACTGCAAGGCAAGCACCTAGCAGTCATCAGGTTAGTGGCGAGTGCAAGTACGCAATCGGCAGGGCAAACATCTCGTACTAACGCTTGAGGGTCGCAATCGAACATCATGCCGATAGCTGGGACTGAGAGCGTACAAGATACACCAAATTAAGTCAGCTACAAGCAACCGGAAGTCATTTAGAGAGCTGCAGCTCAAGAATACAGCGCCACCACGATACTGTAATCTCTGGACTAACCCACTGTCCTTGCGCATCCGAACGAACCACGATCAGGCTCTCGGCTATTAGTAGAGTCCCTCACGGAGGTAAACTTCGAGTCGCGCATGTACCCCTCGCAATATCATAATATACTCTTTGACAAAGGTTATTAACAGACGACAGCCGAGCAGGGCTAACGACAGGTGGACAGGGGCTGGAGAGACACAACAGCCGAAGAGTGCTAAAGTAACAGGTGATAAATATCACCCAACAGCTCCAGAGCCTCTCGGATCCTTTGGGCGCATATTTGACGCCTGCGACTGGCTTCGTCGACCGGAAATTTCACGCGGAAGTGGTGTAGGTAGATGTGGTAGGGCTCTTCGAGCATGTACATGTACTGGTCTTTGTCGACGCAGCACCAGAATGAGGCGACGGTGTAGCGGCCGGTCTTGTCCAGATCCAGCGACGGCGTCAGGTGCTCGCGCAGCAGCTCCACCCACGGCTGCAGGAAGGCTCACTTGTGCTGGAACTTCCACTTGCCCATGTTCGACGGCTTTTTGCGAAATGGCGAGCTTCTTGCAGTTGATTGGCTTGAAGTGGGCTTAGCGTTACTTCAGCATTCTAAAAAATAATCGTGATTTTGAAATAATTATTTTAAACGTTTAAAACGTTAAATATAGGTAATGTGAAAGAGTTTTGTAGAATACCGACAAGAATTATCACCAAAAAGGTTGACATAGATTTTCTCTTTTTTTATAGTAATGCGTCATTACGCTGAAGTAACGCAAACCTTCTGGGGCCTCGACTCGAGGTTCACGCACGACCCATTCCAGCTTTTACCTAGTGGGGCTCACATCGTACAACAGCAAAATCGTCCATCCATTCCTCCATGGCAACCGGCATCAAGCGCAAAGCGAGTGACGACGGCAATTCCGCAACAAGCAGCAGCAAGCGACGCTCGGCTTCCTTGACCAACGTCGACGACAAGAGGACGCTGGTGTGCGCCGTCGAGGGGCTCAACGGTCGAGTCTGCATCATCCCCATCAGTGCCGACGCCCCCATCCACCGCCTCAAAGAGCTCATCCACCAGCAGAATGCGCCTCAACTGACCGGCATCACGGCCTCCACTATGGACGTCTACTCCACCAAGGACCCCCGTCACGGTTGGGCGCGTGTGAGTGACCACGGATCCATGATCAGTCGTGGGGAATCCCGAGCCAAGACCTCCATGCTCCCGACGAGGCGTATTCGCGACTACTTCCCGTCCGACACCCCTCCCTTCCACTCAGGTGTAGTGCACGTCGTCGCTGAGGCGATCACCGACGACCTGGTTGCCCCTCAAGTGGAGGCGGCTGAACCAGCGCCAGCACCGGATGACGAGGAAGTCTCAAGTGATGAAGAGGACTCCGAGGCGGAGAATGAACGGTACGAGCAAGTGCGAGACGAGCTGGGGCTTTCGCTGAGCTGGGCTATTCCAGTCAAGGACTTTTCGCAGAGGCACGACTTCCAGGGGTTTCAATGGCTGCAGTACCAGAGATACCTCGACGTTGCCCCCTCCCGCGTCTTCATCGGCAATAAGACCACTTGGCGCGAGTTTTACGTCGCATGCAACCAGGTGATCGAGCTCAACGAAGGCCACGTCATGTTCCGCTGCGTGGAGGGCTTCACCGCGAGCAAAGATGGCTCCACGCTGATGTTGTGGGTAGGGACTTAAAGTGAAGAAGAAACAGCAGGAAGCAGAAAGTAGTGCTACCATCTGTTATACGAAGTCCTCAAATGTTTTATTACTCTTATATTTGTTTATTTTTCATACAATTGTCAAAAACTTGGATGCCTTTTGACACTGTCAAAAAAAATGGCAGGTGTTGGAGGCCAGGATTATAGTAATGGACACGTCCATGACGATGTACAGGATTAATCCTGAACGAGCGATTCCTAACTAAAGTGAGTACCATCTGAGGAAGATTGGAGAAGATACGTTGAGGACGCGGAAGATACCCTTCGTGTGGTTCTCCTTTCTTTGCAGAATTACTGCAAGAGAAATCATGGGCAAATACTGGTTTGATACTTGGAAAATAGAGTGACTACCGTCATCCCAATCGTTACGTCTCAATGAGCAGAGCTCTAAGGAAGCTGGAGCAAAGCTTAGATGTATTAATTGTGGCGATAGTGCTAAGCTTTGAGAAACCTCTAGGGCACGTGGTCATGGCACTAGCTTTTGCGCGAGCTCTGACGGCTGAAGTTCCTCGTCATCGATGTAGGCATGTTCGGACGGTGGGGGTATCTTTTCCTCGGTGTCGTCGTGTTCAATGCGATCCGGTATCATTAAATCCTGCAGAGGTAGAAGTTGACCGGATAGCAAATAGTAGAACAACTCGAATCGGCGTCTTGTCAGAGAGGTGTTGCTCATGTCCAGTTGTCTCCCACCGACGACCTGGTGGATAAACATCCAGCAGACGTATACACCACAGCTAAACGTGTCAAATTGGATTGGCCTACACTGAGCGAGGACAGTGTAATCTTGCAGGCCTCGAATTTTCAGCTGCGTGGCAACAGCCTTCGCTGTATTCATGAAGGAAACTTGGTTCAGCGGATCGTAGTAAGTATACACTTCTCCGTCACCTTGATAATCACACAGCACCAGTGTGCCTACGGAAAATTCAACGGCAGCAGCACGACGTCTACCCCAAATGCATGGATTTGCTGTAGAACACACTCGTGGATCGAAACATCGATTAGGTCCGCGTCACTGCGTCTCGTGCGAGTTTTGCTTGGAATAGCTGACTGAAATCCAGCAAATCTGCAAGTAGGAAAGTCATCCTGTAGTCGATGGCATAACGTCGCGATTGATGCATCACTAAGCCACATGGGTGGTGTCGCTCTGTAAAGCATAGCGTATTCAAAGTCAGGAAGATTGGGGAGGCCGTCGATTTGCTTGCGCGGGTACGCAGATAACACGTCAGCTGCAACTTTGATCGCCAAGGCGTGATATTTAGCAGGCAATGAGGGCAGTCCCTTTCCGATGAGCCTCCACTCCGAGTTGCACCGATTCCTTCAGATCTTGAACTTTCTTGAACGTCTCGATCTGCATGCGTGAAAAATTCCCGACGTCTTTGATCTGAACCGTATCAATAAAGCCGTCTCCGTTTTCCTTGCTACGAGGTTTGGTGTCAGTTTCCAAGCTAACGTTCACGGCTATGGCGGTGTCTTTAGTGTTAGAGAGAGGGAGCACCTTTAAACAGGATTCTACCAGCTTTGAGGGGAGAATGTAGACGCGTCGATGATGAGTACGGGATTTTTCATGCGTTTGAATTTCGGTTTCTTGGTAGCCGCCTCGCTGTACTTGACAATGATCCCGGACAGACGCCGCTGAGTTTCTACAAGAGTTGGGCGCTCACGATCCAGCGCAGACAGCAACCCCACTAATGTAACTTCTCCTGCACACTTACGCCCCGCTTCAGCGGCTTCGAACCATTTTCGATCACCTTTCTCACCAGCAGCCGTTGTGGATTTCAGTTTTCGTGGCGCCCCTACCTTCCTGGCCTAGGGATTCAGTCGTACGTGCACAGAGCTAAATCCAGTCACATCACAACTCGATGACCTATTCTCCACTTCTAGACACTGATCGGATTCTTCGCTTGAACTAATTTCGAATTCGCGTTTGGCTTCCGCATCCTCATCTATTGCGTTTTGGTGGTGGTGAACGTGAGGACTGGAAACCGCATCGACGCACAATTGCTCGAAATCGGCGATTTTACGCTGGCGTCCGTTGCGCCATTGGTTTAGCACGAACTGCAGCATCTCCATAAACTCGCTTTCATCATCAATATCTGCCATCTCAGTTGCGATCAGATGTGTGGCCCTCACAGCCTCTCTGTAGCGCTCCGCGTGCGTCTTCACTCTTTGCTCGCGGCGACCCGAGTTGGCATCTTGGGACTTCTCATAGGAGAACTGTCTGACCTTCTCCAGTTTCCGGTCTGAGTTCGTCCACCTGCAAGTGCAATTGGCTGATGAGTTTTTAGGATATACTATTATCGTGATGTCAGTCTGATCGTACCTCTTGTCGATACGGCTCCAGGGAATTAGCGGGACAGCTAAATTTTCGCTCTTGCGATACGCAATAGCGTGGCGACACGGAAGGCGTATTGATAACGAGAACCCACAATCACATCTCCAGTCGTCCGTTCTAAGCCTATACTCAGAAGAGGTGCCGTACACGACGACTAGACTCGGGTCGCCGTGATCTTTACGAAACGTGTAATTTGAAACATTGTCCATTGCACGAGCGTACTGCTGTTCAATCTGCTTGGCTACATCGTGGGTAGTAAAGCGAAGCACATTGGACATCTCTTCGTCATAGTTGCTGTTCACGAACTGGCCAATTCGAGATAGCCGATACTGATATTCGTTCTGCATTCGACGCTCATACGCGACCAAAGCTTTCACGCACATAGCCATACTCAGGGAGCTGTCTACTCCATCCTTGAACTTTCCAAAAAAGCTTTCAAGGCGATTATTGGTGTGGTTGTTAAAGTGTGGCAGATCTGCGCGGCGATACATCACCCAACGATCTTGGCACGAATCCCAATTTTTCTCGAAGTACTCGAAAACCCCCGTCAGACCGATTCTTTCACACAAGCCCTTCAGTGTTTTGTGCGTAGCCTTGTAGTCTTCTTCCGAAGCAGCATACACCATTTTGTGGATTGCTGCGTCGACTTGGCTCGCGTCGTCAGAAGAAATCTTCCCAAAATCAGATTTCGATCGCATTTCCTTCAGATACTTGATAACATGGAAGTGATGCGAGCCTCTGGGAAGTGAGCTTCAAGGACACGAATTTCGTTCAGATCTTTGACGACAACTACAACGCGCACCAAATTAATCCGAGTCGGATGGGCTCTCTTAAAGTGGGCGATAGCTTTCTCCATGTGCCAATCTCCCTTCGCCTCGAGCAGCGACTGCTGCACCACAGCGCCTTCGCCGAACTCGTTCATGGCCATGAAAGTAAGGAGCTGGTAGTTATAGCTAAGACGTCAATGGCAGGTAAGACACGTTATAAATCATTATTACATAGTCTCAGTAGAGAGACAAATCCACGCACCGATTCGTTTGGTGGCTGCAATCAACTAGCAGCACTTCGCTAAATCGGCCATATACACGGCGCATGTGTGCACTCACCAGCGATATGACACCCGTTTCACCTGCATCAGTATCTGCAATAGATGCAACGTTCTCTGGATCAGCTGCTGCGAAAGTCGCGACTTCTCTCGCGGTAGCTTCGTTATCGTCAACACTTGACACCGACGATTTATGCTCACGCACCATGTTATCCACATCAACTTGGATGACATTCTGATCGTGTTCCAGAAGATAGTCGTAGATTCGAGCGCGTTTTGCACCTACGGCCAACATACCTTCCACACGTGCTTCTACAAGTGGATTGTCAACTCCACGAGAAGTCGGATACGTCGCGTAGGCAGCAGTCGATACCGGGTGATTGTGGGTAATGCATCCAAGCTTTACTTGCAGCTCGCCCCTTGACAAATTCCACTGTACCACGAATCTAAACGGGCAATTCGTCAACCGTATATGCTACTTTGGACGACTACCTTCACTGCGTGACTTCCTCTTTTTCCAACCGTGGGTGCAAATGTAAGTCCGCTGATACGGGTCAAACGCCTCGGGGAGCAACAGGGAGTCATCGTTTCCTTTCATACAGACTTCTTTTCCTTTCTTAGTACACTTTAAGCGCTTGATACACTCTGCACGAGACAGGGTCTCTTTCACGGGCAACACTTGCTTGGTGCGCTCGCAGTACTCAGCCAAATAGATCTTCCATGCAGCCCAGTCTGTGTGCCAGAGCAAAGGAGGCTCCACGCTTACAGAGATTGCCGCACTGTCGTCCCCGCCGTGTTCTTCGTGGCCATCACCATCGCGGCTAGACGCACACCCCACTAGCAGGCCCCCAGTAGCCCCCGCAGCATCGTACTCATCATCGCCATCACTGCCCACAGAGTTACCCATGATCGCAGCTTGCTCTTTGTCGTGCTCTCTCTTCTCCTCACGCCCTTCTCCGTCGTCGAGCGTGCTCTTGGTCGCGTCTGAAGTTGGCGTCATGCAGAGCCCCGGACCCCGGTGAGCGTCGTTGCTCTCGCCTTCCAGTATCCTGTTTCGCTTCACCTTGGCCTTCGCAGTAGGCCTCACTGCCTTGGCCGCTTCCGCGTGCGTTGCTCGGCATCTTCACGGGAAACCTTCGATTGGGAAACGCCGACTCCTCAGAACGAGAATCAATCGCATTCGCCTCCTCCGCGAGCGTCGCAAGTGCTAAATTGGTCGCGCTGTTTCTCCCTCACTCGGTAAGAAATGTTTCTTACCAATCCTGGACAAATCATGTTTTCCGATCATGTACGTTTCCATGATTATAATCATGGCCTCCAACGGCGCCGAAAAAAATTGCGTGATGGACATCAAGTGGGCGTTCCTGGTGCCGTGGTGCGAGGTGTTCGCCGAGTGCAAGGCTATCTCCGAGGTGGTGGACACGTCCAAGGCTCCCGTGACCGCGTCGCTGCGCTGCTGGCAGCCTCTGCCCCCCCCCCCCGCGCGCGAGTCGCTGGCGGGAAGATGCATGATCCCCGTCCCGTTCTGGGCCGAGACGGGCTCCCGCTATGACCGCAAAAGATTGCAACGCGCGCGGGAGGCCGTCGAGCTGTTCAACATGCTGGCGATGGTGGATCGCGTCACTTTCCTTAGTTCCAGTTCGAACACGGCTGAGGGACGGGGTCAATACTTGATTAGTTAGCGAGACTTGGTTGCTGCGCCCAAATTAATCTTTCAGTTCTACTCTAGTAATTCGAGTAAACTTGACCCCTGAGGAACAGTCTATTACCCGCTGGGAGAACCGAAGTTGTGAGGGCTTTCACCCAACCCATATTAGGAAAAAATACTAATCCCCATTCTGGCGCAAGCCCACTGTGTGAGAAGAGAAGAAAAAAATTGTCGGGCCTGGCCCCTTCTTCTTGCTCACGCGGACTCGAGTCCTGCTTGTTCGCGTTCTGGCGGAGAAACCACAAATGCCGTGGTTTCTTTCTGCAAGTCGGAAACAGCTCCTGGCCTACAGGCCGGCTCGCTGAACCGTACACTTTTCTGGAATTTCTGTGGGAGTTTGTGACCGTAGTCGACAGCATCGAAGAACTATTCACCGACGACCTGAAGTTTGTCAAACCTATTTGGGAGTGCGTTTTGGTGGGCAAATTGTCGAAATTCGACCCGGTGGCGACGCAGGCGAAAGTGACGTGGGGGCAGCTCTTGGGCTGTCAAAATAACCCGATGCAGTATTCCGACGAGTTCCGAGCGGCCATGGGCAAGTTGGAGGCGATGAGACGTCAAGTCGCTGAGATTTTGGGGGAACGCATGGGAATTCTGGAATAAGGAGGGGAGCCAGGGACTTCGTTGTGGTGGTGCGTTGAACATGATGTTGCTGATGTGTCTGTGGCCTTTGAGCTGGAGAACGGCAACAAATCGAAGATTTCTCGTCGGCTGGGAAAGTTATTTGATGCGGAGGTTCCCCGGGTCGTTCAGCTGTGCGCAGTCAGCGAAGAAGCAGCCGATGTGGTCGAGAAGTTGGAGGGGTCTCGTTCGTGTGTGGGAAGTGGAGCGATAAGCAACGTGGAGTTTTCGAGCCCGGATATCCCGCTACTGACGAAGGCTGTGGCTCGCTCGAACTACTCGTCGCTTCGTCTGGGACTTGATGAAAAGTCAAAAGGGGCTGCTGCGATGCACAGTGCCGGTCTGATGTTTAACTCTCTCATTCGTGGGAAATCGCTGTGCAAGTTGGAGAAAGAAAGATAAGTTGGATGCTCCCTCGGAATCTACCGGTAAAATTAACGAACTTATAGTGCAGTGTCTTGGGGATTCGGGTGTCCGTGTAAGTGGGGTTTGCTCCGCGCTCGCTGAGGCGAAGTCCATTCACAAGTTGACGCTTCAAATCGGTACGCTCTGGGACGACAACGACGGGATGAACCAAGTGCGGCGTGTATGCATTGTGGAGTAAGGCGTCGAACACCTCGATTGATATTGTGACGATATCGGGTATCAATCTGACGGGTTGGTGTTCCGATTGCAGACAGAAGGACAGAGCAGATGGGTGAAAGTAGTCATTTGTCCAGTCTCACTTCAACGTGGAAGGCATCTAATGTTGGAGGAGGATCCAGAATCAGCGACGGACAGGCTACGGGTGCAAGTGGCACCCACCGGGAGGCGTGATACGTCTCCATGCATGGCAACAAGGAGCTACAGCAGGCTAGGCGACATCCAGGAGAGCAGACTTTCCAACAACAGGAGCTACAACAAGCTACAGCAGGCTGGGCGACATCCGGGAGGGCAGACTTGCCAAAGGTAAGAGCTAGGAGGCGCTGGAAGGATGGGCGACATCGTAGCTAGCTGCTAAGCCCCAATATATGTTTCGCACTTTGCAATCTACTTCGAGCTGCGCAAGACGAAGTTTCGGGCTGTGCAAGCCTGGGGTGCAGATCAGTTGGGTCGCTGATGCGGCGTATGGGGCGATCAAGGAAAACTACCCACCAGGGATTATCGGGCAGGCTGGTCAGGACGAGTCGCGGGCTGGGGTATTCGGATATGTAGATGTGCAAGCAGGAACAAGAATCCAGCCTTTGGTGTGCAGCGAGAGCGATAGTCTCGTGTTGGCTCGAGATTGCCGCTGTCGAGCTCGTACGATTCTGCTTCAATGGGGAAGCAAGCGGACCTCGTTGTGCCAGGCTATGGACTTTGCATGGTGGCGATTGATGATGGTGTCAATGAGTTCATACAAGATCCTCCGGGTGTCAATGAGTTTATACAAGATCCTCCGGCCCCGAAGTCAGGCTGGAAGTCTTCAGGGAAGGTCCGCGCGCTTGAGTTCCATTTCGACTAGGTCGAAGACGATGAAGTGCTGTACGAAATCTTTGATGGAATGGGTGCTGGGCTTCGGACATTGACCATGGAGATGCACTGGAGTGATAAGCATCCGTGCGTGCTATTCTATCGCATGGTCCTAAGTTGCCCTAAGCTGGAGGAGCTGCACCTCAAAGGATTCGATATCGCACTTACCGATATGGAGGAGGTCAACGGAAGATAAGGAGGCTTCTGCTGGTACGGACATAGGAAGTCGTTAGCTAGCCTAAGTGACATCAATGTACCTCACTGAGAAACGAAACGATATGGAGGAGGAGGAGGAGGACATATCCGAGTGGGGGGTCAAGAAGTTGGTTCTCGAGGACGTTAGAGATGTGGACGGCCTGTTGGAGACTCTAAGCGACCCCAATGTTCGGATGGCTCGGGAGTTGGTTGAGCTGAGACTCACGTTGACCAATGACTCAATGGTTTCGCCGGAATATATCGCTGCGCTCGAATCACAAGACGGGAAGTTCCTGCCTGTGGTCAAGCAGAAGCTCCCTACCCGCTCGAAACTCGCGATGATCAGTGTCGCTAAAAGCGACGACGATGCGGAAGACAAGAACAAGGCGACTCATCAGCTGGATGAAAGCATTCTGAGGTTGGTGTTTGCCTTCGCAGCAATCCCAGCGCGGCGATCTGTTCGTGTCTCCAGAAAGGCTGGTGGTAAACATACCCAGAATGGAATCATTCATAATAACTGCCCCGAAACTGAATTCCCTGTTTGTAAGGCAAGGACTAACGTTATTAACTAACGTTATTACAGCACGGGGAATCCACATAGCTTGGTCCAACACCGTCGCGGAGGACAAACCAACCATCACAAGAGCTCGGAGCACCCGCGTGAGAATGGTGGAGCTACCAGCAGCAACGCCAGTGATACAGAGGCCGAGGAAAGAGCGCCATCATTTGCGTCCAAACTCAACGTGTTCCTTGGGGCCAAGAGCGGCGTCAACACCAAGCTCGGCGGCATATTCAAGGATCGTACCATGCACGCGGTAGGAGAACTACCCAACAGGGACTATCGGACAGGGCGATGATGACTCGCGCGCTGGGGCAGTCGGATACGTCGATGTGCAAGATGGAGCAAGAAATCCAGCCTTTGGTGTGCAACGAGAGTGATAGCCTCGTATTGGCTCCGAATTATCACTGTCGATACGACTCGGCTTCAACGCAGAAACAAGCGGAAGTCGTTGTCCCAGGCTATGGACTCTCCAGCGGTAATGCTTACTCCAATACAATCCACCGCTTTTCGAAATCGAGATCTGAAGAGACGTATCCATGAACTTCAATCAGCATTCCCTACACTTTTATCTACTTTTAGTATCTACAGGTTCGCGCACCAACGCTGGCCGTCTTTCGAGTATAAGTTGCACAAGTTGAGGGCAACCGGAGAAGTACGCCATCGACAACACCACGAGTCTTCCAAATCCACATCAGCGCCAGCGTCCAGCAACACTCGAAGGGGCTCTAGTCGGTTGTACATCGCCGCCATCAGCGACGCAGTCGCTCCAGAATGGGATTGAATGTCCATGCCCGCCCCGTTGTTGACAAGAAGCTGGACAACAGCGTCGTGTCCATTCTCCGCCGCGATGAAGAGCGCTGGGGTACCATCGTCATACTGCTCATCAAGCGACGCCCCACCATTAATCAGTACTCGCGTTGCGTCAACGTGGCCAAACTCGGCTGCAATTCGCAATGCGGTTGCTTGTTGGGGGCCTTTAGCACCGATGGAGGCCCCATGCTTCAACAGTAAACGTATGACGTCGCTGTGACCGTGTAGCGCAGCATTCATGAGCGGAGTCCATCCAGCTTTATCCGGTCTGTTGACATCCGCCCCAGCCAGAAGAAGAGCTTCGACAACTTTGACGATTCCATGTTCACAAGCCATGCCTAACGCTGTAGCGCCGTCGTTTTGAGGGATACCAACGCAGGCATCGTGCTGTACAAGAAGCACCACAACCTCTGTGTGGCCGTTTGCTGCTGCAATTGCGATTGGGGTGTATCCGTCGTCGGCAGGAAGATCGATGTCGGCGCCGGCCTTGAGTAATGCTGCGACCACTGGAAGGTGACCCATTGTAGCCGCCACTTTCAGCACCGATGAACCTGCTAGCGTCCTTGCATTCACTTGAGCACCGTACCTTAGTAGCAACTCCACGATGTCGAGATGGCCATGCAGCGCCGCTAGATGGAGGATAGTGAGCCCGGCTGTATCCGTTGCTTCTACGTCAGCGCCAGCGTCGAGTAGCAGTCGAATGTCATCAATATTGTCTCCACGCGCTAAAACATCGATGAGGTTGATGTCAGAGTTCGCCTTGGACGTACAAATACTACGAAGCACGAAGCCCTTGACGGTAAAAACTGCTTGAAGCAGTCGGTGCCCGAATGCTGTACAGGTGCTAGTGAGCCCACGGTTAGAGCTTTGTGGCTGCATATTCGATTGTGGTGGGGTTTCTGTGAAATCGGCGAGCCATAGGTTGAACTAATTAAAAGAAAAAAGAAAAGTAAATCCAGTGTGTAACGCGTTCCGCTTAAGAAAATAACTTGAACACTGTGATAGGGAAGCTGGCACTTCCTAAAGTGTTGATCGCCGAGTAGATTCAAAAGTGGGGAATCATAGCATGCTTGCCCCAGCGCTCATGCCTGTCAGTGTCTACTTCTAGATTTCTGCTCTTCTACGGATTGTTATCTTCTACAGATAGTTCTCCCCAACTCCTAGTTGACTCTTCACGTAGTCCATGCCAGCTGGGGTAATGCACTGCAAGACCCCAATGTGTGTGAGCATGGCTTGAATAACCACCTCACACTACAATCCCCTCCCAAGCCATGTTCACTCAAAAGCTCTCTGGGAAGTCTCTTAGGTTGCACTGCCACCATAGAGATATAAGCTAACATGCGGCCAACTGACCACAGTTCATGCCAACAAAGTATCTTGTTTAGCTTGCATAACTATATACAACGTCAACGACTTAAGCACCTACGTGGTTACTTAGTCTCAGACATGACTCTAGCACACACTGTGTAGTCTAGTCGCGATGCTATCCAGCAGCTCGGCTGCTAGTGCACTGCACTGCCGCCAAATCACGCTTTCAGCAAATTGTAGTACGTCGTGAGCTTTTCATCCTTTGCTCTATCGACGTAGGCGTCAACTAACACCTTTACGTCTTGATGCATGACCTTCAAAGGCTCCCAGGAGTCCTCAATAGCCTCAAGACCTTCCCAGCTGATGGCCAGCTGATAGTCGTGCATGTCTTCATTCCAACGGTGCTGGTGAATAGCCTCCACCTTTAGCACGATGCCCTGGGCTGCGATATGCTCACGCAGCTCTTCAGTCACCTCCAGATCGCACTCTGCGAAGAACTTCAACCGGGAGGCATGCACGTTGCTCTCCCTCCCGGTGACGAGATGCTTGACTGTGAACGAATGGGCGTTGCACTTCGTCACGACGTAAGGGCCGACCCACGTCACGAGGAGTTTGTTCTGGTTCTTTTCATCTACGCGAGATCTCAGCACATAGTCTCCGATAGAAAAGTTCACCATCTGATAGCCTTCGGCACGTTTCTTGTTCAACAACGTCCGCCGTTCACGTTGGTCTGTCACCTCTTGATGCATCTTCTCAATGCTGCTCCTCAATGCTGCCAAAGACTCCTCCATGGTCTGCATCGAGGTGTCCACACTGATAGGAGCATAACCAGGGACGAAAATGGTCGATATCGGACTTGGGCATGGCAGCCCTGTGAAGACTTCAATAGGAGCTCTTCCTGCCAGCGACGGCACCGGTGAGTGATTGAGATTAGCTTGGACGAGCGGGATTAGATGAACCTAGTCTTGGTATGAGAGTGAGTACTATAGTATCATTGCTCGCAGCACCTGCAAAACATCGCGGTTCACGCGCTCTACAGAGCCGTTCAACCACGGGCTGTATGCCACGACGAACTCCTGCTTCGCCTTCATGAACTTGCTAAGTAGAGCCAACACCTGGTTCTTGAAATGCGTAGCGTTGTCACTGACCCATGTTTTGGGCATTCCGTAGCGACTGTGCCCCACATCATTGCCTCTGCAGCTGCTGGACCGATCGACGCATCGCAAGGTATGAGCTCACAAAAATGGCTGAAGTTGTCTTTGATAATCAGCAGGTACTTGCTTGTTCCGAAACTCTCCCCTAGAAAAAGAAAATCCCAGTTGATAGCTCCATTGCGAACGTCCGAGCGAAAACAAGGTCCCCATGGACGTGGTATAACTCCTCCACCCTTTACATGATGGCAGAGCAGGCAGCTCTTCAGGAACCGCCGAGCCCTTTGCGCCATCTCCTTGAATTTAAAGATTCGCTTGATATGGTTTAGCATCACTGCCTCACCTCGATGACCTTGAGGACCGCAGTGTGACACGATAACCAGTCTCTGGATGAGGCCACTTGCTCCTTCCGGCACCCAGATCTTGCCGTCGGATCGGTACACTCCATCGTCGCCTTGCGTGCAGGCCTCTGGTCTGTCTTGTAGATGAGCTTTTTGCGTGGCGGCAATCTCGTTTAGTGTTGGCCAGACGAACGAGTCTTTGTCAAGTGGTCTCAACAATGGTCGTTTTTCTGCCTGCGTCTGCATGCGCGTCACTCGCTTGAACCTCATCACTGATGTAGGCGGCGCACCACCCCAGCGAGAAACTAAATCAGCCCAGACGTTCTGCTCACCCTCTATATGTGCGATAGTGTAGCGATACTCGTCAATTTGAGTGACCATCGAAGCAATTTCCCTCGTACATGCTTCTTCGTTTCCGGGTGTGGTACAAACATGTAAATCAAATTGCGATGGTCGCAAAAGATTTTAAAGCCCCCAGGCCGCAGCAACAGGTAGTTTAAGTCGTCACACGCTGAAACAATTCTTTCTCCGCGACCGACCAGTGTAGCTGCGCGCCTGTAAAGGTCCCTCCTTTGCAGATCAAAAGCTCGTGGTTTTGCTCAGTCACACGCTTTGCGTCATCCCAGCTCTCCACTTGAGTCAAAATGGCCGACCATCCAACATCCGACGCATCACAAACTAATGCGAAGGTTGCGCTGTCTTTCGGATGGGCTAGCGTTGATGAGTTCGCCAACAGCTTCTTTACATTGTCGAAACTCACGAGCTCCGACTCGTTCAGCTGCAGCGCAATACCAACCGCGACTCGCTTGGTCTTTCGTTTTCCCTCGAGCGCTCGATCCAAGCATTGCTGTAGTGGCTGTATAGTTCGGGCGTAGTCGATCAAACTATCGCGCATCCAATTAGATGCACAGATAAATTGCTGTAGTTCACCTGCCGTGGACGGTGGAGGCATGTTCGACAGAGCATTGATCCGTCTGGGATCATGCGTGATGCCGTTCTCTGAAATTACTTTGCCGCACCAGGTCACTGACTGCTGGTACAAACAAGTCTTCATTACACTGAACTTCAACCCATAGTGATCCATAGTGTCAAACAAAGTCTCCAGTGCCGCCAGATATTCCTCGATGGTGTCTGCAAACAGGAGCAGATCATCAATCCAGATCAGCAGAGACTTGTAGACCAGCTCAGCAAAGCATTTCTCCATTGTAGCCTGAAAATGCAAGGCCGCATCGCAACTACCCTGAGGTACTCGAGTTGGTGTGAAGACGCCCTCGTCGGTCGCGCAGGATAGCATCTCTTGACTCGACTCAGCCAGCGGTAGTTGCCAAAATCTCTTAATGAAATCGAAAAGTCCATAGTGCTTCTTGTGCCTGGCATGTTGCAGCTTTGCATCGAGATTTGGCATGACTCCGGCGATAGGCTCAGTCAAAGCGTTCAAAGGCTTGTAGTCGCTTGTCTGTCGAAAATCCTCCGTTCCCGGCTTTCTCACTGGTAGCGCAGGACACGCCCATCGACTGGCCTGGTTCCGGTATACCCAACCCAGCTTCACAAGCTTGTCGTTGAACTCTCTCATGAACTTGCTTTGGGCTGGTGAGTATTTCCTTGGCTTACATCTGTACGGCTTTGCACCCTTCTTCAATCGAATCTCGTAAGCCGGTAGGGTCATTCCGGAGATCGATGCGCCAAATGTCGTGTTTCCTCACTAATTCTTCCAAGTGATGCCGATATGCTACGGGGAAACCCGCTTTTACCGCATCGTCAACCAATTTGATCAACTGCTCCATGATCTCTGCCAGATCTGGATGCTCAGTTCTTTTATCGTCAACGCTGTCGTATGGATCACAGTCGTCGTTGACTTGAGGTTGTGCAAGTTGCTCCAGCAACCTGTCCACATCAATTCCCAATGACTTCAACAAGTCCTTACCCACGATAAATTCATCATCATCATCTTCAATTAGCAGACACTCGACAGGTTTCTGGTGTTCAACGATGCCAGCCTGTGCCAATTTGGATGACCAGGTCTACAGCTTTCACAGCCTCGACCCAATGCCCCCCAACTGCACGGCCCTTGATCGGTTTTTCCCGTTTCCTTATCGAGATCTCTTTCCCCATTACTGCGTTGAGCTCTGCTAGCGTCTTGACGTTGATGAGACACCGGCTCGACCCAGTATCTGCGCAGTAAGGCTTTCGGAGGACACCATTCAGCAGAACGGTGCCCGCCTTATTTCAGTTTTCCTCGCGAAGTCGCTTCATGTTCACATCGCTGGACGCTTTGTCCTTGTTCTTGTAGAACTGCTTCGGCAAGTCTCGCTTCTCAGCGTCACTGGCTTCAGGGCACTTAGAAAGCCAATGAGGTCCTCCGCATTTTAGGCATCCTTTCTTCGGTGCGGTAGCAGTAGGTTTTCCTTTTGCCTCCGGACGTGGTTGATTTCGCGCAGGAGCACCTTCTTTCTTGCGCGAGTCATGGTTTTTCGCTGTCCGTGCACGCCAGACTCGGCTCTGAGCTTGGCCTTCTTTCCGCCGCGCTCGTGTGTCTGACGTGGCGTTTGAACATCATCCGAGGCCCTCTTCTTCTTTGATCGCCGAAAGTCTCGGTTCTGCTCAAGTGCCTTGGCCAGTATCACATCGTGCAACTTGCACTCATCCGTCTTGGCTCCAGGCGATTGGTACCGCAAGGCGTTTTTCACCTCCTCCTTCAATCCTTCCGGGGTAATCGAGTTGACCAGCAAACTGCATTTTTCTTTCCGCCCGGTTTCCGACTCAAAACAGGCATGCAGGCCGTGTTCTTCAATTATGCGCTCGCAGGAGATGAAATATTGCAGCACTCGCTCGCTAACGTCACTCTCCTTCAGGTTGAAATGCAACTGTTTCTTGAACAGAGCTTGCACGTCGGGCAGAGTGTGGTTCTTCACGGAGTTGATAATGTTGTCGATCTCGCTACGCAGTCTGTCGTCATCGACTTCAGTCACTGCAACTTGCCACCGGAGCCGACGCCATGTCTCTAGCAGCTTCCGATCGAAAGAATCCTTCACGGATCTCGTCACCGCAGCGTAGTCCTCTCCCGAGGTCTGGCAGCGCGCTCTCATGATGTCTTCATAGACCTTCCGTTCCTTGCGCCACTGGACAAGGGCGGCGTGCGAGGTCGACGTGATTTCAGGGGCCAGCACCGGCGTGAAGATTGGGTGAGCACCATCGTACTCTCGTTCCTTCATCGGGATCTTCTCCTTGCTGGGTCCTGGCTCCATCTTCTTCAGTGAAACGAATCCCACTAAAGTCGACTTTGTAACGCGTTCCGCTTAAGAAAATAACTTGAACACTGTGATAGGGAAGCTGGCACTTCCTAAAGTGTTGATCGCCGAGTAGATTCAAAAGTGGGGAATCATAGCATGCTTGCCCCAGCGCTCATGCCTGTCAGTGTCTACTTCTAGATTTCTGCTCTTCTACGGATTGTTCTCTTCTACAGATAGTTCTCCCCAACTCCTAGTTGACTCTTCACGTAGTCCATGCCAGCTGGGGTAATGCACTGCAAGACCCCAATGTGTGTGAGCATGGCTTGAATAACCACCTCACACTACATGTGGCTGTACATATCGTCGGGGGTTAACGTTGCACTCCGCGCTAGCTCTGACAATACAGGTTACTTTTGCGCGGTTGGTCAGCCTAAGGTTCAGCATAAATTTCTGGAGATTAATCTACAAAAGTTCAGTTCCATACCAGACCTTACTCAGGACAGGCTAACTCATAAATTAAAAAATGGTTTGCACCCGATTAACTACTGGTGAGGACCTTGCAAGACGTTTGGGTCTGACTGAACACTGGTCCTTTCCGTGGGTATTTATCAGCTCACTTGTAGGTTGCACAAGAAATACCAATAGCAATCGACCAGTGCCTGAGGGTCACCCATCGGCACGTTCACTTATCATTTCTCCTCGCTGCCCGCATGTAAGGTTCTGGTTGTGCTTGTTGTGTTGCGAGTAAAATGGAAACTGAATTGATGTCTTTGTCTGTTTGCTGCTATCCATCTACCCGAGGGCGCCCTCATGGCGCTCGGTCCTAAACATGAAGTGGTTGGCTGAGGCGTGCCGGAGCAGGAGCTTGCGCAACCGGTGAGTATGCAGACGACGACTTGGGCTCTCTGCGTGCGGACTCAACTGATGACGTGGTTGTGTTCTGTTCTTGCACATGCAGATCATTACACCGCACCCGACTCGCCCAGTCCAGCTCAATATGGTGTATCAACCTGCACGAAGTACCACGTACAACTTCGCTGTCAACCGAGGGCTTACACGCGCCAACTACCAGACGGTGAGCACCGAAACATACCGCCCCAGCACCGTGTACGAAAGACCTTACAAAACTCCGATGAACTTCGCGTTCGTTGAGGCATCGCGTCGGCAGAAACGACCCACAACGAAGGCACCGCGCACGACTTCCCACTTTGTTGCTGACAAGAACGACACCGCCACCGCCACCGCTAGCGAGAGCTCACGCGATTTCAGCTTTACAACGGCCGGCTTCGACGATGACGCGTATCCCACGATGATTTCGTATCCTGTGGCCCCAGAAGACTATTGTGATTGCATCACAATCCCCGACGACACCGACTTTGCCGTGGATATCTGCACGGACGACGTGAAGTGGGGGGCGAGTACTCGGACGGCACTTGTAACGAGGTGCAGTTCAGTATCGACACGATGTACGAGAGTTGCACCCCAGCGGACTCTGTTGAAGACCTCGACTGGTACGCTTACTGCGCAATCGACTTCGACTATTCACTGGAAGACACGTCTTCGTCTAGTGTCGAGTCAAGTGCAGAGGACACTTTCCAGAGCTCCTGCCGGCTCAGATGAAGCCATTGCCTCGATATCAAGTGTTGATCAGTCAATGACTATTACGTCTGGGGAGGGCTCGGCGTCGGAGGAAGAAACGATAACAGACCAGGACCAGGGTGCGTCCTCGAGCCCACCGCGGTCGAAGAATCGGCTCCAGCTGCGTCCGCAGCTCAAGCGTCTGCAGCCAACACGCAGCGATCGATTCTTGAGCGAATGCTAACACTCGCTTTGGTGCTGGCTCTCTCGCTTCAGTAGATGGTCTTCGTAGTCGGTGGCATTCATGTTTAGAACATATATCGACGTATATTGAAGTGAGTGTGTGTGATTTTCTTTCTTTCTTAACACACAATGGGTATTTTGAGAGGAGACGAAGGCGAGGCTGAAAATGGGTTTTCCCCGCCGAACGGCTCCGTATGGATGCGGCATCCGGCGGGGGTTTTCCCACGCTAGGTAGGATAGTTAGTGGAGCAGCGCCATTCGTGTTCTTGAGGCGTGACCATCAAGTGCCGGCTCCGTCAACGACATCATCGCCGCGGTCACGCGCTCGACCCACCTCACCGCTCCCTGGGCTGGCTTCTCCAGCCCCAGTTTCGGACCGACGCCGCGACCGAAGCTTCACGTTGCGACGATCCTCGACTCGGCCCTCCGAGGCCGAGTCTTTAATGCGAATGGACTGCTCCTCTTTGCCCCATGATCTTGACGAGCGGAGAATCCAGTATTGCACCCATTCTCATGAAGGACGTAAGATGATCGAGCACAGATTTTGATTGATGCATTCGCTTCGCCCTCGACGAAGACGCTCGACTTCGAAATACTTCAGAAGAACACAAGATGGCGGAGTGGGGTTTCCTGGAGCACTGGCGCGTGGTACTGCACAACAGCGCATCCACTGAATTCACTGCATCGACTGGAACTGCTGAAAACAACGACACTGCCGACCCGATTCTTCACGTGTCAATCTCTTTCGCGGAAACTTATTTATCGGGACAGCAAAAGTATTGCGTTGAGGCTTCTCGTAGACGAGAGAAACCAGCTGGATGCGAGTCGGCTACGCCAGCTTCGAGAGGCTATGGAGCTGTTCACGCTTCTTTCGATGGTGAACAATAAAGCATTCCAAGAGTTAATGCCTCCATCGACCGAGACGCAGCCGCCGATGACCAGAGAAAAGCGGATACAACTACCGAAATGGGGGGACTCATCCACCTAACGACGCCGCTGCAGCGCAGGCTCCAGTCACGTGGGGGGCTTTGCTGGGGTTTCCGGAAGACCCTTGGGAGTATTCACTTGAGTTTAAGGAAGCTATCACGAGGCTTAAAGCGATGGGGCTCGACGAATCAACGAGCAAGTACCTCTCGAATGGGCTTTCAACTTACTGGTACTATCAACACTGCCGGAGGGGAAATCAGACTGGCCCAACTGCATACAACAAAGGTAAATGGCTTCCAGAATCCTGTCCCATTCGCCGATCCAATTCGGGGTCAACTTGGAAGGCTATTTGATACCGTTGTTCCTCCGATTGTGCAGATGTGTGGTAAAACTGGCCCTAATTGCGCTGCACTCTTTGTCACTGATCCATGTGAGAGTGTGTGGGCCACGATACGGGATTGGGATCATTCCTGGGCTCCTGAGCTAACAGTAGCGCTGGCTAGGACACCCATATCGAGGCTTAACCTGAACGTTGGGCACACCTGGTTGCACTCACGGCAAGCCAGGATGGATACCGGGTTTCTTCTCAGTACCTTGATCTGTGGCCGCCCCCTGTGCGCTGTGGACGGACGAAGCGCCGATATACTTCCCGATACCGTTCAACTGGAATACGGCGACCTGAACTTGTCCGGCTTCTGGGTCACTGACAGCGAAATGTTTGTTGCAATCGGCTCGGCGGTCGCAGAGGCGTCTGCGGGGGCGCATCTGTCAAGGCTCGGCATAAATTCAAGGTTTGGACGGTGGACCTGGTTGATTTACGCACTCTGTTGTGGATCCTCGCACGCGTCTGTATCCTCGGCAGCCATTTCGCAGGGTCCAACAATGACGCAGTCTGCCATTTTGGCCATTTCCGCGGTGCTGCGAGCCAATTTTCCTCAACCAATACTGGAATCGGATGACAGCGGTTGCCACAAGTATGGTTTCGTCGACATTCAAGGGGGAAGTGAGCTGCAACTCTGTGACGTTCGTGAGTACGAAGAAAACGAATTAATTGTGTCACGGGCATGCCACTGTCGAGCCCTTCACGACCCGCTTGACGGTGAGTGGGTTACAGTCATCGTGCCTGGATACGGAGTTTGCAAGGCGAAACTTGGCGAAGGTATCCGATTCACTCCGGATTCAGATAATCCAGCCTTCCCAGTGAAACGATTGTGCGGATCTCTGGAGATAAGCCGCGTCAGATTCGAGACCGCTGCAGTGTTGATGGATCTGCTGACGTTGGTCACTAGTGGCCTTCGCAGATTAACACTGTTTGCCCCCGATGACGACGCCACAGCCGCGATTCAAATCGACCTTTGTGTATTTTCAACCGCGTGTCCAGAACTCCGACATCTTTCTGTCACGCACTTTGATGTGGTAGTGTCGGCCCATAACGTGTCCCTACGTCGCTGGCCCGTCAAGACGATATTCTTACAATGGTGGCAAGAACGCAGGAGCACGTTGTCCGACGTGACGCGGTGCTTGAAGAATACTGAACTACGAATGACTCGCGAACTTACCAGCCTGGAAGTAAGACCCAGTTCACTGGTCGATCCGGACGAAGTCAAGGAGTTAAATAGCCGCGACGGCGAGTTCCTGCCTGTCGCGAAGGAGAAGCTCCCTGCCGAGTCGAAAGCTGCCTTGATGAGTGTCGCCACAAGCGCAACCAGTGCCGCGTTGAATCGCCTCATGGACGCAAATATCCTGAGCCTCATCTTTGTGTTTGCCTCAACTCCGGCGCAGCGCTCGGTCCATTGTTGGACCGATGAGGACTATGAGTCGGACCCAGACGATTGGTAACGCATTGATATAAAGTTTTCCTGGATAATTTTACCAGATTGTGTGGAGAATATTGGTGTAGTAAGCTACAACTAATCGTTTTTTGCTAATGCGTTTAATGGATGCAGCTTTCACACACCTTCATCTTCTATTTGTCACATAGATATCGATGTTTGTCGATGGTTGTGACGGGTACGACACGGTCTTGTAATGACTGAAGTCGCCCCTGTTCGCCACATTCAGTTTCAAATACAACACGCGATGGAGAAATGGGGTTTCTTGGAGCCTTGGCGAATTGTACTACGCGAAAGTATCACGACCGAAATCACTGGGGCGCTATCGCTGTTCACTCGGATAGAAGCAACGCGGGCTGACAAAAAGATTAACCCGGTCCTCCATGTGTCAATTTCCTTCGCGGAAAACTATTTAACGCCGAAAACGATTTGCTTGAAGCTTCCAGTTGGGGATCGAAGCGTCGATGAAAAAAAGCGTCTCGAATGGGCTCTCAATCCGATGAGCTTGAGGGTATTGGTGTCTAGCAGGTGAATCGGCTTCGAGGCGCTTAATGCGCCCCCAACGACACTCATCATGCAGGGAACATCTCCTTCATGAGCGGTAAGAACTCGTCGTCGTGAGTCTGTAACTCAATTACCTCTTTCCCGTCAGCGAAGAAAAGGTCATCGTACGATGGATTTACTTCCAGTTTAAGAAGTTGGCGAGCCATTCGTAGCGCTGGGTTGGTCGTGGAGCTCAGCGGGCGGCCACAGATCAACGAGTTGAGCGTGAATCCGACATTCATCGCTCGGTCTCGCCAGTACCTCGCACCGCTCTCAAAGCTCAGTGTGAACCAGGAGATTGGAGTCCGAGCCAGCGCCGTAGTAAATTCGGGGACGGTCTGATGATCCCAATATCATATCCCTGCGTCCACGATCTTGCATAGCTCAGTTGGTATACCCGGTGACTCCGATGGAGTAGTAACCAGCGAAGTGCAACCCTGAGTAGCACAAGTCTGCGCTACAGGAGGAGCAATGGCGTCGAATAGTTTTCGAAATTGACCCCGAAGTGGGTTAGATGGATCGTCCGATTTTACAGCCGTGTGGTCGCCACTTACGTTTACTGCCTCCAGTGTGCATTTCCAGCTTCATATTCGCCTCAACTCCAGCGCAGCGAGTGGCCAAGTGCTGGACCGCAGCGGACTACGAGTCGGAGTAAATAAGTGAGTAACAGTAAGTACAGCTGCACTTCAACATGTCCAATACAAACCTCAAGTTTTTCCCATCCCATTATCATCCAATCACAAAACGGTATCTCTCTTCTGATTCGCTGAAAATCGGACCAATTGGACGCCAACCATCGGTTGGCTGAACGGAGCTCCTCGCCTCTCTCACCTCCTGCACGTCAATTGAAAGTCCGGTCGGTCGGCCCAGCAGCAGCAGCACTAGAGCTAGAGCTAGAGATCATGTCGTTTCGGGGAGGACGCGGAGGCGCTCGCGGAGGACGCAGCGGACGTGGAGGCGGCCGTGGCGGAGGCCGCGGCGGCGGCTTCCGCGAGCCCGAGGGCCCGCCGGCTTTCGTCGTCGGTGCGTACGCAGCTCAACTGATTGACACATAGGTAGATATCTGTAGACTGACGCGTTGTTGCTGTTGTGATTGCGGCTGCAGAGCTGGGCTCCTTCATGCACGCGTGCGAGAACGAGATGGTGTACAAGAGCACGAACGACAAGGTGCCGTACTTCAACGCCGGCGCCTTCCTGGAGAACAAGACGCGCATCGGCAAGGTGGACGAGATCCTCGGCTCCATCAACGAGGTCATGTTCACGGTGAAGCCCGACACGGGCGTGTCGGCCTCGTCCTTCCAGACTGGCGACAAGGTCTTCATCAGCCCCGACAAGCTGCTGCCGCTCGCCCGGTTCACCGAGAAGCCCGGCAAGAAGCCTGCTGGTGCCGGTGGCCGCGGCGGCCGTGGCGGTGCTCGCGGTGGACGTGGTGGCGGTCGCGGCGGCGGCCGTGGCGGATTTGGTGGACGTGGCGGAGGCCGCGGCGGGTTTGGCGGACGTGGCGGCGGCCGTGGTGGCTTCGGCGGCCGTGGTGGAGGCCGTGGCGGCTTCAGCGGACGCGGTGGCGGCCGTGGACGCTATTAGAGACTCTGTCGCCCGCTTAGCCTCCAAAGTAGATTATTGTAACTTCACTGGGAAAAAAGCAAAACAAAAAACACGGTTGCATGTTCCAGCGTTCGAGGTGTCAAGGAGTCGAGTCGATGTGGAGTGGTGACTGCAGAGCAGTATGTAGTGCAGGCGCCTGTATCGCGTCGCGTGACGAGCCCGTAACAACTCAGCAGGAAATCTGCAATGCAAAATGCTAAGTGCGTGTGCTGTTGTATCTTGCAGCATGACACCACCGCCCACCTCCTCAATCTCAACAGCAACTCCCACGCACAACACTCGCAACTCAAAAATGCTGTCAGGAGACCAAACAGCGATATATACTTAGCGTCATAGCCCACTGCGTCTCGGCCGTCAGCTCCAAGTGCCCGTTCCCGTTAGTCCCGCAGTCTAGATCCGCTCCAGACACTCGAACTGCACAATGCTGTTGCCTCGAATCACCTGGTCACAACCCGGCAGCAACATAGCAAACATAGCAGAAAGATTAGCAACGACCTTCACTCACCCACCCACCTACAGTCATTTTACCCCAGTAACTACGGGGCCTCCTTACCACCATGCCGATGCGGTTGGACTCGGTGGCCGAGACCTCCTCGACCGTCTCGTCCAGCGTGACGTTCATGAACTGGTCGAAGCCGCGCAGCACGCCCGACACCTTGCGGTTGCCGTTGAGCTTGAGGCTCAGGCGCTTGTCCATGTATCGCTTGAGGTCGGGGCCCGCCGTCTTCACCATGGCTGCTCCTGCTTCAGCTGCTTCAGTCCACTTGCTTTCGGTCTCCCGCCCGGATATGAGCGAGCGGTTACGCACACGACGCGCACACCAAAGTGGTGTGGCGCACGCCACTCTCTTAACACTCGCTTTCACTATGGTCCGTCCTCTTTATGCGACATGTGGCCAACCTTCTCGAAGCCGCCCCCCGCGTACGTAACCCCCGCCGAGCCTCACTTCCTAAAACCCCGCGAGCCACGCAAGCAGCTACAAGCCCAAGGCGCAGGACCCACCACTAAAGACTCACACAGAGCAACCATGAGCAAGTCGAGCGGCTTCTCGCAGGGACAGGACTGGGAATCGGCCGGCTGGGGCAGCCGCGCGCCGCCCCGCGGTGCCGCCAAGCAGCAGGCGCTCAACAGCGCCCGTCGCGCAGGCACCGTCGTCACGGAGGCCAAGTGTACGTGGATCTTGGCTCTCTCACACTTTATACTCCTCTGTGGGTGATTCCGTAATCGTACCTGGAAGAGCTGACGGGTTTTATTAATTTAAACAGACAACGCCGGCACCAACAAGGGCGCGCACAGCGCTGCGAACGTCAACATGCGCAAGCTGGAGGAGGACACGGACAACTTCAAGCACGACGCCGTCGACCGCAGCCTCTCGCAGGCGCTCATGAAGGCGCGCATGGCCAAGAAGATGAACCAGAAGCAGCTGGGCACGCTCATCAACGAGAAGCCGCAGGTCATCGCCGACTACGAGTCGGGCCGCGCCATCCCCAACGGCCAGATCATCTCGAAGCTCAACCGCGCGCTGGGCGTGCAGCTGCCGCGCGGCTCCAAGAAGAAAAAGACGCCCGCCAACTAATTGCAATGACTAGGATAGAGTCGTGCAGTTGGTTGTCAGAGGTCTTGTTAGGCAGCGAGACAGGCAGGCGGACGCACTACAGTAGGTAGTGGGCTCTGCATTTTGTCTGCTGGAGCGTCGTACTATATAGAAAACAAGCAATACAATGAAGGCCGAGTTGGCTCGAAACCTGTGCGGGTGTCCGAGCATTGAAGGCTTGGCAGCGTAGAGCTACAGTGGCTGAGTCACCCCATGCATGGTGATCTCCGCCACGTGGCAGGTGGAAATGGGTACACTTACTTCAACTTGTCTTGTGTAACTGTTCATTGCGGTGCAGCACTTCAGTGGTCGATCGATCATGCGAAGCGACTCGCTGGATCTCTCTCGTAGCTGGCATGGGCTCGTTCGCGCCGGCTAAAAACAGCGGAGCCGTTTGCCGTTTGCTGGTCTCCGGTGCTCCGCTCTCCGAGTTTCCAGCGCCAACGCGAAGCTATGTATTTATACCCAGCCACATAGGTAATGTACGTCGCATGCTGCTGTTGTGTGTCTTCACTCGCTTTCTGCTGGAACGCTGGATGGGAATGTGCTCTTGGGTCGCAAAAAGCATCAATACAGCTGCCATCCATCAACCCGCCGAGCTCAGCCGAGCTGCGGGTCTCTCTTGCACCTCGGATTAGACTAGGCCCAGCGTCGCATTTGAAACGAGCGCTTGCCCCGTAGCTTCAATTCTTCATTTCGCGCCTTGCTCGCCCGTCGCACTCGTTTAGACTAGTTCGGCATGGCGAGTAACAATCCCAGTGCCTGCAACGTGTCGCCATCCCGCGTGGGGTTCCGAAGTGGGCCAACGTCGCCTCCAGCACCGGGAAAAGTTCAGGTTCCGACATACGACAGCGATGGACTCGAAAGCGACGACGAGACTCTGCTCGCATTATCGTCGCTGCCCAAGATGGAGTCAATTCGCGCCCCTCGTCAAGTTAAACCGGCAAATTACCAGCAGGAGCAGCCGATTATCTCCTCGAACGCTGTCTTGGACTTGTCGTCAGACTGTATCGATGTCGTACAACAGGCCATTGATGCTGTAGAAGAAGCGCTTGCGCGGTGCCCCAAGTACGAACGGCGCGAGGCGCTTACCGAGCTGCTGATGCACGCAAAACTGGAACAGGCGAGGAAGGCCACGGCACATAGCGCTGATTGCTACCAGCACGCGAATGTCTGGGCTGCAATGCTGATGCAGGTGCAGGAACTCGGACGCAATTACCCCAAAGAGTACGAAACCTCCACTTGCCTCGCCACCGGAAAAACACAACAGTCTCACAACATGCTTCCTTGTTGCGATGTACAGCCCGCAGGTTCACCAACTCGTGTATCTAGTGCAGCAATGTGTAGCGAGGGGCGAGAAGCACGAAGTTCCTGAGCATGATGAGCACGAAAGCTCCACTCCATACAATCACCAACAGGAGGACAGCGAGCTCGTTGTGGAGGAGGAAACGCATCAGCAAGAGCTTGAGGATGATACCGACTTGTGTGGCAGGATGGGAGAAGCTGCAGTTGATGTTGATGGCGTGCTGGACGATGATGACGGAGATATCGGCTACAGGATCACGGAGGATATCCTGGAGCCCGAATCCAACCAGGCCGAGGACGAAAGCGGTGATGACGACGAATTGAAGCACGACGATGACCGGGATACTAGCTCACACCACGATGACACGGAAATTGAAGAACTGGATGAGCCGGTGAAGCCGTCGAAGCAGTCGAAGAAATATGCAGCAGCGTCCCCCACCTCTCGCCTACGAGTACTTCTCCCGATCTTGACGGCGAACATCATCGTCAAAGGTGTTCAGGTACCCCGCCTTCCCCGCGGGAGTGACGGAGGCTATAGCAGCAGCGACTCCGACAAGTCGGACAGTGCTAGTGTTTCCCCGAGAAAACCAGTCGCCAAGGTAACAGGAAGGAGCTCGCGCCAGAAGTTTCAATTTCGTGAAAAGGAGTTGCTGCAGCTCTTGGAAGACGAAGAGGCCAAGCCAGGCTCGGCCTTGAGCCCCGGTTTGCTTCGACGATTCAGCCCGAACTCAAAAATCACTGGAACAGTACCATTGAGACGAAAGTCGTTCTCAATGAAGCGCAGCCCACTGAAGAGTACTGCATTCGCTGGTTTCGGTCCACTCCCTGTTGTGTCAAGCTCCGAGACGGCAAAGGCAGCCTCGCCAAGTGGGAAGTCAACAAAGCAGCTCTGGGCTGCTCGACGAAAGTCAACAAGCGCTTGCCACATTGCCGCCAGTGCGCAACAAACTCGCCGCAACAGTAAGAGCTTCTCGGTGACCAAACACCAAATCCTTGCCTTTAACAACATCAAGAAGGTGGCAGCAGCTCCCAGGAAAACCTCGTCCGGATCACCCCGATCTCTATCCAAAACAGCATCTCCAGCTTCCCCAGTATCTGGTACCCAAACACAAATGGTTTTGCGCGTTCGTGAGCGTCCCAGTGATGGTGTCCCGGAGCTCGTGATTGCCAAGAAGCCCGTTCGTTTCGTCGTGTGGCATTGGAACGACCGGTGCATTCGAGTCCCGTTCATGAGCGCTGCGAATTTCATGGAGCTTGGGCCAGCACAGCACGGCATCATGCTAAGGCAGCTGCGCTACGTAAAGTCGATGATGCACGAGCTACCGTGGGCTAAGGCTCATTTGCGCTCGCTGTTGTCGCGATACACGGCCAAAGAGGTATCCAAGGAGGAGCTGTACCCACAACTCAATGCTCTCGGTCTCCAGGTGCAACGTGAAATCGGTTCCCGTGCCAAGCAGCACCGTGCGCTCACTGCTCGCAAGCAGCGACTCACAGTCACATTGACACTGGCCACAAGTGTCGTAAACGACACCCTCGTGACGAAGTTCGGGCGACGCGGTCGGCCGCATGCCTCACGTCTGCTGTACGACCCGACCACGCCACTTCAGCTTCGCTGGAGACGTAAACATGGTGAGCGCAGTGTCGAATACCTTGCAGTCGATGAGATAGAAGTCATCGAAGCGCCCGACGCGTCGAGACTGAGCAGTGGAAACGCAGGAACATTCGGTCGCGGAAACAAGAAGGCTGCTGCTGCTGTTGCTGTCGACCCGGAGTCGTGTCTGTCGCTCGTGACACCGTCGCGTTCGCTAGATCTGCAAGTTGCCAGTGCACTGCACTGCGAGTGGCTCGCGAATGCCATCCGCGACATCGTATCCTTCGCGCAGCAGTACAAGGCTGCCAAGACTGGCGCGAGCTCCAGCGACGAAGGCAGCTCCAGCGACTCCATGCCCGGCACCACCGCCATCGCCATCGCAAGACGGCCGCGACAGCTTCCCTTGTCACGCAACGTCATGCTCTACTAAGACGTTATCCACCCAGTACATGTAGAACATACCCCTAGGTAGCACACATTCAAGACACGAGTGCAGCGTAGGCTCCCTAGCAACATCACCATAGCAACCAGCACATCACAATAGTCCAGCTCATCCTAAACCTCAATAGCAACAGCCCAACCCTCTTCCTAGAATCAGCAGTTGACTGTATTTCGACTGGTAGCACACGCACAGTTTGCGCAGCCTTGCATGCACCCACCACCCACTTACATCTTCTGTGTCTCTCTTATGCCTTCTTCTTGTACTGCGGCTTGGTGCTCTTGGTCAGCAGCCACACGTAGAAGAGCGACATGCCGGCGCTGTAGGCGGCCACGAGACCCGCCGGGAAGAAGGCGCCCGTCGTGTTGAAGCGGTTGCCCATGACGACCGTGAGCGGCGCCGACACGGCCAGCGACACGGCGGGCCAGAGCTTGGACGTCACAGGGCTCTGCGTGTACTCGTTGTAGCTGCAGTAGCCCACGAAGCTGAGGAAGGCGCCCGACAGGCCGCCGGCCACCAGTGACGTGGTGCTGCCGGAGCTCACGAAGCCCACGACGCCGCCGAGGCCCAGCAACATGCCGTACTGCGTGTCCACACCACCGGAACACGCACATAACGAGTCATAGCGAGCGAGTTAGAGCGCAGACAGAGATGCAAAGCGCATGGACGGATAGAGGAAGGGAAGGCGGAGAAAATGAGACTACGCAGAGCGCGCGGACGTACCGGGATCGTGAGGCAGAAGTCGTACATGGTGGAGACTTGACTTGACCTGTGCTCGACGTGCTCGTAAATGAAGCGAGAATGATTGTGAGGCCACTGCGCGAGCCACGATTGGGTGAAATTTCGGCTGGCTTCAACTGGCTCCTATTGGATGATTTTTGATTTGAAGGGAGCCTTGTTTTAGTGACAGAAACGTCTCGAAAGTGTGACGGGTATAGCTGTTGAACTTTTTTAAATTGAAGTTAGTAAGTTGTGGCCTAAAGCTTGTGGGCATGGAACCATTGGTTCTCGAACACCTTATTAAGCCGTACAGATTACCCTGATGCCCGGTACTCCCGCCCCCAAGATCTGGTTCGACGGCACAACCGTCGACCTGATCCGCCGATGGCAAGTGAGGGGACACGATTTCGCCTTTCTCAGCTGCTTTACCACCGGAATCCACATGATCTGGATTCCCCTCTGGATCGCCAGCACGATCATCTTGCGGCTTCGCGTCATCTATCGGTGCAAACGCTTGATCCGTGATCGGCGAAGGCTGGGAGTCCAGCCCCACCTGTTTCCGCTTTGGAGGGCATTCCTCCTCCGATCCGGAAGGTTCACACACCGACTCAACAGGATCCGACCGTGGGTCTGGTGGATCTCCGACGAGGACAGTTGAAGGTGACGACCCCGACTCCTCTGTCACGCGATCACCGTCCTGCAACGGTCTGCCCCCTGATCTAGGAGTATCAACGACGGCCACCCCCGGATCAGGGCTCATTGCCTCCGGTTCGCTTGGTGGATCGGGTGGACCCGTCGATTGATCGATGATCGGGGATACCTTGCGTCTCTGGAGAATGGCTCGGGGCGTTGGATAAATCGGTCGCTCGACGGCAGGTACTGGAGGTCCCGTTGATGCCTCCTGGTTCGTCGGCCGGTCATCTGTCGTGGCTTGAAAGGCTAGATTCTGCCATTCCATGTATCGACGAGATCCGATCGACACATATCCTGGGATCCGGGTATCCGATCTCCAGCCAGCCACATCGCGATCCGTTCATTCCGATGCAAGACGAGGTCTTTGTCGCTGATGTTGGTAACCTGGAGATATCGGATCCTGCCGGGTCATCGGACCACGGTCGGCACCCAGCGATCTCCACGGGTGACCCACAGCTTTTCTCGATCCGTCACCTTCATTCGTAGCGGAAGCTCGATCGAATCCCCGATCGCGATCTGCATTCCCTGATCCACACACACGTGTCGGACATTGTCGTTGTACAGCTGACGCCGTCCGCTAAGCTGGATCTTGACTTCGTCGGGGAGACAGATAGAGCCGTCCGCAAGATCGAGGCGAATCCCCGCCGGAACCATGAAGTCCATACCCAGGATCGCCTCTTGTCCTGATAGATCGCCAACCCAGATATCGAAGAAATACACCAGCGATCCCGCCAGCGTAACCTTGATCCTGGTCCTTCCTTCCGTCATGTACACGCTTTCGCCAATCCCCACACATTCCTGGCTCGGACTCGTGTCGACATAGCACCCCACCTTACGAGCAAAGGCGGTGTCCACGATGGACACATCGGCGCCGGTGTCTAAGAGTAAGATCGACTTCTCATTGTTGATCTTGCCAGTGATCTTGGCCTGACGGAACCACTTACCTGGCGAATGATGTTTCCAGTACCCTCTGGACTCCCCAGGGAGGAGATCGGGCACCACATCGCCAGATCTGCGGTGTTCGCTGACGCGAGGCCGACTTCGATCGCGATCATGCTCCGGGATCTCGGTCGTCACTTCTCCACCAGCTGGCTTGAACCATTCCTCCGGTCTGCGTTGCTTCCAATAGCCCCGCGTTTCTCCAAACTGGAGATCCAAGGGCACTTCGAGACTTAAGTCCTTGGCGGCAAATTTCGCATGCAGATCACATGTATTACCGCGTAGATCAGTCCGTCCACTTACTCGATCTACCGTGTTCTTGTTTACGAATGCATAGATGCAGTACCTAGAACGCTCGGCTCGTACCGGATTCCAACCCGGCGAGCGTCCTAGTTTAACTTCTTCTCGGCGATCGCGGGCAACATGCCAGCGTGCTTCACCGGGTTGAACCATTGACGGATCTGGTTGTAGAATTCCTCCATCGGACACTTGCCCATCTCGTGTAGTTCACCACATCCACGGCACACAAACAGGCAGCGATCCGCCGGATGACCTCTCTTGCCACACTTCTCGCACGTCAAACGTCTCCAACAATCGAGATCGGTGTATTTCCGCGATCCACAGTGTGAGCAGCGGTTTGATCGCTCCGATCCGCCAGGTGAAGATCGCGATCGTGGATCCGATCGAGGTGAGTCATGGTTGATCTGCGCTTGGTTGCCTCGATCCGGCTTCGTCGAGTCGCCCCCCGCGTTGCGAGACTTGTCATCGGCCGACGCTAGGTAAACGCGACGTAGATCACCCTCCGAGTCCGACCCTTCCGATCCTGTGTCCGATCCAGACTCCTGGCTCGCGATCTGAACCGCACGCACTGCCCGCTTGGTTGCAACAGCTGGTGCTGAGGTCGGAACTTTCTGACGATACTTCGATCCAAAGGCGGGTCGCTTCTGTCTACTCTTCGCGCGCTCTCGAGCGCGCAGGACTTCCTCCAGATCTTCCGCGTCCGCAAGCCGGAGTAGGGTGAGCTGATCGGCCAGTTCCGGATCGCCCAGCGTCTCGATAAAGTGTTTGACATGTTCTCGGCGGGCCTTGGAATCCCCGTCCTTGATCTTCAATCTTGCACGTAGAGCCGCCACATTCAGTCGATAGAGGTACTCCAACGGCGATTCATCCGATCTCTTGCGAGAATGATAATACTGCCAAGCGACCGATACTCCCAGGCCACAATACTGGATCTGGAAATTCCGGAGTAGATCGCTCCACTTGTTCCGCGTCGATCGGCCCAGCTGGCGGTACCAGTTCTTCGCCGGGCCCGTCAGTAGATCAGCGAAGGTCAAGCACTTCTCTTCGTCCGTAGCTTGATCTCGCAGGAACGCCGATTTCACCTTGCTGATCCACGATCGGGCGGATCTTCGTCCTGATCCTTGCCACTGAACTCCTTGAGATCGGACATCGCGGAGATTCGCACGCGCTGGATCAAGGAGGACCCAGTGGATCCCGAGGCAGCGGTGGCCACCGCAGCAGGGGCCGAACTCGGTAGATCAATATCGTCCGGATCGTATTCCCACTGGGAGAGATCTTGATCCGGTGATCCGGCTGATTCCGTCTCCACGTCCCGCGATCCAACGTTGTCGTCGACCACTGGAGTAGGTGTTACCACCGTGGCCTGTTGTTCCTTCAGAAATCGAGTCATCGCAGCCTGAAAGTAAGACTCCAATCTGCCATTCGACTCATCTGATCCGGTGGCACTGGTGGTCCGATCGGTCGACTTGGGTTTCTGCTTCCGAGGTCCTGACCGCATGCGTTCCTGACGTTGACTCCGTGATCGCGCGTCCAACATCGCAGATCCTGAAGGGCCGAGGGACATCCGCTGGGGTTCAGACGACGTATCCGATACATGTTCCGCTGCGGAGACATAAGGTGACGACGATCGGTACCCAGTGGACTCCACTCGAGGCGATGACACTGGAGCCGGCGACACTGGATCTGGTACATTCGGGTCCGGACTGTCCGCGATCATGTCGACCAAAGGTCTCAACTTGTCGACCAATGTCTGGATCGCTGTCTGGATCACATCGAGATCTTGATCGAAAAGATCGTTCGCTTCAAAGGCGCCAGCCACGAAGCCGGCTTCCTTCAACAGCCCGAGCAGGTTCTTCACCGCCATCAGCTTGTTATCCGTCACTCGGGGGGCCGAAATCGGGCCCTTCGGGACGTCGATCTGCTCTGGCCGCACGATCACCATGACAGGATCTTGACGCAAGAAGTCTCGCAGTTCCTTCAAGTAATACTGACGATCCAGGTCAGCCTCAGACCAGTCGAGCGCTGACGGTCTGGGATCTTCGTCGTCCAAGCCTGGCGCTCTCAGCTTCTTCCTCACGATCTGGGTCTTGTCCGCGATCGCGTTCAGGTAGCCCGGATCGAGCCTGATCGGCGAGTCAGCGAAAGCGTATCGGTCCGATCCCGCCTTAGTTTGTTTTGTTAGTGAATCTCGGTTCGCACCAGGATCCACCGGGGTCCCCGAAGGGATCTGGGGAGGATGTTGAGGTTTGTCTTCTAGATCTGTCTCCAAATCGCCCTCGATTCCGTCGACAGAAGTCCTCCGAGCACTCTATCGATCCGCGGATCTCGTTTTGTTCAGCAGCGTCTTCGTCGATCCGATATCCGACGACGCCTCTTCCCCTGGTTCTTTCTTCACTTGCGCATCTTCTACGGACTCATGGTGAATCCGGAGTCCCCCAGAGATCCGGACACGCGCACCATTGTGGGGTAGCTGGATCGGCCAAAATCTGGTTAAGGCTTGATCGAGCTTCCCACCAGCGCCCAGACACCGACTAACGGAGGGGGTCCCCCAACGAGCCGTGATCGGCTGAACTTGTTCTCACCTTGTGTACCCGTCGGCGGGCTGGATCCACTCTCTCGGGGCTCCGAAGATGCAGCACTTGGTGAAGATCGAGTGTCTTGACGTGACGCGGGGATAGTTTGTGGAGCAGCGCGGGAATCTTCGCTCTGCGTCCGAGTATACGTTCCGATCGAGGGTTGTTCGCTGCGATCGGTCGGCCTGGAGTCGATCCAAGGCCTGTAGTTGCCTTTCCGGGTGTGTTCCTTCCTTTCCTGGGTTGCTTGCCGCTTCCTATAGCGGGATCGAGGTTGATCGAGAGGAGAAACGATCGCCGGCCAAGCAGTATCCGGTCGATCGGGGTTCGCACACAAGAAATAGATCGCTAGAGTAGGTCAAGCTGGCCAATGTATTAATCCAGTCTTAACCGTACCACTAGCTCACTGTCCAAAGTGTCGATGCTTGCCGAGGCCAATGTAGTTCCTGGGACTTGACGACTTGGGGGACTTGTGCTCTTTGGTGCAAATTCTCTTCTGATTTATGTTTAGCTGGTGTCTCTCTACCGCTACCATCTTATCTACCATCCTACAGCTCAACAACCACTGGATTCTTGTCCCGACTTCGTCCTCCATGTGCATCCCATCGTGGTCGATCCACGATCCCCGATCAAGCCACGATCGACTTATGATCTGTGATCAACCCCCGATCGGCGATCGGCGATCAACTTCCGATCGAAGACTCGTGCCGGTTGCCGTACGCCGCCGATCCATCATCTTCTGTCCTCGGCCATCCTAGATCTGCGAGACCTGTCGTCGATCCGGGCTTTGGTCACCCCCGAATCACGCCGCGGCTCGAGCACGATCATCCATAGTCCGGCTTGCCACATGTCCTTGCCTTACGCGCTGGCGTCATCGGGCCACTTGAGATCTCCCGAAGAACTCCCTCTGATCCATAGATCCTCGCTGCCTGTCTCTCGATCGCTGATCCCCCATACTTCCAGTCGATCGGTCCTGCCGCCTTTCTAGGAGATCCATTCTTATTCGGCACTTCTGCACACTGGTACCGTCGATTGAGATCCTTTCGCCATCTTCGTCTTCTTCTTCTTGTTCTTGCTCTTCTTCTCAGTTGTTGCTCGTAAAGTCAGTTGACCTGCAGTAGCACGAGACACAAAAGGTCACACCAATCCCGGGTCGCGGCACCAGTCGTCGTGTAGGAACACGCACTAAATTATATAATAGCACACTTTCCCCACCAACAACACCCACCAAGTCCCGATGACTCAATGGGCTTGTTAGGGTTAGAACCTGAAGGCCCAGGAACTTTCCCTTGCACCGGGTTGACGTTTCCTCTGTGCACCGTGTTTCCGCTTAGTCAACTGACGAAAACCCAGCGTCACCAGCCACGAGCAAAGGCTGGCACGCTCTCACACACAATATAAACCTCGCAGGCCCTCAGGAAGGAAGGATCCCAGCCAGTCACGGCTTGATACGAGGGTGCCGGAGCTATACTCCGGCGGGAAGGATAAATGGAGTGCGCTCTCGCTCCTCCACTACACGGCGATGACTCGCCCTTCGTATACACGGCCACTTCTTCACTACTCTTGGCCTGACCACGGGTAAACGCACGCTACGATACTAGCAGGCGCGTCCACCGACAGTCACAATCCTACCAACAGGTTTATCCAATTGCTACGGGAACTCACCGATAGCCCTGACATCTTCCTTGAGTGGTTGGGAGGAAAAGCTGTTCTGTTCTTGTTGCCCAAAGGGCTTATCTGTTCCATCTTCTCTTTCCTATGGTTCAATACAAATATCTAGTCTAGACGTGTCCGTTGTGGATCTTCCCGGTAACCACCCGACTCTTCAGAACTCTCTTGAAGGCTCGGACGGCCTCCCGATGACTCGAAGAGTCGCCTCAGGTGCGGAACCCAGGCCAAAGTTCGCCGTAGGTTCGGGTCGTCCTTGAAGTTCCGGTGTTGTGTGGACACACCACGGCTTGAGCTTGAGTGTCGACGAGTCATCGTCATCTGTCCAGACTGGCCAATCCGCGGTCGTCGAACACCATCGAACGAATGGCGATGTGCCTCGATCCGCCAGTTGAGTTGACGCCGAACGCCGCGGGTCTTGCCGTGAGCTTCACTCAACTTTCCCGACACCACAAAACTCACTTGTAATAGGCGTAGCCCGAAATCTGATTCGTATCTACAGTAGATACGCTTTCGGAGCTTCGACTACCGTGCATCTTCGCTCGTACTAGCCTACGAACCGCAAACTTGAAGTCCATCATGGGCAAAAGAGCATCCGTTCGTCTTGTCAATCTTCAGCCAAGTGACAGCAATCGAGGTCTTCTCTTGGACTCTTTCTTTGGAATTCAATGGGTGAAACCTGTCCAGTCAGCTCTTGCAGTAGCGAAGCCTTTGGCCAAGTCAAGGGTGATACAGTTTAGAAAGCCAACTTCCCTCTCTCGTATTGTCAATGTAACGTACAACTTGTATTATTGTGCTTTTCAGTTGTTTTGGCGAATCGGACGTGTAAAACAGCTACCTACTAAGATGGGGCTAGGTTATCGGAGCAGATTAGCAGGTCCCTCGTAGGGAATTAGGACCAAGAATTGCTAGTCCGATGGAAGCACTTGCGCAGGTCCTTCAAACAGCCGAAAGCCCGAATGTCGCCCATTTTCACGGCATTCGGGGTTTGAGGTCTTACGAAGGACTCCTGCCAAGTCTTGTGGCAGGACTTTCATACGAGCTGACTCTAATACGACGTATGTCAAACGCAGAATAAACTTAGGGAAACACGATGCAGTCGATACGTTAAACACTCCAGTCTTCGCCCTTCGCCTTCGCGGGTTCCGGCATTGCTTGCTTCCCTAAACAAAGCTTGGTTGGCTTGGACTCCAACCGGAGTCCATTGAACGGAGAGACTCCGGGAGACCGCTCATCGGACTCGTCCGAGATTTCCATCTCAGATTTAGAGACCGCCAACCTCAGATTAACTGACCTCCAAAGTCCTACGTAGGACTCGGCAAAATGACCGAAAGGCACAATACATGTATCCCACAATACCGTACTAAACTGGATAGAGAAAAACAAATTACGCTCTTCATGAAAAAGTGGTTGGGTTTTGGTTAAATTTCGCCGAATGAAGAGGGTACTTTGAAATATTTACTAAGCGTATTTTATACTACGGTGGCTGACTTGTTCGCATCGCTGTTCCGCAGTCTGAAGATGAGGCTCCGCATATTCTCGTCCACATCGTGAAGTGACTTTGGTGTGCTGGTTACACTCAGTCTTCGGCACGGACTCGCCATCACGGGTACAGTATCATATAATCGAAAGATGGTGGAGCTCCGGGCATACCGCACAGGAGAGCGTAGTTGCAATAGCATGGCAAGTACTTAATTAAAACTAATGCAGCGGTTCGTAAAGGGGATAAGTGAAGTACTAAAGCCAAATCTGGCTTTCTTGTGCAAATTGTGACGGAGCACCACATGGGAACGTAGCATGCGTCTGGCACAGCGCGTCCATTCCCCAATTTACTCGTGTTGACACAATGCAGGGCGCCAAGTTCCTGTTCATCTACGTGGGTTTACTCGGTGCCGCCGCGGTGTCGGGGGCGGTCATCTCGGAGGTGGCGACCTGCTACTCGAGCTTGCAGCACGACGTCGAGTTCAGCGGCGCTGAGGTTGGCCGCGTCCCCAGCTCCTCCGCCAACGGGTGCTGCTCCATCTGCGCCCAGGTGAACGGCTGCAATGCCTTCACGTGGACCGACTACAAGCGCGGCACGTGCTGGCTCAAGAGCGGCGAGGGAACGTCAAAGTCGACCCTCGGCGCAACCTCAGGAATCGTCCAGGCATAGCCTCCGTCCGACGCACCGGGCTCTGGGAGTCAATGTCGACTGCAGCGGGCAGTGTCACGGTTGGAAGCGGTCTCTTCGAGTTGCGCGTTGTACAACGGCGGTACTGAAGAGCTCCAACGGAGCGTCGAAGTCGAACCCCCGGCGCCTTATCGAGGGTTATCTACATGTATGTGTACTTAAGAGAGTAACCTTCGCTATTCATTAGAAATATCAACAATAATCTCTGTGAGCGACGTGCAGAGTGTAGATTCTACTCTAAGCCTCTTCGTTCCGATGTCCGCCTTGTGGTGAGATCAAACTCTCGATATGCCGGTCCTCTTTGGGCGAATATCGTGTCGACTGGTGGAGTTGAGGTGTCGATATCAGGAACGGCTCAACTTCTAAATGCTCGACATCGACACGTGACCGACCGTTGTTGCGGAGTTGAAGCGAAAACGAAGGTGAGGCTCAGGATGTAGGCATCCAGGCGGTTGATCGGCTTCGTGGCATTGCACGCACACTGATCATCGCAGCCTTTGAACTCTTGGGAAGCTTTTCCTTGATCACAGGCAGGAACGCACCGTTGAAAGCAATGAGGACCCTCAGTTCCTCCTCATCAAATACGCACCTATACGATGTCACTTCAAGTTTGACCAGTTCTCGAGCCATTCGCAACGTGGGGTTCCTCAAACATCCTGTCAAGTCCGACAAGGTACCCGCATGTTGGAGTAAATCTATTTTTCTTGATGGGCCAGCGACGTAGGGACTCGTCATGGGCAGACACCACCACGCCAAATTTTGTTATGAACAACTCCTGGAGCTCTGGACACGCAGAAGACAGTGCGCACAGGTCGATGTAAATCCCAGCCGCGACGCCGTTCTCCACACCACCATACAGTGATAACGAACGAAGACCGCGGGTAACTAGCGTCAGTAACTCCATCAACACAGCAGGGGTCTCGAACGTGCCAGCGTTTATTACCAGCGATCCGCACACTCGTTTCTTCTCTCGGAAGACCGGTTGGTCATAAGCGGGGATGAATTTGAGTCCTTCTCCAAGTTTCGCTTTGCAAATACCGTATCCAGGGACGACAACATTCACCGACGACACACTATCGGTTGGGTCATAAAGAGCCCGGCAGCGAGATGTACACGATGCAACAAAGCGAGCACCATTATCACCATCTATCTCGGTCGGATACAGCTCGGTTTCTTCTCAAACATCGACATATCCATACGCATGGGAGCCTTGCCCCTTCGATCTCAACATTGGTCGGGGGTAGTTGGACTGGAGTACGGCGGAAATCGGCAAAATGTCGGACCTCGTCAGTGCACCACGCAAATAAATCTCGATTGCTGGTAAGTACACGCACATCTGATGTCCCGCAACAGAGCGCGTAAATGAGCCAAGGCCATCGTCCAGAGCCCTCTAACTCAATGTCAAACGAGGGCAAATGTGTATTAGCCGACAACTCCGCAACTGCCGAGCAGATCGCAGCAAACACCCCAGTGCATACGTTCGAGGACCGTAATGTCATTTTCCTAGATGTCACCGGGATACGAAGAAGCGTTCTACATTTTTCCGGTCACAAGCCGCCTCGAAGAGGCTCCACACACCAAAGTGCTTAACAAATTCCCAGCGTTTAGCATAATTTGCCTCGAATTCGTCGAAACAACGTTCAAATCCAGCGATAAATACGCTCTGTCGGTCCTAGCCAATGCAATCGCCAATTCGGAGATGACGGGGTGATTGCAGTTGTATATCGCTGCAAGCACCGCGATGCACGGCCCACTTGTTATACCTGGTGATCCCAGTGGAACCGCGAGTAGCACACATCTGCACAATCGGAGGAACGGTGACATCGAGCAGTTTTTCGAAGTTGAACGTGAACTGAGGTCGAGGTGTTAGCCGCTTTGAAAGGTTCCTATTCTCCGTCCAGGCGTGAACCTTGAAGGCTGCACAACCAGCCAATCGAAGACCCACCGTGAACAAATGCTTTGCTAGAATCCTCCACTCCCATCGCTTCTAATGGCTGAGCTGCTGCTCGAAACTTAGGCGAGTACTCCCATGGATCATTCGGGAAGCCGAGGACCCCCCCCCCCACACACACACGCGTCACTTCAGTCGCGTATATTTCGCCAACGCTATGCGACAAAGTCCCCTCAGGCCGGAATTTCCATTCGGGGAAGTAAACGAGGAGCTCACCATTCTGTGCAATCTTGATCCCCGTCCAGGACTGCAGCAGCTCGGTGAATGATTGATTGTCCACAAACGAAAGCAGTGTGAACAGTTCCATGGCCTCTCGAAGTCGTTGAAGTCTTGTTGCATCTCGCTGCCCCCACTCGTCTACTGGAAGCCGTAGGCGGACTTTTAGCTGCCTCGCAGGTGTCGGATTATATCTGGATAGGCAAAGGACACTTTTAGAGCATTGTCTTGTTTCGAGCTATCGCGTAAGACAGCCCGCCAAGGCTCGAGGAAGTCCCACTTGGTCGAGTAATAAACGTGAGGCAGGTCGGTCCATATCAATTAAGTGGAGGGGGGGTCACAGTTAGACAACTTAGTAATGGACTGATGACAAGTAGCTTGACACTACATGCTCACGCGGTCCTCGACTTACAACTTGGAGTCGGCCACGACGCGCGACTTCTTCTCCATCTTCTTGGACCAGCCCTCCAGCGTTTCGCGCGGCATGACGGGCTTCTTGTAGAGGTAGTGGCCTCCGTCCACGATCAGGACGTCGCCCGAGACGAAGTTGCCCACGGGCGACACCAAGTAGAGCACCGCGGCCGCGATGTCCGTCTTGGCGCCGACGCGCCCCACGGGGATGGTGCTGGCCATGTACTTCTTCCGCTCCTCGGGGTCCACGTCTCCGCCGAGCTTGGCCGTGCCCGTCGTGTCGGCGATGGGGCCGGGGGCGACGCCCGTCACGCGGATGCCGAACTGCCCCCACTCGAGCGCCAGCGAGCGCGTGACGCTGTCCACCGCCGCCTTGGCCGCCGACGCGTGCACCTGGTACCACGTGGCGGGCAGCTGCAGCGTGGCCGTGATGTTGATGATGCGGCCGTCGCCGCTGCGCTTGAGCGGCTCGAAGGCCGCGCGGCTCATGTTGAAGGTGCCGATGGTGTCGATCTCCATGACCGTGCGGAAGGCGTTGGTCGAGAGCTTGTCGGCCAGCGCCAGGAAGTTGCCCGCCGCCGAGTTGACGAGCACGTCGAGCGAGCCGAAGCGCGCCGCCACTTGGGCCACGGCCTGGTCTGCGCTCTCGGCGGAGCGCACGTCGCCCTGCACGTACATGCACGCGTCCGAGGCCACGCCGCGCTGGCGCATGAGCTCCATGGTCTGCTGCAGCGCCGTCTCGCGGCGGCCGAAGACCGCGACCTTGGCGCCGTACTCGGCCAGCGTGAGCGCGATCTCCTGGCCGATGCCGGAGCCGCCGCCCGTCACGAGCGCCACGCGCCCGGCACACGCGTCGCGGCGGAAGGTTCGCTGGATGCTGGCGGAGTCCATGGCGGGAGGTAGGAAGAGAATACAGCGCGTGGAGCAGCGAGCAGATTGGGAAGTGCTCTGCTCTGCTTCAACAACGCTTCGTATGCAACTGCTATCGGGAATAATCCCGTCCTACCGCTTGTATACAGGGGAGCACGCATGATTTTCCGCCGTATACATGTATACACCTACCGTCTAAACCGGTTCGATCGGTATGAGCCGGCTATGACGTATTCGTACCCGAAGTGATTAACGCAACCTTAATAGGAACATAAAAAATCCCAGAAGGTTGCTCGAGCAATCTTATATTTTTGTTAAAGTTGCTTGAGCAACCTTGCAATTTACGATACATTTCCTCTACTGAGTAGCTTACCGCAAAATTTCTACTTGGGGTAAGATATTCGTACTGTAAAATTGTCAAGGTTGTCCAACGCGGCCGGAAGCTCGTGCGAAATATGCTTCATTTCGCAAGATCCAACGTGGAAGGCAAGCCGAAGACGTAGCAGCAAGCGCCATGTTACCCCTGCTAAGTAAGTGTGTTTGCCATGGCTTGGGGGTGCGAGTACATCTAACCTGTGCCTCTGGACAGTCAGTAGCCACGTCCAACGGCCAAGCACTGGACGGAAGTGGACGACAGCCAGCGACTGGATGGCTGGAAGACGCTGCGAGGGCTGTGCGTGGATGCCCACGCCAAAGAATGTGCGTGGAGGGCTGCGGCGAAGACTGTGGCAGCGAAGCGCGCCTGGAGGCATCTTATGGTACGTTGCACTGTGCGGAGAAAGTTGTAAGGTGCTTGCGTTCGTACTCCAACGTGTACCGCCTGTGCGCGTTCGAGCAGACATGAAGATCACGGTTGCGGTCCGGCAAATCGAGATCACAGCCAAACCTAGATGGGAAGAAGCGAAAGCTAAGCCGCGTAGGGCGTAATATATGGTGTGGATAGGGCTTGAACAGCTATGTTGGCTATTACTGTATGCTTGACGGATTGGGTTTGACCGGGAAGTCCTTAGCAACTACCATTTAGCCGGAGAAACCAGCGCTATGAGACGACGGTCTTGGTAGGTGTAGGCTGCACTTGTCTATACTCGATGTCTTGGCGTGATGAATATGAATTCTGTTGGCCCATGGCCCCATGCTCGAGGCCGATTGGCTTCGCACTTTTGATCTAACGCATCGCCAACAAGTGGCATGCTTGCACCAGGTAAATGTGCTGCTTGAGTTGCGACTATTTTACGCCGACCTTCGCCTGCATCTCTCTCCTTCTGACACAGAACTTGCGGTCCTTTTAACTAAGACTACTTCGTGTTGCACGCGGTGCCCGTAGAACCTGGCGGGCTGCTGAACCACGGCGGATAGCGTCGTGGTGGTGATAGTATCGCTTGATGCGGTGCAGCTCCTTCCTCTTAGCGTGTTGAGGCCAGCCCGTATGATCGTCAAATATCGATCTCAAAATTGACGCCGCTATTGTCATTTTCTCCTCGATAAATTACCGGTTGCTGAAGCAACCAGTAATTTTAGGGTTGCCAAGCCGTTTTTAAGGTTGCGGAAGCCTCTTTAAGGGTGCTGTAACCGGTGTCGTTGTGTCGTAACAAAGTTGCTTTACGGACTGCCATTCGTACCGTTTACATACGTCATCCACGCTATCTCATACCGGTTCATATCGGTAAGAATACGAGTCAAAGACCGATTTAAGTAAGGGTACAGGGCACCAATTTGCCGAGGGAACCAATTTGCCACCTGTATCACCTGCGTGTAGTTTAAGCACTTCAACATGCAATATCTTCGCGATCTGCCCGCTGAAGGATGCTAGTCTTTCCACAACTTGCCTACCCGCTAAGAAAACCCCTGCCCACATCGCCAGCTAGACCTCACTCCACCTCACTCCTAAATATATCGCAGATACCTCAAGACTCACCTCGACTCGGTTCACCCTTCAGCATGGCGGTTCGTCGACACGCATCTTCCGTCGCCAAGAGCAAAACGTCGAAGGCTTCCCTGAACGCTAAGGCCAAGACCACTTCGCTGCCGAAGCGTTCCTACAACCCCCCCATACAACCCATGTCCTCCAGCCCCTCGACGCCGGTTGTTTCCGGTCATTTAAGGCAACGTGGCGCAACACGATCGAAGCCTGGACCGCCGAGCATAGTGCTGCAAACCTACCACGACACTGCCGTGCTTCGGTCATCGGTGACACTCTCCTCGAGTCATTGGACATGACGGGAATCTCAAAGTCGTGGAGGTCGACGGGTCTGTGGCCAGTCAACAGGGAAAAAGTGCTTCGCAAGATCAAGTCCGTGTGCAACGCTGCAGTCAAAATACGCCAATTTGTGGCCGTCCATGAACCGCTTCCTGTTGATCAGATCGACGAGAGGGGTCTCCAACGCCTACGAAACGAAGACATTGACTTTGCTGGGTTTCGTGCATACAGCATCGTCAACCGAGACCTAGCCAAGCCGTCTAAGGTGCGCGAGAGGTCTCCAACGAAGACATTGATTAAGCTCGGTCCGAGACGCTTGCTGACGCACGAAGCCTGCATGGCTGAAGAAGAAAAGAAGGCTGAAGAAAAGCGCCGAGAAGCAGAACTCACGGTAATGAGAAGAGAGGAGAGAGCGACGAAGAAGATCGAGTTGGTGACGCGAAAAGCTGAGTGTCGTGTAGGAACACGCACTAAATTATATAATAGCACACTTTCCCCACCAACAACACCCACCAAGTCCCGATGACTCAATGGGCTTGTTAGGGTTAGAACCTGAAGGCCCAGGAACTTTCCCTTGCACCGGGTTGACGTTTCCTCTGTGCACCGTGTTTCCGCTTAGTCAACTGACGAAAACCCAGCGTCACCAGCCACGAGCAAAGGCTGGCACGCTCTCACACACAATATAAACCTCGCAGACCCTCAGGAAGGAAGGATCCCAGCCAGTCACGGCTTGATACGAGGGTGCCGGAGCTATACTCCGGCGGGAAGGATAAATGGAGTGCGCTCTCGCTCCTCTACTACACGGCGATGACTCGCCCTTCGTATACACGGCCACCTCTTCTCTTCTCTTGGCCTGACCACGGGTAAACGCACGCTACGATACTAGCAGGCGCGTCCACCGACAGTCATAATCCTACCAACAGGTTTATCCAATTGCTACGGGAACTCACCGATAGCCCGGACGTCTTCCTTGAGTGGTTGGGAGGAAAAGCTGTTCTGCCATTGTTGCCCAAAGGGCTTATCTGTTCTATCTTCTCTTTCCTACAAATATCTAGTCTAGACGTGTCCGTTGTGGATCTTCCCGGTAACCACCCGACTCTTCAGAACTCTCTTGAAGGCTCGGACGGCCTCCCGATGACTCGAAGAGTCGCCTTAGGTGCGGAACCCAGGCCAAAGTTCGCCGTAGGTTCGGGTCGTCCTTGAAGTTCCGGTGTTGTGTGGACACACCACGGCTTGAGCTTGAGTGTCGACGAGTCATCGTCATCTGTCCAGACTGGCCAATCCGCGGTCGTCGAACACCATCGAACGAATGGCGATGTGCCTCGATCCGCCAGTTGAGTCGACGCCGAATGCCGCGGGGCTTGCCGTGAGCTTCACTCAACTTTCTCGACACCACAGCTGCCCACACCGTGTCGCGAGCCACAGCACTTGGTGAGCGTCAGGGTGCTCCCGGTGTCTTCGCGCTACCACGGCTGGGTCGTCTCGCGCCGCGAAGGCTGCGCTGGCCCGCGTGTTCCGGGCGCTCGGCGTCGATCCCGCTGACATGGTACGTGCTGCGTTCGGTCTCCTGCTCGTGCCGTCAACTGCTCACCCTCACGCGTGTGCGCTTGTTCTGCTGGCGGCAGGCTCCCACTGCGTCGAGTTCTGGTGGCGGCCTCTCCGGCCAGGCTTCTGCTGCGTCTTCGCCTGCTCGGTCGTCGTCTTCTGCTCGCGCTGGGTCGACGGCTGCCGGTACTCCGCGTCCAGGCGATGCCGCACAGGTGCGTACCTGTCTCTGCATGCGTCTCCCTTCTTTTCACTCGTGCTGACGTTGTTCTCGTTGATGCGTCTGCTTATATCTGCAGTCGGCTGGTGGCGTGCCTCCGCAGCCACTAATCGAGGCTATGCGTGGCCACGAGTCTTCGGGAACCCCGGCAACATCTCGCCCTGGGTCTCCTGGTTCTTCTCAGCCTGCTCCCGACAACTCGCGCGGTCGTGGTCAAGTTATGCGTCGCGACGCCCTTGAGCAGCTGGTCCGTGATGCATGTGATGAGTCGTCGGAGCGCATCTTGGCGGTGCTGGGCTCGAAGCTGGAGTCTCTCGGCCGTCTCTCGGTGAACCTGCACCTGGGACCGAGCATCCGTGGTGATCACCGCGTGGGTTCTCGCCTGGCGTCGGCCCGGAACCTCGATGAAGTGGTTACTGCTGCGGAGCCGAACATGAATGTTGGCGAAGGCTCGACGCTGGGCATGGCAACTATGCGCGCCCGGCTGCACTCTGCTGAGTCAGCGCAGGCTGCTGCAGAGAATCGGTTGTGGTCGCAGACGTACTCTTTGGAGAACCAGAAGGTATTCTTGAAGAACGCGAACAACGAGATCGCACAGCTGAAAAAGGAGGTCGCGCATCTTCGTCAGCTGGAGGCTCATTACATCGTCGAGCTCGAGTCGTCGAACGCCGCCGTGGATGGCCTCATAGAGTGCTCCGAGCGGCAGGAGAATCGTGTCAGGGTGGCCGAAGACTCGCAAGCTCGGTCTCTAGCTCAGTTAAACCGTGAGTAGGAGGTCTACAAGGCGGCCGTTGCTTCGTCGACTGCTCAAAGCAGGCGCTTGCACGATCTGCTGGCTCGCTCGGACGCCGCCGACGACACCGCACCAGCTCGCCTTCGCCGACGCAATGAGGACCTCAAAGAGCAAGTGAAGTGGCTGACCCGTGCCAACAAGACGCTTCGCGCTCACGTGCAGCTGGAAGAAATGGACCCCGACGTCCTGGTCCTCGCCGTATAAGGTTCGTAGTCACCATTTGGTCGTCATTTGGTTTATCTTTGCTGACTTTGTCCCGATGACTCATCTTGCTTGCAGGTATCTCGACTGGTGAATTGAATTGGAGCTTGCTGGATCTTACTCCCGAGTCTCTCGCGATTTTGCAGAAGCCGTACCGTACAGCAGACCGCCCCAAGCCGGACAGAGATATCGCCGAAGACTTGGCTCGGACTGCCTTCTCACTGAATGACTCCATCGGGGATCCCTTGCGCAAGGACACTCCCGCTGGTGCAAACAAGACCACTCCGGGGACGTCTGCCACTGCAGTCAAGAAATCTCGCGCGTCGCGTCGGTCATCGCCTTTTTCACGGTTCTCGTCCCGCAAGACGTCTCGCGAAGACTCGGGCTACGTCATGCCTGCTGCTTCCCCAGCTCGGCCGAGTCGCTCAGGGTCGAAGGCTCGCAAGACTTCTGCCGAGTCATCGGCTGGGTCATCGGCGTCATCGTCTCCCGTGAGGAAGTCGTCGGAGAAGCCCAAGAAGTTGCCCAAGAAGTGGAAGGAGTCTCGCTGGGCACGAAGTCGTTCTGCGTCGGTGCCTCGCGGCTCTCCGGTCTACGCGCGCTTCATCGGTTCCAGTGTCTCTCCGCCCACGAGTGCTGCTCCAGTCGCGAAGGCTACTGCGCCCTCTGTTCCTTGTTCTGCGCCGCCTGCTGCTTCTGCGGAAACTCCTGTCCAAGCTGTTGTCCCAGTCTCTGGTTCCGGTGATGATCCACAAGTTGGTGGCTTGAGTCATCGGGCTGATCGCGGAGAGACGGACCAGCGGTCAGCTTCAGTCGAGCAGTCACCGGAGGTGCCTCAGTGGTTCGGAGATGACTCGGATGCTGGATTGACGGAGGGTCTGGTTGACGACTCAGTGGTTGATGGCGGTGCTGCTTCTGCTGATGAGGAGGAACTCGACGAGTGGGAGGGAGAGCGCGTTGAGGTGGTTGCTGTAGTTCCAGCTCCGTCACCTCCGGTTGCTGACGGTCTGTCGTCATCGGCTTCCACTGATCTCTCGTCACCTGCGCCAGCTCTGAGTCTTCGGCTTCTCTTCCGCTTGTTCCTGCAGCTGCTGCTGAGTCGACGGACACCTCGGTCGCTGTCTCATCGGTTCACCGGTCTGCAAATGCAGCATCTCAGAAGGTTCTGACGACTCGCGCCCGAGGTAAGAAACCGGCTAAGTCTCGCCATAAGTTGTCATCGCGCCAAGTCGTCACTACGCAGTTATCGGCCCCAGGACCAAGTTCAAGTTCTGCGCGCTCTCTGTGCAGCCCGAGATGTGCTGCCCACTGCTCGTTACTCCAAACACGTGTTGAACTAGGCCACTCCATACTTGGCTCCTGAATTCCGGTTTCTGGCGCTTCTAAGTGCTGGATCCAGATTTTGAATTGCGAGTTGCCGACTCCTATTCCCGGGGATGCTCGGATTGCTGCCACGGCTGCTGGTATCAAGGCGTTTAAAGACTTCAAGAACCCGGACCACCCTTGGCAGCAGCTTTGCCGGCGTCTGCCGGAGCACGCATGTTTGTTCGACACCCATGGATTTGATCCTTCTGTCAAGGTATCCCAGCGAGCGCCCCCGACGACTCGAGTTAACGGGTATTGGAGCAACTTTCGAGGGTACGGGGATCCTGTCGATATTGATCTTGGGTTCTCGGATTGGGAGCGTTACCACTGGATTCCGGCTCCCGCCGTGGACAATTGCTTCCGGATCGCTACCAAGGAGCTGGAAGGGAATAATTGGTCCCCTGAGGCGAAGGCCAAAGTTCGAGCTGAGCTGGACGAGGCCAAGGCTGAGTGGTTGGCGTATGCTACCGAGCGGAACAAGCGCTGGGATCGGTTCCGAGCCGAGATCATCTACCAGGTCTGGAGGTGGTTTGTCAGCAAGGAACCGAAGTTCGCTGCTCTCCACACCGAGTCTTTGTTTGAGCCTTCTATGCTGGGTTGCCCTTTCGACAACCTCACGTGGCTGCCCAAGACGACCGACTGGGTCAGCGAGATTTCGGCGTTGGACGCGGCTGAGCCGTGGCGTAATGGCTGGGTGGATGTTCCTGCCCAGCATCCGTACAACACGACGTTCTTCCCCTGCAATCCAAGGTTTCCGCTGTTCGTCCCTACAAACACCACGCGCGAGGAAGTCGGGCGCCAGATCGTCGTTTGTCCCGACCTCACGCCAAACGAGATCGCGGCTGATTGGGATGCTGGTTTCCGTGAACCTGCCCAAGCTTCGGACGAGTCTTCGGGTCCTGAGCCAAGCGAGCCTCCGGCGTCTGCAGCTACTTCTCACGTGGCTATCGACAACTCGGACCACCTCCAGGTGCTGGCGCAGGCTGCAGCTTCTGCTGAGTTGCAGGGCGACGCTCGCGAGGATGGTGACGACTAGGAAGGGTGAGTCTTCGGGTGCAGGTGTTTCTTCCACCCAAGCTGTTTGAGTTTTCACGGTTGTAGTCGTAGGTGCGTTCAGCTTGGGGTATTTAGGTTTTCTTGATTCTTCTTCCAGATCGTCACGTCCAGTTTTCAAAAAAATAAAAATCATGCAAGTCTTGTGCAGTAATCGTCTTCGTCTGCGTTTCTGGGCTGCATTGCCCCAGGTACAGGTTACCATCTTCCGCAGTAGTTATTTTCGTCTACCCTCCTGGGCTGCGTTGCCCCAGGCGTAGTTCATCATCTTTGAGTCGTCGCGAGCGAGCTCTAATCTTCGTCCGCGACCTGTACCATCTGAAGGCGTTGCTCGCTTCGCTTGCGCCTCAGGTAGTCGTAGAGAAGACCCCCACAGGAGAGCTGGGTGACTGGTTCCCACGTGGGCTCGTCCTGATCTGCCCACTTGATCTTGAATTCACGCACTGAGCGTCCCGTTCTTGTTGACATGGGCATCCGATCATCCAGAATCTCCAACACTTCGTTCTCACCGGCCAGACTATCAGGTTCCCAGCTGTCTTCGGGGAGTAATTCCTCATTGAAGTCCAGACGTGAGTCTTCGGTGATGTCAGGCGCCAGTCGAGTCTTCGGGCGGTCTTTGAATTCACTCACTGGCTTCAACCGCGAGACATGGACTACCGGGTAAAACCGATAGCCGCTCCGGTTCGACAACTCGAGCTCGTAGGCGTACTCTTCGACCTTCTTCTTGATCCGGAACGGGCCGTGCCAGCGGTGGGCCAGCTTCTTGGTCAGCCCCGGCTTGACACGTTCCATGTACAGCCGTACGCGACTACCCGGCTCGAATAGAGACATCGGCGCGTTGCTTGAGGGGTCTGAGTCCGCGTCCTGATTGGTTGGCATCGCTGTCGACGACTTGTTCCTGCCAGTCGTCGGGATGGTTGCTCTCTCCTTCCGGCTCAGTGCTTCGTTATGTTCGCGTGCTCGGCGGGCTTTTTCAGTCGCTTGGCAATCCTTGGCCATCTCGAGTGCAATCTGGTGTTGTCGGTTGACGTCCCGGTGCCACGCCAGCGCGTCGGATTGTCTGCTACTGCCCCTGCGGAGCGAGGACGACATCGCTTTCAACGTCGACTGAGCGTCCCATCCATGGACGAGGATGAATGGAGTTTCCTTCCGTGTCCTGTCTTGTGAGTTGTTGATCGCGAAGACCAACCGTTCCACGATCTCGTCCCAGTCCTGCTGAAGCGGGTCTTCGGCGTACACTCTCACGGATTGAATCACCGTCTTCACCGACCTCTCTTGCTGCCCGTTGGCTTGAGGCCGATAACTCAGCGTAGCCCGCGACCTTGACTGCATCATTTCGGCAAAGGCCTGGAACACCTCGCTCATAAAGCGAGGATCCCGGTCGTGTCTAACCAACGAAGGTGCTCCGAATCGTCGGTATATACACTCTTCGAAAGCTTGGGCTACCTTGAGCGCTGTCGTGTCCGACATTGCCTTGGCGATCACAAATCCCGTGAACGCACATTGGAACAGGAGGAGGGCAGTGTTGCCTCTCCGAGTCATCGGGAGCGGTATTACGAAGTCCATGGACACAATCTGGAGTGGTCGCTCTGCCAACACGTTGCCGGGAGAATACCCTCGCAACTGTGGTCGGCTTTTGCTGGTGCTGCAGTCCGGGCACGACTTCACATGCTTCTCGACGTCTGTGTAGAGGCCGAACCAATAGTAATCCCGCTTGACTCGCTGGTAGGTCCGCACTACCCCTTGGTGCCCGCCTTCTAGCGAGTCATGGCAGTTCTGCAACACTTCTTGAATCATCGTGGTGGGTACCACAAGACGCAGGTTGATCTCCTCTTGCTCTCCAGACGTGTCTCGACGACTCGAATTCATACTCCGTCGTCGGACAGAACGAACTTGTCCGCAATTTTCCAGGCATCTCGTGCAGCCCTGTACCCGAGCTTCTCGACCTCGCCTCGGAGGACTGTTTTCAGGTTTGTCCACCGTAGTTCCTCGTCCTGAGCGGCTGCTATGCGCCGTCGCCTCTCCGCTTGGACTTCGACGGGGTCAATGTCTTCTGCGTTTGGCGCTGCGGGCGGTGCTTGAGCTGCTTTCGGTGGTCGTTCATCAGTGTGCTCTTTGTCGGTTTGAGTCATCGGCTTGGGTGGCGTCTCGTTCGTACTGTCGTCCGCAAATCGGACTCGCTTCGTCTTCGATCTAGCCTGTGAACGAGTCATCGCCATGATCCTGAAAGGTTCTTTGCGCACGAAATCAGCGAATGTCCTGGGTTTGGTGACCTCGTATCCGTCCGCAATTTGAATAGAGTCTCCAGGAACATGGTTTTGCACTGTTGCTTCATCTGGCGTCGACTCATAGATCACTTCCTGGATACGGTTCAGTTCGCAGAGCTCTGCCTTCCGAGTTTCACTCAGGACCACCTTCGACGTCTTGGATTCAAGTGTTTCCGACGCCAATGAGTCTGCGGCCGCATTGAATTCTCGAACCACGTGCAGGTACTTGACTGACCGCAGTCGTGCCGTGATTTCCTTGTGGCGACTCAGCTGAGTCATCAGCGACTCCTTCCGGCATGCGATCACCCCTAGGGATTGCTGGATCGCGAGCCTCGAGTCCCCGACGATGACCAAGTCTTCGGCGCCATGGTCCAAAGCTGCAAGCACTCCGTTGGTCATGCCAGTGTACTCGGCGAGATTAACAGTCGTCTTCTCGAGGCAAGCGCTCGCCGCAATCACTATTGTCCATTCTGGTAGGCGCCACACGATCCACGAACAACTGCCATATCCACCATACTTCTCGGTCTTCGCGGAGCCGTCAAAGGAGACCACAAACCCCGTGTGAGTCTTCGGGAGACGTGGGTACAGGAAGTTTGGGTCCATACGAGTCGTCGGCGAGCCTTTCGTTGGTGGAGCAACCAGGTCCAGCGAGTCATCGAGGTCCACAAAGTTGGTTACCGTCGACTGGAGCAGTTGTGAAAATACGCAGTCCTTCTCCTTTACGCGCTGGACGATCAAGTGCCACGGGGAAAGCAACACGGCGAATTGCACCGCTCTCCCGAAGAGTGATTTGGACTTGGTGATCCATTCCAACGTAGAGAACCGCGTGTACACGCGGATGGTCCGTCCCGCTAGCTGCGTATAGCAGGTCTTCAGGAGCTGGAGTAGAGCCAACACCTCCTTTTCTGCAGGATGGTAATTCATTTCTGCGGCCTTCAAGACGCGACCACAGAAGCGCACGGGGTGCAGTTTGTCGTCGTGCATCTGGAGCAATGTCGAGCTGAGTGCCCATTCGTTCGCGTAAAGCATCACGTGCACGTCCTTCTTCTTATCGAAGTACCGACGGATCGGCGCCGCCGCCACCTTCTCCTGAAGTGCTTGGAAGCTGCGGCGGGCTACAGCGAGGCCACCCCCGGGCGTGAAGTCGTCGTCCTTGAGCTGGTACAGCGCGGCTCCATAGACTGCAAAGTCTAGGATAAACCGGCTGTAGTAATTCAGCGCTCCGAGGAAGGACTGCATCCCTTTTCTGTCCGAGGGAACGACAGCTTCGTGATTGCGTCCAGTTCCTTGTGGTCTGCGCGCATCCCATCTCGCGAGATCTCGTGTGACAGGAAATCGACGCGTCCTTGCACGAATATGCTCTTGGTGAAGCTGACGCTGATCCGGCACTCCTCAAATCGGCTCAAGAGCCGATCCAGCGTGGCAAGACAGTCTTCGAAGCTCTCGCCTCCGGAGCATATGTCATCCACAAACGATCGGCGATCAAACACCGGAACCAGTGACGAGTCGTCGGGCTCGATGGTCGCAAACATGTCCGCCTCCGGGCTGTTGATCAGCAGCAAGACAGGATCTAGTGCCTGCGAGTCATCGTGGGCGGCTGCAAACTTCGTGCGGGGCGCTGCGGAAGGGTTCTGCAGGTATCCCGACGACTCGAGTCGTCGGAGACGTGCTGATTCGGCTTCGGCAGCTCCCATCCGTCCCACAAAGGCCTTCCAACCTCCCTTCGGCTGGGCATGACCCCACAACGCGTTGTCGATCATGCGCTGGTAGATCATCGGCGCGTTCTTGAGGCCGAAAGGCATGCGAAGCCACTCGAAGTGTCCCAGCGGGCAGACGAAGGCCGAGATCTTGCGCGCTCGTAGCGTCATCATGATGGCCCAGAATCCACTCGCAGCGTCGAGTGAGCAGAACCAGAGGTATGCTTCTAGGTCGGTCAACAAGACATCGACGAGTGGCATGGCGTATTCCATGATCGCTGTGATGGCATTGACCAGCTTGTAGTCGATGCACAGTCGAATGTCGATCCCGTTCTTTTTCAGGACGATGACGATCGGCGATGCCCACGGGCTGTCAGAGAAAGACACGAGCCCAGCCTTGAGCAGCCCCCTCAGCAGCACATACAGCTTCTTGGGATGCCGTAGTGGTATCCGTCGGGCTCGTTGCTTGATCGGCGTGTGCCCTTGCACGTCTATGTCACAGACCACCCCATATGCTGGTGGTGGTAACGCATTACCGCTTGCGATCATAATTGGCTCATGGTTCTTGAGCACCTTGATTAGATCGTCCTGTCGTGTCGCCGACAACTCAGGATTCCGCACATTGTCTGCGTCGTAGTCCAGAGTGGTCGTAGCAGCTTCGGACAAGTCAGGAAGGAACGCCAGCTCGTGCGCGTAGTCTTCCAACCCGATACCAGCCGCGAGATGCTCGAACGAGTCAGCGGCGTCGTCATTCGCGGTCTCTGTACCTTCTGTGCTCAAGACCCGCAAGACACACATGAACGTCTGCTCGAGTCGTGTCAAACCGGCCTCGATATCCGAGTTCGAGCAGGATTGAGTCGTCGGGACTTCATCCTCAGTACTCTTTGACTCCGTAGGTTCGTCCAAGCCGGTTCCCGACGACTCATCTCCCCCAGCAGGGCGCTCAGACGTCTCCAAGGCAGCTGCTTCCACTCGAGTATTGAGGGTCACCCCTGTCGAGTCGTCGACGGCTGCAACTA